GCAGGGCACGGCCATCCAGGCCACGCCCGCTCCTGGAACAAAGTTTGGTCCGGCAAGCTGGTAAATATCGACAACAACGGCGTCACAACGGTATGAAAAGGGGCTTTGTATCACTAAAGAGCCGCGAAACACGGGGAACACAAAGAAAGGCAAATGCCATGTCTTTTCCTCATAACTTTTCCCATTTTTGTAGGCGCCTATTTGGAAAGACCTGGAGAATTTAGGATTGGATGGCTAAATGGGTAGAAGGTCTGGTTACCACGATATTAAGGATGGATTATTTACTGTGTATACTCTCTATTTCACGCGATATTAGCCTAATCTCTACTTTTCGCGTTCCTTTACGAAAAGGCCAATAGCCGCAGACAAGTGAAATGTGGTATAATAGCGACGTTGTAGTCTTCCGTGCTTAATTCTTCTACCTCAACCAGACCACAAGAGAACAGCTCTTTATGGGAACACACGATGAACTAACCATGTCGTCGTTCCACAAGAGGCCCCAACCATTGACACCAATGCTCGATAGAAGATGATGTATGGGATTATTTGTTATTCGCATACTACAGGTATGCGTCTCAGCCCTGAACTACGCCCCAATGGCTCTTTCTCAACAATAATAACAACAATGCTGTCTTGCAGACACCGACGCTGGGAAGCCAAAGTTTCCATTCCAGAGAATTCTGATCCACCAACGACACACCCTGCAGAAGCGTAGCCAATGTCCTGAAGCGGGCTGCGCCCCGACGCCTCCAGACACGAAATCGAACCACCCAGGCCGCCGCAACTCGGCCGTCGTGTAATTGGACAACACCATGATTACGGCACGGCTGCAGACATGCAATCCGTTCTCTGGAGGCATTCCAGGAGTCGGACCCAAATGCAGACAGGCTCATCATTCCAAACCCGCGAGGCAAACGCGCAAAATCTCGCATCCTCTCTTCGGTTTGTCGAGGATCTATCCTTCTTAGTGGATGGCCCCCTCGCAAGCTCACCCCTCCTCTCCCCCTATTTCTCGCGCAAACCCACCACCTTGGCGTGGGGATTACAAAAAACCGATTTTTGACGGGTGGGATCCGGGAAGGATCCGGATGTGCGCGTGTGAGCGCGGCGGTGCATTGTTCGTTGGCGCTAACGGCTCGGGGGTCGAGGGCCGCCGGGGCCGTCGGTGGAGAACCTTACGGGGGCATCCGGACGGTCGGGCGGGGCGGACGATACTCGCATGGGCCGACGTTGCAGTCGAGGACAACAACCTGGAAGAGTGGGACCAATTTTTTGTTTTGCCGTTGAGTTGAGTGGGTGAGTGGGCTTTGTCGGGGGCGAAAAAATTCTAGCGAGAATGGAGCCCGGTCGTTTCAGTGGGGTTTATTACCCATAGTTTGAGTACACTACGGAGTATTGTTTCCTGTAAGGAGATCCCTTTTTTTTTTTTTTTTTTTTCCTTCCAGGTCTGTGCCTGATTTCAGAAAGCGTGCCGCCTGTTCCAAGGAAAGAAGGCGTAATGTCGTCGTCGTGTGTCTGAACGAGCGCCAAGACGATCTTCGTGTCATTGGGAACGAGGTCAGGTATATTGCCAAGGGCCCAAGACAGAGAGAGAGGACTGCAAGTGCCAATGGCGCAATGCGAAATACCGGCCGGACGCGTGGAATCGCTACCTCGTCTCTCGGCAGGCACGAGTATCCGTACATTACGAACCACACGCAGACAAGCTTTGCAATGTGGGCGTCGGTAACAGTAGCTTCTTCGGGAGCCCAAGAGCCGCAGGTCCCCAGTATTTTCCAATCCTTGTTTTTGTTGGCTGCCGTTTATGCCAGTGTCGTATTATCCCAACTCGATGATCGCCACCAACGCATCGCCCTTTGCAACCGGCGGCAACCATCGGCGAATTGGCCGGGCAGACTACCTAATCCCCCCCCCCCATCTCTGTCTCCCCTCCCGTGCCTGCAAGAGCCACGCGCAAACACAACCTGGCATTGACCTTACCAAGACACGATCCCAGGTAGCCCTCGGCCGAGTGTTCCCGGCGGCAGGCAACGACGGCCGCGGCGGCCACGATGATGCGGTCTAAAGCGATGCAACTTCGGCCCAGCCACGTTTTCCCACTTTATTTCGACTTTCCGTCTGTATGAACGAGATCAGATCGGGTTTAATAAACCCCCTTGCATTGCAGATTGCCCATCTCCGGTTATCCCTCTTTTCTAGAATCCTGGAAAAGCTTGCTTTTCTTCTTCTTGGTCCTGTTTTTTTTTTCCCTCCTTGGTCCCTCGACTCCACGTCGGTATGCACAGATCGTACGAAGAATTATAGGGCCGAGACTTTTTTTTTGAACTCGGTGTCACTGATCACGGATTCGTCGTTGGACGATTGGACTGTTCAACAGTCTCACACGGTCACACCGGCCCCCCCTCCCCCTCACTGCCAACGCCCAGAACGGGCTAGGTATCCGCTGATAGCTCGACTGGACCCCCGAACTGAATAGTGCGTGAGGCTATCAGTCGCGCGCGGCTCGCTAGTCACTGGCGGAGGAGCTTATTTGCCCTACCCATATCTGGGATGACACTCTCACCGAACTTTCGCTCACTATGCGAATCCCGCGAGAACCCCCTTGCGTATTGTCTTCCCAACTGTCTCGCCGCAAAATATGGGAATGGAGAACAAGCAGCAAGTGAAAAGAAGAGAGGCTGAGAGGGGGAGAGGTTGGCGACAAGACAGGTGATGGCGTCAATTAGGGGCGGCCGCGATTCGTCTCCGCCGTCGCTGATCTTTCGCGGGTCCTCGGCCCCAAGTGAACTGCCCGACATCAACGGCAGTCGCAGCATTCAGCAACGCCGGCCGCGCGCGGCGGAAATGAGACCACGAGCCTAGCCACCCGTCTCATGTCACGTCCGCCCTAGGTAGTGTTGGATTTCTCGCGCAGTGAATGAATGCTGCAGGACTAAACGCAACTGGCACCACGCGTTAACCTCTTCGTCCCCGCGGACGCCGCCGAGATACTGTGGCGGCCATGCTCTTCACTGGGACCGTTGCAAGTTTGCTCCCAAGCCGGCCCATCAGCATAGTTTGAATCCACACTAGAGATACCAAAGATTATGTGCATTTTCGGCCTCGCCAAGCCATGGATGGGAGAGGGGGAAAGGGGGGGCCCCGAACCGGCCGCCGCGGACTTCTGACGACGGGTTGGTCAGTCAGTAGAGTAGCACCGCTTGCCTTTTCCCCCATACACTTCTTTTGAGTTTCCCCGTAGGACCTAGCCACTATGATCACTTTTCCCCCGAAAACGAAAGAGAGAGCCTAGCTCCGCCGCTGAGAGAGGAGCTGCATCGAGGCCCGTCGATCAACTCCCCGTTCCCTGTCCTGGTTCCTTTACTCGATGTCAGATGATCAATGTATCGGACTTTGGAACCCGGACGAAACGCTTTCCATCTTCGGAGAGTAGCCATGGCGGAACGAAACCGCCGAATGCCGAGAGAAAAGAGTCCTCTATACTTCATACCTTGAGATACCGGCCTACGCCCATACACAAATCCCGTTACGGAGAGATGGATCCCTGACAGACTTGACCCGGCGTCCAGCGCTGCCCTCCACGGGGACGGCTCTTCGCCGGCGGCCCGAAAGTTGACGTACGACCCGACCTTTACCCACGGGGTTCATCGCCGCCAACCCCCCGCCTCGCTCAAACTATGCCTCCACGACTTTTCGAGAGGGAACTCGACCTCAACGTCGGCACAGTGGACGGCATATGTTCCAAATGGCTGGTAACTTTCTCTCGGAACCACCATCTTTTTCGAGACACAAACATATACACACACACTGCTTTGGGTGGTCGTCACTAGCATCTCTAACCATCTAGAAAAACGAAGCCGATTAGAGATCCTCCACCTCTCGGAACGAAACCCAGCTTCTCTGCGACATCCTCGACCTCGGGTCCCTCGTCGACGAAACGAAAGAACCTCGAAGCAGCTCCACCAGAAACCCATTACCAGCCCTTCCTCCCCTCCCGACTCTAAGCCCCCCTTCCACCTCGTCCACCATCTTCGGCCAACCTCCACACCACGAAAATGATCTTCCTAAACAGCATCTCCATCGTCTCCTCCTCCCAACCCCACCGAGAATCGCCAGCCGACGTAGCTTTCCAAAGGCAATAACGGCATATCCTCGCCTACGACTCGTTCCATGATGCCAAGAAAGGTACCTTTGCGGAACAAAAACATTCCCGAAGCGGCGGATGGCACGGCGAGGTACCATCTAGAGTTATGGCTATATGGACATCGCGGAAGGGAGATACCTGCCGGTTCAAGGGAGCAAGTAAGTAATCGCTCGCAGGTTAAGGTCAAGTGAACAGTAGTAAGGGTTTCCAAGTCTATTTTGTATCGGCTGCGGTGTGTCTCGCAGTCGAACCGGCCCCCCCTTAATGATGAACAAAGTCATGAATGATCCGATCCAACCCCCCACCGTAACTATTATTGTAGTTAGACATGTGATTCAGCATCCAGTAGCTGAACTGTGGGAGATAACATCAACCCTTTGGTATTCTCTGTCCCAATGCAGGCCTTTTTCTTTTGGTACTCCGCTTCACTTTGTTGCTTGGCATTATCCGTCCTTTTCCCTTGTCTCCGACTTCTATCACCGCGGCCGATGTTCCGGCCTTCTCTACCAGTACAGTACAGTATTTATCCAAGTGCCTAGTCCGATCCGAACCGAGTCCAAAGTCAATATGACGTATGAACATACATTTGGTCCCTCCTTCTAAATTTTGTTAAAAAAAAATTGGAAAAGGTGGTAGCCTTCCTCCTCGTTATCCTCCGGGTATCGTTGCGTCCTTTCGCTGCATTCCTCCTACCAAATCCACTTTTATGTGCCCCAGGCTTGATTCGACAGGGGTCAACCCGTTAGCCGTGTCCTAGCCACCTGCCTAGACATGGAGCTGGTGAAAATATCCGCTGCAAGCAAGCGGTAAACCCATTTCCCCGAGCTGCGTGCAAATGCTTCCAGCGTTACCCATACTAAGAGTACTCTGCCGGAACGTACATTGGTACACTTGGAGCTGTGAACCCCGGAGGCCCGGCCGCCGGCACTGCAGCACCATTAGGACCACCAGGCCCGACGTAGTTAGCAAAGCCTTGAAACCGCTGCTGGCCGGGGGCTTGCGCAGAAAATACAGGGGCGTTCGTAGTTGGAGCCGCAACAGCGGCTACGGCAACGGGAAGAGTCCCGACGGCGGCTGGCACCGCTGTCCCCGAAGCGAGGGACCCTCTAGGTCCCGCGTTTGGCACGGCCGACCAACCCCAGAGCTGGTCGAACTCGAGCTCTCCATCAGCCGTGTCCGAGTCGCCGCCCATTCGCGCGCTTTGGTCGCCCTGTGACATGCTGGGGGTGCTCCCCGCCGGCGAGACGCCGGCTGACGCGCCTGTAGGCGTGTGAAAGCTGTGATCCGTCTTCATTGACAGCGGCGGTGGTGCCATTGCCTTGACGGCGTTTCCTGTTGTGCCCGTCGTGGTAGCAGCAAACGAGTTCTTGCGAGAGGGCTTGAAGATCGTGCCGATGGGGTCGTTGAGGGATGTTGGGGATAGCGTCGGGGGTGCGGGCATCGCCGGCTGCTCCGTCTTCTTCTGTTGTAATTCGTAGATGACGTTGCGGAACGATGTGAGGATGAAGAGGAGCCGGGCAGCCTGCGGGTCGCTGGTGGCGCAGTAGCGCATGATAGCAATGGTATTAGATATTGAGGTAGCGTAGGTCGGGTTGGCGTATATCGACGCGAACTCATTGCTCAAGATGACGAGTGATGCGGCGAAGAGGAAGTACCTGCGAGAAAATGTCAGCATTGTGCACTCTGTAGCTCAGAAACAAAGTTACGTACAAAACAAAGGGATTTCGTTGAGGGAGGTAGTTGCTCTCGAACGCCTTTTGTACGTAGATGATGGTCTGATTGGAAGCGTGCAAGCATGCCTCGCAGTACTTGGACATGCGGTTGATCCATCGGGGAACTGGGAGAGCGAGACCGCTTCGCTCGCCGTGAACTTTGCTCAAAAGACATAGGAAAAATGGCCGCGTCAGTAAGAGGATGGAGTGGCTGTACAAGAGGTTGACATGGAGAGCCGCGATGCCGTGCGCGGGGTTGTTGGGATCGGCGGCCACCCGGCCACCCGCCAATTCGGGACTGAGGGTAGTGTACCAGCTGTTGCACTGCTCCCAGATCTCTTGAGCGAGGCGGACTGATATTCGCCTTCGGGCGTAGATCTTTTTGAGAATCTGCCCAACGATTCGACAAGACCGCACGGCAGCATCAAGTCCATCGGCGGGGTCCGTAACGCGGATCAACTCCCCTTGAGGGTTCTTTTCAAACAGTAAAAGCGCATCCGCAGAGCACTCCTCTTCGTCAATGGCGACTGGCCGGCCGAGTGACGCGGCAAGAAACCGATCGAGAACGAATAGACTTCTCCAGAGGTTGCGACGGAGCCGAATCTCGTCCCCGTTGAAAATGAAGTGGTTCTCGTGGACCCTGTGTAGGCCAAGCGCGAAGCCAGAACGGACCGCCATTCCTAAGAACCCAAAGTTAGCTGCAACATGCCGCAAGAAGTGGATTGGTTCAACACTCACCAAAGTAAGCGTATGCTGCGTTGCGCTTGGATACCGCCAGCATATAAACAGCCATCAACGACAGTGCCTGCACAGACCAAAAATCTGCGTCTTCGAATCCGGAGATTGGGTCACCGAGAGCCTTAGCACTCCTGAAGAAGAGCTCCGCGCGGTCATATTGACTTGCTCGTAGCTTTTTGAAAATCACGTCTCCTTTGCTGCCGGGAAGTGGCGTGCCCAAGACAGTGCCGATGGCAAAGGTCAAGTGCAACAAGCAGAGGAAAGAAGATTGCGCTGCCAAAGGGTCCGTGTAGCATGCTTCCACGGACTTTTCAAACGCTTCCCTGTTGAAGACCTCGATCAAGCCGTGGGTCTGTCGCAAGTTAGCAAACAAGTCTTGTCAGAGTCGCGCGAGGTAGTCAGGAGGTCCGCGTACATTTGTAAAGAAGGAGTCGAGCAGCGCGTTGGCTGTATCCCTGTCGGGTAGAATATGCGGCGGTCGAATGTTCGTCGGAATAGCGCTCGTAGCCTCCATTATCTTGTGGCGGCTAGGATCCATGGTAAAGTCGCTGGGCCCAACGCTCGCCTCGACAATCATTCGTATGAGCTGTAAATAGGCTAATGAGGCTGAGTCGCCCACGTAGACTGATTGTATGGTTAGCAGTTAGAACAATGCAATGCTCTGGCATGGGACCATACGGAGTCTGCCTGTAGGATCCTGCAACATTCTGGTGGATTGCATGAGCGAAGTTTCTTCGTCAGGTCCTGAGGCCGTGCTGTGCCTGGAGCGGATATCAAACTCGCGGTCTGCTGCCAACATATCATGGTCCTGTTCAATGGATGGCTTGACGTCGAACCCTGATGCTGCTTTCGTTTCTTTGACTGGTTGATGAGGCCTCGAGTCCCATGGCGTCGTGGCCGCCGCGGGGCTCTCGGACGTGAGGGACCCATCTGGGGCGGTTGGCTTCACCGTCGGTAGTTCTTCGATATTGCGACGCTTTGAAGGAGAAGCCAATTGGTCCGGGGTGGTCTGCTCGGAGCCATTGTTTGTTGTGTATGTACACTGCAGACTCCTCTTGGTACAGGTGCCGCATGGGCGAGCACCGTTGCACTGTCAGGTATCGGTCAGCGACTGGAAGTGACTTGGCGACTAACGTGATGCGGGAGGGGAACGGCCAATGTCTCGAAAAGTTACAACAGGCTAGCACTTGCCGAGCCTGAGGTCATTCACGTAGGCCGGGATGCGGTGTACACGAGACCAGCAACGCGATAACCCGTTGTAGATCGAGACTGGGGCGCTTTATGGGATGAACCAATGATCCTGGGAATTCTGTGACCAGATCGTCGGGTTGCCCACCATGGCATACCCAGACGAGGGGCACCCCGGATCCCGACGAGATGCCCCGGTTAAGGGTCCAGCAATGATTGCAAAATGTGCTGCGAGAAACACCTCGGAAAACAGATGAAGAATGGTGTACATGGATGCCAACCATCCACTTTGATGGAACGGACCTAGTTGGCAACGTAACATTGACAATCAAGGCAAAGAGGGGAGCTCCACGGGTAGGCACGATAAAAGTGTATTTTTGGTCGAATTGTGAGGCCACGATCAACGTGACTGGAGGATTCCTCGCTATATCGGACCGGATAATTGCCCAACAAGAGATAGTCCCCGGCACATGAGCTAGGTATCGATTGATGGGCAAACAGAACTCCCATTCATGGTCATGGGAACGGGGTTGGTTTTTTTTTTTTTTTTTTTTTGGTTTTTTGTTTTTTCGGGCACCTGGCCAAGGCGCGGGCGCGGGAACGGTGGTGGTAGGGCAGGCTGTTTGTGGGGGGGCGGGGGGGGGGGTGGTGGGGGGGGGGGGGGGGGGGTGGGGGTTTTTTTTTTTTTTTTTTTTTTTTTGGTTTTTTGGTTTTTCAGGCAACTAGCCAAGACCGGCGCGAGGAAATGGTGGGGATAGGGCAAGACGTTTTGGCAGCGGCCCGGAGGGGACTGAGTATGCTGGCACTGAGAGCACTAACAAGAAGACAGTTTGGGTAAAAAAAAATATCATGGACTGGGGGAGCGGGAAGGTCCAGGTGGGAAGGAAAGGAAACAAAAGATGACGATGTTATTGATCTGCCAGGATGGGAGTTGGGCTCTGCCACAAGAGAGAAACAAAACGAGTGCTCTCTGAGGTACGAGGGGAATGGGGAAATGGGGAGCTTACCTTTTGCTTCCGGCGCTTACACGTGTCACAAGCCTGTGCAGTCCGTTGGCGTTTGTCCTCTGGGACCTTGGGTCGGGTCATTGTCGAGGATGGTGATGCAACAGCCGATCGTCCATGGACCCTGGATGATTCCCGTTATCCGACGAGACGACGATGTGGAGTTGGGGGTAGGAGCAGCAGCGGCCGCAGCACCACCAAGTCAGTCGAAACGGCGGGGAGGGCGGGGGAAGGCGGAAACTGGGCGGGAGTCTTGTCGAGGGTCTACAGGTGACTGTGACTATACTGGCGCTTTCAGAAAGTGGACTGTAGAGAGACGGATAGCAGCAGACAGCAGATACGGATAGGCATGCTCATGCTTCCCTCTCACTGCAGTAAGTTGAGTGACGGGCGAGGGCAGCGGGTAGGAGATGAGGGTGCGGAAGCCGCAGCCGCAAAGATGGTTCCGTGCTCTGCCCCCGGGGGCGGGAAGCTAGTAAGGGTCGGTTCTTCAAGCAAGCTTTTCTGACATGTTCCGACGACAGACAAGCAAGCTGGCTGGCTGGCTGGCTGGGCGATGATGGGCGGCGAGAACAACCGCAAGTGGGGAAGCTTGGGCTTTCGGGTATGGGGGCGGTTGCTTTAAAGAGCAATACCTCGAGGTACGGGATAATGAGATGTGACGTGGGAAGCAGCAGATCTCAACTTGTGTTATGCCGCGCGCCGCGTTGGCTCGCTGCGGGTGGGCAGGATAGGACGGAATAGGGCAGGACAGGACAGGACCGGTTGGATGGTATGGGAAGGTGATGGAGGGAACTGCCGTTGCGGCAGGCGGATATCGGCGATCGCGGGGGGGGGGGGGGGGGGGGGGGGGGGGGGGGGGGGGGGGGGGAGGAGGGACGGGGGAGGGAGGGGGGGGGGGGGGGGGGGGGGGGGGGTGGGGGGGGGGGGGGGGGGGGGGGGGCGTGGGGGGGGGGGGGGGGGGGGGGGGGGGGGGGGGCGGACGGACGGGGAGGAGAGAGACAAGTAGAGCAAGGCCGGACGAGGATGATGAAAGGATGGAGAGAAAGCATGGGCGGGTGAGGGAGGGAAGGGCGAGACTTTGATCGGATATGGGACAGACGGCTGGTCCAAGAGACTCTCAAAAATGGGCAAAGTACGAAAGTAGCGAAAGTACGCGCGCCTGTAACGCCCAACGCAAGTCAGGCCAGGTGAAGGGGACGGGGGAGTCGGAGGACTGGGGTGAGCGAGTTGGACTGGAGCCCTCGAGGAGCTGGGTCGTGGAGTCAAAGTCGAGCAGGCAGGCCAGGTCCAGGTGGTCAAGCTCGAGGCGAGTCGAGTCGAGTCGCGCAACGAGATGCTATGTGAAGCGGGGACCAAGAGGGTCAAGGATGCAGACCAGGGGGAAGGGGAGGGGGTGTGGGCCAGGCAGGATTCAGCTTAGAGCTAGGACCGCATTGTAGAGCAAGGGGGGGTTTCCTTCAAGACGGGAGCGATGGGAAATCCGGGCCCCCGTCATGTCGCCTGGATCAGGTAGGATTGGGAGAATTCAAGAGGGGCCCGAAGTCGCGTCAAGGGGGTGGGCGAACCAACATTGACTCACCTTTGTTCCTGTTCCTCTGAAGAAGGCCAGGAGACTCTACTGTCCCGTTCCAGCTGATCAGACAAGACCAGGTCCAGACCCAAAACGTCTTTGACGGGACAGCATGGGGGTCAATATGCCCATGTGGACGCTACCGGTATGTGCCTAGAGACAGCCGGAACGGCGCCGCCGGCTTATAAAACCCTTTAGTGCAGCGCGCAAGAGACGGAGATGATGGGCCATGCCGGCCGATTCAGTTTCCAGCGCCAGCTCCGACCCAACATCTCGAGGGAGGGAGGTTGAGTAACGAGAAGCTCGTCAAACTTGGACTTGCGCTGTGCATTGGCATGCATGACAAGTGGTGCTTCAATGATGAGAAATCCTCCTCGACGAAGCAGATCTCTGCCCCTTGCGCTTGACCTGAAGCTGGCATAAAGGTCCGATAGAAAAGTTGGCCTGGTCTAGCTTGGGATGACAGGGACGCATAGACGGTAAGGAGCTGTCAGAGCTGCGGCTCGTAATCTGCAGAGAATTCGGTGAGTGGTTGGATGAATTGAGCACAACATTCGACTGGGCGCAGCCGGGAAATGCCAGTGTCATGTCCTGAGAGGGAGACGGGGGGGAAAAACGTCCAAGACTATTCATGTGTGCGATGTGACGAAGTAGTCGTGTGCGACGCTATCCAAGGCACGTTTGATGAGGTTCAGTCTCCAGATGTAGCTGGCCCCATGTGCGTGGCACAGACATCTCGCAGATCTTCTTGCAGAGCTCATGCAGAGAAGAAGCATGGCATCCATCATGGAGCTGGATCAATGTTTTGCAATCCTCCAAAGCCAGTGGCGCCACCGCTCACTAGCGTTGGATGAGACATGCTCTCTCGATTAGCGGCAGCGGCCTGCCCTGTCACGCCTGTCTGCCATGGCCCATGCATAAGAGGCACTGGCTCAGCGTAGAGCGAGTGCCGGAGGTGTGGCTGGACCTTGGGAGGCCACGGCTCAGCCGAACCTCTTCGGGCTGGGCTGGGCTGGAATCTGATGGGCCCTTGGCGAGACTGAGCACACGAGACGGGCGAGGCTTGCAGAAGCGTGTCCCAGGCGTGAAACCATCATTCTTCTCCCTTTTGCCTGCGGCGATATCTCCGGGGATTTCCATCTCTCATCGGCGTAGGCGATCCCCGATTGAGACAACGCGATTCGACTGGAATGGTTCCGACAGCGTGGTAAGGAACCATCTCCCTCAAATTGAAAAACGTGCCATGCTTGCCTTTCGGAGGATCGCGCGTTGGCGCTGAATCGGCCAAGCACCTTGGTGGCATTCTCCACGGCTTTCTAGACCCTCATCTATCAGATCGTTGGCCACGGACGGACTTTTGCAATTGGCTTTGGTCAATGCGCTATTGAGGCGCTGCTATTGAAGCGCTAAAGACGGTCGTTTATCTGCCAGAATGAAGTCTAAAATGGCGATGACGGGAAGTGAAGAGTGCGACGTGAAGGTGCATCATACATTGGCGCACGAATGATGCTGATGGGATTTGGCGAAAAATCGACCGTGCAACGAATCGTGCAACGGGTGAAGAATGAATGCATCAATGAAATGTCTCGATGGTTGTTGATTGGGAAGTGCGGAGAAGAAGAGTGTTGTAACTGCCTAGTACCTTGGGTGCGCAAGGCAGGAATAATTGGCATGGGCAGAGTGCCAGGGCTAAGGTACGTGTGCGATGCCCTTCCTTCCCTGCCTTTTTGGTTCAACAATGCTCCTTCTGCAATCGGAGCCTGGTTGCAACTTCCCCCCTTTGTCCGGCGCCGCCCTTCCTGTCTTCCGGAAGCGAAACTGGGTCGGAAGGAGCTGCGCCCGCGCCAAGGCCGGGCCGGCAGTGACGCAATGTCCAAACCCCCGTTCCGATGCAGTCGCAATTGGTCCCCAAAAAATGCCCGTAAGAGCAAGGACGTCTGTTCGTTTCGCCCGCACCCTATTGAATTCGTGGCTGCCGACTATCGGTTTTTTGTGTTCTTCTCTCACACTGGAAATCCGCAACTGTATCGCCGCATCATCGGATAGTGCATGACCTAAAGTCAAACCTGGATTATACCACACCGCAACGAGAAACTACCTACCCACCCAGACACAGCTCTTCATCACCTTCATCACGCGCACATCGTAGATACTCCACCCTGCACAACCACACATACTTATATTGCGCTCATCTCATTATGTCTTATTGAATCTTGTTCTAATCACATGGCTCTTTAGAAACTGGATGAAATCCGATAGATGTTCAGTCTGAACATGTTGCCACAGCCTTGACTTGCCTATCACAGCACAGCACTTGTCTTGCAGCTGTTGCGTGTTTTTTGTTTTCCTGGACGTGGCTGCATCCGTACATGAGGTGTTTTCCGCAAACAGTCATGGATGGATGCTGCGCTCACATATCATAGTCGTCATTTACTTGCCGCTTCCAGACCATCTGGTCTAACCCAATTCCATCTTCGTAGAACAATTCGGTTACCCTGCGCTTGGGACAATAAAATCTTAGTTATCAAACCACCATATCCGTCCCCCATCCCCCCACAGGTCGATGACCAAACCCGCCCAACGACTCATGCCGTTCACCAGGATATTGATGACACGCAAAGTGAGACCGGTCAAACTCTCCTGGACTCTTCACTATTTTCAAGTCGAGTGCAATGGTTAACGGTACAGCTCCAGCCTGACTATCTGGGGTAAGCTTCATCCACATTGCTCTCCCGCCCTGGTTTTTGGATCCCTTGCTTGCAGCCCCTGGCCCTCGTTGTTCAATGTGTACAAATCACCTGTGTTCTAATTTCCTAATTCGGTAATGCCGGCTGGGGTGGAATCCAGTTGACTACGTTGGTGCATGTCATCTGCACGATACTTTCCGATACTTTCTCCTGCAATGCCAAACTTACATTCCACTACCGCATGAATATCCGACCCATCCATGTAACTCGTTCTTGTCTTATCAGGTCGGCATTCACTCCATTGTGGAAACATTTTCCATATGCAATTTAAGCTGCCTCCTGCGTCTGCAGAGTGTGCTATACTCGCGGCAGGTCGCTTCTGTCGACATTTTTCATTCCCTTCAGGCCTTTGGTGCAGGCTCTATCATACAGTAATCCACCTTCCCAGTTACCGTATTTCTACCGCGGCATTTTCTCAACTATCAGGACTATTGCGATGCCATTCACGAGTTCCCGGCCTACTCTTTGCGAAGACATCCTCGGACGGAGGCTGTCAATTACAAAGTACGGTACTACGAACCCGGTCGATGGCTCGCTTACACCATTTCTCACACTCGTCCGTTGCGCCTTCTCGATGCTGCTTGTTGAATTGAACCACCCGGTGCTATGTCTACACTGTTCTGGCCAGGTCTTCGCTTGAAAGGAAGTGTATTGGACTCTAATTACTTGGCCGCGCTGCTGCCTAGTACCTGCAATTCTTTCCTGGCGCTCAAATCATCAGCCATGTGAAAAGGAATGTGGCTGGCATCATCTTCTTCAAGCCTTGCTCCCTTTCATGTAGTTGTGAACTCAAATAGCCAGTAGCCGGACACTCTTCTTTCCTTGAAAAGGCACCTTGAAAAGGCCACTAAAAGATTCAGCGTTCATCAAGGGACAACCCCAAACTAGTCTATTGTGAACGGTTCTGTAAGCCTCTCAGCCTTCTTATTTCCTGCATGCTATCTAACCGTAGCTCCTTCCTGAAGTTATCAAATCTCTTCCGCATACCAACCCCTCTCGACGCCACTAGAAGATGAAACTCTCTTCTCACGTCTCTTGAATGAACAAAAAGCAACGGCCTCCATTACAGCACTCGAAGGCATAGCGGCCGCCTCTATTACATACTTTCGGTACGGTTCCCAAGCAAAGAGGGACATCATATGCAATGTAGCCCACTCCAACTCGCTTCCAGATATCAGCTGATATTGCGATGGTTGACGGCATGGACAACGCCCACACCTTTCTCAAGTCCAAAAGTAGAGAATATACCTGGCCAGGTAGAACGCATTGTATCACGCCACACTCATACCTTGTATATACCGACTTGAGTCAAGTTTGATCCTGTCTATATCGGCGCCCTTTGGCTGACTTGTTTCATGCCGAGGAATCTGGCAAATACTACCACCTCCACGGGTCACCTGGGGCCAGCAGGGCTCTAGCAATAATCGAACCAGCCTCGTTCCATGGAGAGCTGCAGCTGATGCATCGTAATTAACGGGGCCGCAATATAAAGCTTTACCATGCAAACAGTTGGAGGAGGCGGACCCCACGGATGGGCCAACCGGCGTTTCTGTTCTCGAGGAGGATCATTACAAAGTAGAATGCGATTCCGTAATCAGCCTTGGTGTTCATAACCGATAAATCTTGCTTCATTCAAGATGTCGTCTCTCATGCGATCGCTGAGCACTGACTACCCCAGCTGCCGATTGAGCATTCTTCCAGTCTCGGGGTGGACGTGGCCAGCAGCAGACGGAATATGCACCTAAGCACCATCACTCTGCCTCGCCCCCATCATAAAAGCTTCGTACTCCCCTTAGGGCTTGTGATCATCATCTCATAACCCCTGACTGACCGTAGGCTTCCCTCTTTGTCGAAAACATGAGAGTAGGAGGCTGCTAGCTACGGGTCAGCTTCCCGCTCATTTCACCCACATCAAGCGGTGCCACTAGTGATGTAGACAATGTTGATTTCTGGCGGTGCCTGATTTTTGATACTGTCCAAGGGGTCCCGCAGAGCTTGGTAGTGCTGTTTTCCGTGGTGGCGGCCTTCGGTGTATATTTGGTGTTAAATCTCAGATGAGAGTAATGAAACTCCATGACAGAAGTAGCTGCACAACCAACCTCTTATGTTACAGGTGCGGCTTACTTTCTCTTGAGATGATTTGATAAAATTAGTCTTCATGTTTGATCGAGTAGTTTTCAGTCAGACTTGCTCTTTCGCAAATCCATTCTATAAAGAACTATGTGTTTATGTTTGTGAATGACTGAAGCTGGTTTGATTTTGAATCTCGATGTCCCACTCACGTTCTTGATCCACTGATGATGTAATCTCTGACGATTCATTCTGTCGTTTTTAGTGTCGTTTAAGCCCGACGAAGTTGTGTCAAAACCCGATGTTGTAGTTTCTTAGAGAGCGAAGTCGGCTTCATTTTGATAACCTGTTCCGTCAATATTAGTCGTTAAAGTAGAAGGGAACAACGACTTGAACAGGATCGCTATAAGGCTTGTTTACTAACTAGTGTGTGGATCAAGACGATGATTCATTCAAGAAGTGCCGTGAAAAGATCGGTGTAGAGTCTTTTAACCCTCAATATGGGACTCCAGCAGGTGACGTTCTGTCTTCATAGTGCTCGCTATATGAGGAAGGGCCTCAGATCTTGTCACGAGTTTCAGTTGTTTCTTTGTCGTCTGCCACTCATATCCAGCTATGGCAGATGTTCAACTTTTCAGCTAGATGATTAGAAAATACAGCAGAGAAAACAAACAAGCCTCAAATGTCTTGTTTGAGCCGAGGCCACAATTTGTAGTTGTTACGTCAATGTAAGCGGACCCCTGGGTGGCTCCGTTGGCCATTCACCTGAGTGATGGTTCTACGTGGTGTTTTTTTGTCTCAACGGTGGACATTTAGGCAAATGCTGCATTAAAAAGGCTTTCTGGAACATTGTAAATTGTAACAGTATCTCCGTATATGCTTCGATAATCGTTTCCAAGTCGCTGCCCTCGTCAGACTCGCTTTTGACAGACTTAAATAAGCATGGTATTGCCTTTAGGTATTTATTAGTAAAAGCAAGGTATACTCATGTAAAGTGCCTTGAGGGCTAGATGATGGAGGTAGTCAAGCGCTTTAAGAATCTCATGAGTGGGGTTGTCATTGACTTCTAGGTGACTATGAGATATTAGCCTGAGACGTAAACTGACATCGGTGAACCAGAGCCTCACAATAAGGTGACAAAAACTCTAATATTTTCAGCGCGCCGCTGCTGTTCCAGGAGAATTCACTTAATGTAAAGAAAAATGGGCGGCATGACTGATGCCTTAAGGGTCTTATCGTAGCCCCTAATAAATGATTTCATCTTCCTACAGCTCAAAAACGATGGTTTATCGCACAGCTAAGTCGATCACAAACAATTGCATTACGACGCTTTTACCAACCCCAGATAATGCGAGTAATTAGAAAGACAGTACTTTCTTCTTTTGCTTCGCGGTGCTCTCGAACTCGGAAAACAAGCTGAAGCATTTAGTTGCGCTTTTGAACACCGAACCTCGGCTTTCCATCAACTGCGGTGACTTAAGTTAGATACCATTCCATCGACGTTAACGAGTCTATAGGAAGTTTTCGACATGAAGACTTTTAGGATTTCATTTTTCTTCCCGAGGAAATTACGCAGAGGAGTAGAGGCGTTGTCAACCTAGAATATAATGCTTTTAACATGGGCCTATCACGCGTTTACTAGAACAAGCGCTATATGCTTGTTAGCCCTTCTTTGTTATGTGTTGTTGGCATGAGCTACTTCTCCATTTGACTGCTAAAAAAACTCATGGCTCTGACATGAAAATTCTTTTGCAAACAAGTGTGTCAAGGAACCCAGCGTCATTCTGTTTACGGATCATGATGGAGCAAGGAAGAGGTAGCGCCCCACTCAACGGGAGGATTCAGCACGTCTCACAAGAAAACCAAACTGAAGTTGGCTGGAGTATTGGATTTGTAGAAGGTCCACCCTACTGATTTCTTCTTTTCGTATTGGTTAGATCACTTTGGCGGCGGCGATTATGGCAGAGGTAGTTGAACGCCCTCCGTGGGTGTGAAATTCATTGTAGAACGGGGCGGGCGCCTTGGTGTTGGAGAGACAGACCATACTCTTTCTCCAGATGGGATATTGCACTGCTAAGCGCCATCTTATCACTGGCCGTGTCAGAATGGATTTACGGATAGGATCGTGCCCCAATGCACCTCAGCCGTCCCCTACCCCCCTTCCTGTACTATTATTCACGCCGGAATACCCATCAAGCAGGTACTCACAGAAAGCGTGGGTGAAAGATATTTTCCCTAAGCCACGAGATTTGGGATTACGGCTGCTAGAGAAGGCTGGCCAAGCGGGCATTCAACACAAAGCCAAAAGAAGATGTCCAAAATTGGCAACTTCCTCTCGCAGGACTATATGTGTTTGCGGAAACAAGCCACGCCCTGTCCCTTCCATGGTTGTTAGTTGAATACCGATTTTTTTCCGCAGGCACTTTGAGAAGCTAACTTCCTTCCCTAGGTAGGGAAACGTAGCCGTACTATAAGAAAGCTGCAGAGACAAGACTACTCGCGTGAGCGGAATAGATCTTCAAAGGATGCGACCACAAGCAATGAACCCTGAGTGAAGACCGTGAAGACTCCTTGACCGCTCTACAAACATTTCGCCCGGGATGCCCTCCAAAAATCAAAGAAAAGACCCAGCCAAGCGCCCACGTACAAGCTGGAGCCGCGACTGTATTCAATACATCATCTCAAGCAGCGCCATCCTCGGCAGACACATTCCCACAAACATGTTGCGACGACGCCATTTCAGCAGGACTTATCTTGCGAACCTATGTGTACCCAACCTCACACCCCTCCGTGATCATCACCCATGTTTGAGCCTAGGTATCGCTCTAACTTTCCTATTCCCGCAGAGATAAATCCAGAAAGAAGAAAGTCCCCTTGCACACTGGGAACACCCTGAAATCTCGCAGGCCTGCCCAAAGAAGTACTTCTGAAAGCCATGGATGTCATCGAAATGCAAAGGAGAGTTCCGGCCATCCTGAGCCAAACCTGTCTCAGAGATACAAAACCATCAGCCTAAGCAACTCTGAATCCATGGCTATTTAGACGTAAAAGTCGGGTGTATGTAAAGTGAACAGCCTCCCAACAGTGCTTACCTTGAGTGAGCGTAACATCAGCCACTCTACTCGAGAACTCATTCCCTGCATACGAATTGTCCGTCCATCTCCGCCCGTGTCAATGGCGTCATTGCTCCTAAGTTGCGGCTGAATGATAATCCATGCACCAGCATTCCCCATGTTTCATTCCCCATGTTTGTGTATTTCTGGAAGTCGGCCCACCGGGGGTCTGCGTCGTATAAGTTAGTCGTCAATATTTTGAGGAGCCAGCTCCGCACTCAACGCCGTTTGATCGATACGACGGAGGCCCTGACTACAACCTAACGTTTCACCATGGCCCAAGAAAACATGTTTAGTCAAAGTCTTTTGAGGGCTTAGCTGCAAGCGTTTAAGCTCCCGTTAGACCGGAAAGACTCAGTCAACCATCAAGATGGTGTTGAGCTGCTACGCATACTTCACATTGCAGCAAACAGAAAGGACGATTGTCAATGAAATATGCGTTTCGTCATGTATTAGAAGCCATCCACCAGCTTGTCGTATGGACAAGTATTCATCTACCATAACCAAACACACAATGCAATTCATGCGGGAAATTTTTCGTGCCCCATGAAACCAAAAATGACGAAAGCCACTCGACATATGTTTCCCGCCAACGCCAAATTCAAATCCACAATGTGAAAAGAAAACAAGTCTTGGGAGAAGAAAGAAGATGCCTACGCGCCCGATGCCACTCGCTTTTAACCCCTCCCATCCCCATGATGCCCGAGAGAGACCTCGTGTCGAGGTCGCGCTAAGAAACCATACAGACCGGAAAGCGACAAGATCTACTGTGGCCTTCTTCCATCTCAGGCGGTGCAATTTGTGTGAAAACGAAAATGCGGACACTGAAACACGATAACCGCCAAATAAAAACGCCTTGTACGCTATGCTCTACCATGCTGAAAAATAAGTGACGAATAACACAATGGTTGGAGGTGAACCCAATGTCCATGCTCGTGGCAATGCCAGGTGCAATGCTGCAGAAGGAGAATTCAAGAAAGCAGCCCAACGGTAGAATGGAACCTCAAGAGGGGGGTGGGGGTATCATGAAGGGTATCATGTGGAAAGGGCTATTTTTTTTTATCCAAGGGTGCGGCCACTGTGAATGGCCGGGGGATGATGGTGGGAATTATTCCGGGGGGTAGTAGGACTGGGCCGAACGGTCGAGGCTGGGCTGAACTCTGGAACCGAGTACGTTGGCGGGCGAGAGGGATCCCAGCCCTCCTCACTGAGCACACTGAGGTAACCATTGCCAACCTTGTCCCGCAATGCTTCGATCTTCCGGCGGTACATCTCCCCGCTAACATCCCAATCCTGAGAGTCTGCCGGAGCATCGCGGGTTGTGTAGATGGGGGGAAGTTCAGGAACCACGCTGGTGTCTATGCGGGGTACCTCGGGTTGAGAGCTGGCCTTTCGATTGTCGGCCAGAATGGCGGAGGGAAGCGAAGGTATCTCAGGGGCCTGCGAAATGCGGTAGTTGTTGTCTGAACCGGCCGCGGTGGCCGTGGCATCAGAAGCGAGCACCTTGATGTCCGCAGGTGCTACCGACGCGATACCAGGCGTCACGGTCACAGATGCATCCGTGGTAGAAAGGTCTACTATCCGTCTCTTTGGTGTCTTGCGGCGGCGAGTGGAGCTGGTGTTCACCTCGCTGGTAACGGCTTTGGGAACCGGCCGCTCCTTGCGGAGGACGGAAGGCTCCTTGGGGATGTCGTAGATGATGGCTGGCTTGCTGACGTCAACAGCCGGGATGTCGGCGGGAGCGGGCTTGACGACCGGCACGGCGGCAGGGACCGGTGTACGTTCCACCAAGTATCTCCTCTCCGAATACGTAGGACCACAGTTGTCAATAACAATGTCCTCGGTGTAGCCTGGGGTCTTGCGGAAGAGGTTAAAAATTGTGATGCGGTAATCCTTGTGGGTGCGGGTGAAAGGGTTGCCCTCAACCCAGATCTCTCGAATGTCAGGAATGCCAGTGAGCCTGGCCAGCTCCATAGGATCTGACAAGCGGTTGTCTCGAAGGTCCAATCGCTCGAGGGGGTAGAGTTTCTCAATGCCAGCGATTGACTGCAGGCGGTTGGCGCGGAGGTTGAGAGCCGAGATGGCCGGGAGGGGATTGCGCGTCAAGGAGTGGAGCCCATCGATCATGCAGTGTGAGAGGTTAAGTGCGCGAAGAGCGGTAAGGGTGGCCAAACTGTCGGGGATCTGAGTAAACAGATTGGATGACAAGTCTAGAGAGTGAAGGGTGTTTGCGAGGGGAACCAAGCTAGTGGCAGGGATGGAGGTCATGGAGTTGTCGGCCAGACTGAGGTGCTTCAAGAACCGCCACTTTGATGTTGGCAGAACACCCATGCTCAAGAGATTTGAAGAACTGCCGGCGCGGCTGTGGTGCCACGAGTCCGAAAGACTCGACTGCGAGCTGCCAGAGCCGGAGCGACGAACCTTGTGGCCTCCTCTCATGTGAGAGGGGTTGCGGGAGCTGACGGGGCGAGTTGGCGAGTTGCTGCGCGGTCTCGATCCCTTGGGGGGCGACATGGCTTCGAACGTTTCCGCTCGAGCCAGAGATGGCCGTCTGCCTTCACCATGTGCGTCGTCAACGGCATGATCTTGGGTGCTCAGAGAACCAATGCCCAGGTCCCCGATCGAGTTGCGTGGGTCTGGCGAACCCGGCATCGAGGGTGACTTGTGAAGTTCAGCGTGAGGAATGGTGGGACTCCTGCGAGGGCTGGAACTTGAGGGCCATGGGGTAGTCGGCGATGATTGTTGCTTCGATGTCCTCCTCCGTCGCTTGTCCATATCATCAAGCACAATGTCGATCAGGATGTCTGCAGGATCCTCAACGCCGGCGCGCTTCAGCGTCAGCGACCTCAGCTGCTCGGCCATGCGATCCCACCCAAAGAACTGTCGGAAGTCGATGCTGTTCACTTCGAGAGCTTGAACATTCTTGAAGACATAGAGCGGCACCGCGGAGTCGAATGGGAACTCCTCGTAGCCGCGGATCAGCCGGGCGCGCCAGTCGGGGGCGAGGCGCAAGCAAGGAATTTTGGTGAAAGCCGAGTATAAGTACTTCAGGTCGGCCTGGGTGGCAGCTTTCTGCCGCTCGGTTCGTGCAGCCGAAATGCTCGCACCAATGCCAAAACTTGTCCAGAGAGCCGACATGCCTGACATAACGCTTCGAACGCTAGATACGGAGTGGATGGAACCAACATCGGAGCCGCGGCTTCGGGATCGTTGGGTATTGCTCAAAAAGGATACGTAATTGGCCGATGTTGAGCTATCGTGTAGGTTCTCGAGACGAATCTTCATAGGGCCAACGGGAATGGCGAGTTCTTCGAACCGAGAGAGTAGGTAAAACAGATGGTGCGGCGTCAAGGCCAGCTTCGCCGACTTGACAGTGTGCGAAGTGAAGTTCAAAGAACCCAGAGAGAGAGCGGATGCGAGTCCGTTCGAAGTTGAGGCCGAAGTCGAGGGTCTCTCGGGGACGACCGGTGATTGAGGCGTGGGAATCGAGCTGACACTCTGAGAGGAGCCATGGCGAGAGGCTGCCTGTCTTCTGAATTGTAAGGCGTTGGCGAGAGCCTTTTCGTGCGTGCGCACAAAGCTGGCCAGTTGCTGTAAACAAAGATATTAGCACAACCGATACACCAAGCTGGGCAGCGCAGCCTAGCAGTAAAGACATAACAATATTGATGTTAAACAAAACGTACCTTTACGAACAACTCCCCGTCTTCCGAATCCATGATCAAGGACGCATCAGGGGCAGACGGAGTACAGGGTATGGGTATTTTGGGGTTGAGAAAGGAGAGAAACGGCGAGTATTGGCGCCTAATATGATCGTGAGTGTCGTTCGTCTATGATACCAGAGATTGCTGTTAGGTCGGACAACGAGGGCCAGTCGTAACCGGTTACACCGCAGACTGTACGAGGAGGGTTAGTATGCCGTTGCTGCGTGGCTAAGAGCTTTTAGAGCAAATGAGAGTGGGAAAAGTCGGATTGAGATGACAAGAGAAGAACAAGAAGCGCCGTTGCGACACTTTGCCAGGCAGCACAGTCGGAAGGAGTGAGGAGGCTCGTGAGAGGGACCACGAGCCATGCATCCCGTTGCGTACGCTGCAGGAGCCGTCCTGTCTCACAACGCTGGAATTTCGAGGGGGGAAGTACAAGACGCCGAGAACAACGAGGGGAATGTGAAGCGGTGTTGCCAACACTCGACAACACGAGTCGGCCGACGGTGGTGGGTGACAGATGATACAGGCAAAGGCAAACACAGGCATAGAGGGAATATAATAGACAATAGCAGGTGAGTGGTGTGGGATGCGATGTGCGATGTGCGAGGCAGAGATTTCCCTCTCTCGTTCCCTCTCCTCTAACGAGGCGGCAAGATAAGCAGGCAGGGTAGTGAGGAGTCACAAAAATGAGGCAACAAGCTAGGCATGAGGCAAAAGGCAGCGGTCAAGAACCATGGCACTGGTTTCCTGGTGTTGTTGTTCTCCTGAACGGTGGCCAAACAGAGAGCACTCACTTTTTTTTTTTGGTGTTTCTGGCCGGAGGCGAGATAGAGAAAGCTCACCGGGGACAGTGGCTCTCTTTTCTCGTATTGTAGAGATCGGGTTCGCCTCGTACGAACACGCAGGAGGGTCGAGGTCGAGTCGGGAGGATAAGGAGGAGGAGGTTGAGGGTATTCGGAATGGTGATTCAAGGTCGAGGAAGCTATTTCCAAACTCCTCACGACAACTCTGCACGACACAGAGAAAGGAGTGTGAGGGAAACCGAGAAGGGTCTTTCTTCGACAGGAGGGGGGTGGTCGGACGGGGTCCGGGTTTAATAATAACAAATGGTCGCCAACCAGCCCGCTGCTGCTTGGTGGTGCTAGGTAAGGTATCGGTGGGAGGAAGAAAGAGAGAAAGGTGTGGTGCGCAGGTTAGAGCGGTAGGCGGTACGGGGTACGGCCTTGGATACCTGCCCAGAGAGTTGGTACGTACCCAGGCACCCTACCCTCGAATCAACCCACCCGCACCCACACCCCCAAGCCACCAGATGCAGCGAACAGAGAGGACCAGCGGCCAGCCTTCCCTGACGGGTGACCCTTGACCAGGACATGCTGGTTTGGATATCGACAGGCCTCGAGGCCCCATCTGAGTCATCCACTTTTCGGGGGTGGATACCTTGCAGATACTGGAGACTGAAGCATCCAGCAACACGCCATAGCAGGTGTCTGAACATGGAAGACCAAGAAGCCCTCAGACTCCAAAGACACCCTGATCATCGCAGACTAGCATCCCCCCAGCACCCGAGAGCGCCCATGTCCACCCTAGCACCTCTCACTCTCTCTTAGTCGACCCTGCAGCCCGCACCCTGCTACAAGAGACGCCAAGGAGGGTTCGCCAGCGGCAGCAGCGAGAAACCCGAGGTGAGAGAGTCGGGTCAAGAGGGCGACGGTTGGTTGTGGATGGGAGAGGGAGCTCGCGAGAGGCAGAGACTGGGTGAGGAGATGTGGGAGCAATTGAAAACTGGGATCATCCCTGTTTAGTAGCGGCGGGTCATTCAATCAAAGCAGACCAAAGTACCCGGTACAAGCTGGAGCGCCCTTTCCATTTTGACTGCAACTGCCTGCAACTGCCCTAGATCTCCCCCCCTCCTCCTTCCTCGTCTCAACCGTTGGCGTAGCAAATGAGGCAGGAAACAAGGGAACTCACGATGCCTGCTCCTGCCTCCTGTCCATCATCGCCCATCAATCAGCACCTGCCTCATGGACCAATATGCACGAATATGGCGACCTGGGTACCTTACCTTACACACCTTACTCGCTACTGGCTATTTCTCTCCTTGTTGCATCTCGGGCTTGCATCTCACAGACTCGCAAGTCGATGCCTCCATGTGTTTCTTTTTGTCTGTTCCCTCTGCTCATCGCATTCTTTCCCTGCCGCCGCGACTGCCTGCTGCGCTGCACGTCTGTTTGACTTGCACATTCAGTTTTAAGACGTGCATTGCAAGCGCAGCACGCGGCGACAGCGTGCAGTTGACGGCTGATTTCGTTTGAACTCTGGCCCTGCCGCCCTTGTCTTTTTCTGTCCTCCATGCCTTTGGCTCTTCTCCCGGTTCAGCCCATCCCCCCGGAACTTCATCGTACCCTCGACCTCCGCTACGACTCGAACCGGCCATCTCCCGTCTTCTGTCGCGACTCGGTCACTAATGCCGCCATCTCCACGCCGTCCGACCCCCGACAAGCCCCGTTCTCCTCCTTCTCTCCTATTTCCCACATAACATGTCCCACAACTTACGACACCCTAAGATGACATGCACGTGTGTCCCATATCTACAACAGTATCACACATACGTACTGGCCGGCTCCAGACAGATAGCTACATTAAGCCTCCAATCCGTTGAGCTCTCCGGCGCACGGTCGCTCCATCATCTCCCACATCTGCCTGGGTAAGGTACCTTCGTAAGGATAGGTACCCTTGGTTTTTCCTTGGTCACCCATCGTTCTCCCTTCCCTTCTTTAATTCTCCGTAGCAGCACACATCAAAACAGTCAAAACATCCATCGTATTGCACCTACGACACCATCTTCTCCGTTGCTTGTCTCGCCATCGGTTACCGGGCGACGAACGAGCGGGCGGGCGGTGGTGACGGTCAGATGACACCCGTCGCTCTCAGCCGGAATGGAACACCTGCGATTACACACGATTGTTCGCTGCAGTCTGTCGGTCACCGGCCACAGTGAGACTGACGGCTGACGGGCGCGAGGGAAAAAAAAACCGCCAATGGTACTCTGTACAAGTCCCCTCCAGACCTCTCGCCCATTTGTCGCCGAGATTTCAGAGCTCGTCTGGGGGGGTGCGAGGAGGGGGTCCACCGACGAGTGATCCTTGCGTGCGGCTGGGGCTTGCGCTTGGCCCCAAACGTGTGACAAGCGATGAGCAGCACCCACGCAGTAGCGAGTACGCAGGCAGGTTGAAGGTAGTACGAAGAAAAGAAAAAGACATTCAATGTCTCTGCCCCCGAACAATATCAAATCGTCGGCTTCGTCTCCACCGCCAACCGGCGAGTCTCACTCCGTATGTTTGCACTTCTGGAATTCGTCAAAGAGTCCATCACGATCAACAAGCACCCAGATTACCCGGATTCCTAGCAGTCGCATTCCTGGCACACGAGACAATCACATCATCGCGACTCCATCCGGATCCAGCGCATTGGGATGGCCGGGCGAGTGTGAGCATTGCGCCTCCAACCTCGAGAGCAGGAGCCAATTCGCTTCCCCAACTTGCCGGCCTCGGGTCCGGCTGGTGCGCATTTCCACCTCATTTTGTTCATGCGAACTAGCATCAAGGATCTCCAAAGTCGGTCCAACCGCCAATTGCCATGGTATTCTTTTGTTTACACCATGGAAGGTGGTTGTTTTTGTTGACGGGTTCCCCTTCCAACTTGTCAATTGTGCCGTAGCCGCCATCGCCTGCGCTTCTTATCAGTCTGTTCTCTCCGCGGGTCGTCTGAAGACGGGTGCCATCTGCCAGGACTCCAAGAGAAGCCAAGCCCAGCAAGACCACGGGCCGTTGATAACACATTCCAGCGAATATGGGCGGCTCGTTATGCGAAGGACATTAACTGCAATGCCGTTGCCCATTGCGAATGGTCTGATTACGCCATTGTTGTCTGACGGGTGAGCTCCACGTTGGCAATGCGATCTGCTGTAGTGTGATGCCTTTCGTGATGCCATTCCAATATATTTGCCTTTGGGGTGTTGTCGTCTTTGTCTGACACGACTGGGCGCGGCGCGAGTGAGTTCCGCGAAGCTGTGAGCGCATAAGTGCGGCATTACTTTTGACGAATACACAGCGTCGCGGGGCGTTTATACGACGCTAATGCTAGCAAAACTTGGTACTCGGCAACCTGGCCACGGCATCGGCAGCATGGCGTACGGGATACGGTGCTTGATGTTGACATGAAGGACAATTCAATAGCTCGGGTTGGCGACTGCAAAAGAAAAGCATAGTAAAATTGCAGCGGCTCAAGAGGTCCAATAATGCGCATGGATGGTCACGGCGACACTGGATCGTGGCGGAGAGGTCAATCTCGTCTTTTCATGGCCTGTTTCGCCTGGCGGTCCACTGGATGCCCCAGCACGGTCATCCCATGTCGTGCGCTAAGGGATCCCGGGCAATATGGCACCCTGCAAGCCACCCCACTTGAGGACCCTCCATCGACTTTTTGAACTTGGAGTCGAAGGTACATGCATCTCACTTTCATGCGCAAACGAATCTCACTGGCTGGGATTGTTGCCATGTCCGTGCGCCGCGCTCGTCAGACTTAGCGTCCAGAACGATGGACGTCCATTGCCTGCCTTCGTACCGGTACCTCACAATATAGCATGCGCAAAGGGTACGTACTCCTCATAGCATATGGATGGACGCCAGCAGGGAAGCGGTGGAATATCGGGCCAGCAGAGAAAGGCATTCCTTTTCTGAGGGTGCACCTCCTCCACAATGATAGTGATATTCAACGGCTGCTATCACCACCCGAGAAGAAGAAAAAGGTGACCCCTTAATCAGTCCGAATCCATGACTCTGTCTCCTCGTGACGGTCGCCGCCTCCAACTCAACTTCAGATACATGAGCCTCATCTGGGGATGTCGTTCGAACGTTCCTACTGCGAACTACCTTGGTGAAAAACCCGTCGTCGGGGGGAATAAGCAGCGTGTGTATCGAAATAGCCCGACCGTTGCGATCCTCAGGCAACGTCGAGGCAACTTCAACGGTCTTGTTTCTTTGCCCCTCATAAACTCCATCTAACCGTTTCGCAAGTTTCCAGAGGTTAGATTGAATATTTGCCACTACGTTTTTAGAACTGGGCTGAGGAATTGATGCGTTACCCAAAACCAAAAACCTGGGGAAATAGTAGTATACCTAGGACAAAGAGGGCTGATAAAAAGGTTCTGGATGGAACGTTGGCCCATGCCAATTCCCATCTCAGATAGAATGTTTTGGCGCCTCAAACAAGACTTGACCGGTCTAAAATAGCACATGCTCGACTCTAACTAGGCAACTTGGGTAAAGCACGTTGATGATAAATCAAAACGAGGAACGAAACGGCCCCAGCCACCACGGTTACTTGTCTAAGGTAGGTACTATGGCGCACGTTGTCTCTTTCATTGAACAATGTAAACTCTTGCTCCGCGCGAACTCCTCGGACCCGACTCACAAGCCAAAGAGATCCGCGCTACTAGGTACTTGGTTCGAGAACGGTCAATCCCTCTTCGCCAACAACATGACAAAGTGCCCTGCGCTTACCGTTTACTAAGGTGTGATAACCTGCCTTCTCACTTTGATTACCCAACCTTGCAGATGATCTAGGTAGAAGCTTGGACACAGCTTATGCGGTCACTATCTACAGACACCTCTATGATTCATTGTTTTCTTTTTCCATATCCATTTACTATTGCTTCAGGGAGGTCTGGGAAAGGACCGTGAAGAAACCCCAAAAGAGTCAGGAGGTGGAGTCAGTCGTTCGTGCCTACCTCGTCAAGTCCAAGTTCATCCATGTCTCTTGCAATATGAACGTATCCGTATGCGTACCTCAGTTGAGGTAAGGTAAGGCAAGGTACGGATACACTGCAACTCAAGGCAGGTACTCAACATGCCTGGCCTGTGTCGAACCTGCTCGTCTTTCTCCGAGCACCGCACCGAAGGCACGAAGGTCATCTACTCTTTCCCCCATGCCCAGTTGCAGACCTCTCGTCGCGCTGGTTCCCACCCGCCGATCTTCTTGCGGTATCCATATTCTGTAGCGCGTGCACCCATTCCCATTGCCGTTTTCCCATCTCCATCTCCCTTCTCCGCTCCGCCCGTCGTCACTTGTACCGCAACATGGCAAAGAAGATCTTTGCCTTTCTCTCCCCGCCTGGATTGCACATCACCTTGTTACCTCCCGCCTTTTGGGCTACATGCATGCCACAGGTCGGCAACGCGCTTTTTTCTCCCAGCACATATCACATTCCAGAGAATCAAGCGCATGAGCGATGGGGCCCGAAATGTCAAGAAGCTTTCCATCGACGCAGAGCCAATCCAGGCAAGGTTTGTAGCTGCATCCTGGGCAGAACGGAGCAGCAATTATGTCATAACTCCACCAGCTCGAGGAGCCCGCGATGCCTCCTCATTGGGAACGCACCGCCCAAGTTCGTAACAGACCTCTCCTCGTCGCTGCTAGGGCATGTCATCCTGCCTCTGACGCTCCGCTCTTCATCCCTGCAGACAACCAACGACCCTCCACCAGACGACAATCCATGGTCATTCTTCACTAGCTCACCCCCACATCACCCTTCTTTTCTAACGCCTGGCTGCCAATCTGATAGGGGAGGCGCCGAATTGTGGATGGCATCCCCCAGTGCCAACGGTCTATTCCTCTTCGGGGGCACACCTGGTTCAGTCTTGACCACCATCATGCTGCTCCGTCCCATCCAATGCGCGAGCGAGAGCAAGACGGGGAGAGAGAGAGAGAAAATGAGCAGATCACGCCGCCGCCGTCTCCGTGGGACATTTGCATCGTGGCAGACGCGCGTGGAATATCATCGTGCGCCGACGTGCAGCGCCGCATCGTCCACTCTACCAACTAACAACCCATGCCGTCTCCAGACCCTTCTCTCTCTCTCCATACGCCGGGCCTCTTTTCCATCGTCCCACGTCCTCGACCCCGATGCCATGCCTCAACTCTAACATGACGCATGCTCTCTTACGTTGCGGCCGGCGTTCGGTCGCTTCCCTCGTTCCCACGAGCCGGGATGCTGACGCGCTGTTACATAACCGCACCCGCTCGGCACTCATCATTGTGGATTCGGGGACTCCATCGTCAAGCAGCCTCATTCTGCGAATAGCTGCATCTCCCTTCAGATTCGCGATAGCGTTGACGAAGGAATCATACGGCGCTATTTTACCGCCTGAGACTTTCTCGACCGGCACCGTTACAACAATGTCGGTCAGCCGGCGGAGTGCACGGCCGACCATCTTGCGTGGGTGCTTGCAGCGGCGAAAATGTGTGTGAGTGTACATTGGTCGTTCAGAGGTAGACGATACATGCCAACTTTGGCGTACGTGGGAAACAGTACACCACACCACACCCTCAACTTACTCTTCCTGCACGTACAATGGGTGGACGGCCGGCGACGAATACCTATTCAACCTCGCCAACCGCCAATCGCCAATATGTCCGCTTCCCCTGCCTTACCACTCGATGCCATGCCGCGCAGCCCCTCATTTTCACTCCGTAGATTACCACCATGCGCGACGACTCTCTCACACTCTGCAACTCATTTCTTTGCGCCTCCATGTCGTCGCTGCTCTTCACCGCTCCTCTGCGGTTCATCGGAATGGATTGAATAAGGCAAACGAGACACGGGCAATAGAGGAACAATACGACTATTCTTCCGTGTCTCGCGTATTGGTTGTAACGCTGAACACCTTTTTGATCACATTGAACCTTTTCCCCGTCGCATTCTCAGGTGTCGTCTGGCGGGGTCAGCCTCAGAGCCATGTGCCCCGCGCGGGAGCTGGTAATGAATCAGAACATTCATCATGTGGTCGTGGCTTGGCTGGTGCCGCGACGCCCTCCGATAGCGAGTCGTTGGGGACCTTGGGGTTCTTTACCCAACCCTTTTCCCGCCGCCACGAACGGCGGTTCGTCTGGCGGTTCAAGACATCTAAGACCTGGTACCAGAATAAGGGCGAGGCCGGAAAGGCACAGTCTTTCTAAAGCGAGTCAGTCCCATATCTCAGACGACTACGATGCTCTGGCGTCTGCGTTGACCCAGGCACGAGAGAAGCGATCATCAGGCACTTGAGGCTCGGTCTCAGGGATGGCTCTTGGTTGGTGTGGTTCACTACCTTGGGAAGGGCGGTGGGAGAATGCAGGTGGTGCGCTACCAGACTACACTACAGCACCATCTCAGACCTAAAGGACATGGTGGAGGGCAGATGCCGTTTCCTCATTCGATGTTCGTTCGTCCATATCAGTGAAACAGGGGCCAGACCGAACCAGGCCGCCTACGAGGTTCGCGATTTTTGACCTGCAGGCGCCGAAATCATTTGACATTCAGGCATTTTCTCTGCATCCTAATCGGGACCGGGAGTCTTTTTCGGGGGTCCAGGCCTGGGCAAGGGCAAACACCGCCTTGGGCCGTGGACGCGGTCGAGATATTGTGTCGTCGAACCGAGCCAAGAACAATGAACAGCGAACAACGACGGCCAACCACCGAGTGTGCAGAGACCTAGAAATTTGGAACGATGTTTAGATGCCAAGGGCCATACACTACCAGGGAGGAGCGGCGCCGCTGCGAACATGTGAGCCCATCCATGGTGCATTGGAGCCGCCCACCAATCATGTACCGGACATGCGAGGCTGGACAGTCTAAGTCTGGGGACCAGGGGGCGGGAGGACCGCTGACTCGCCGGCCAAGAGAGATCGTCTAGCTGTACGACTCACGTATGAATACCGTGAGTCGCTCTCTTTCAAGCTCATCGTGAGCGGTGGACTGCCGAACAGCCGTCCATCTCACTGGACTAGGACAACCGAGGGGTGCCATAGGTGACTGAGTTTTGCGTCTCGAAAACTTGACGTGTCGATTGCAAAGGGGATCCAGGGAAGAGTGGCTTGGCTTGGTTGTCGATGAGTTTCTCATACAAGCCAGGAAGAGTGGCTTACCTGACACCAGGGAACTCCCGACGGATAGCCGGATGGGCATAGCATCACGCAGCTACGTCTGAGGTGTCGTTCACGCCAGCCACAACACTACTGCAACTTTGCTCTTGACACTAGCAAAGATGATTTGTATGAGCCGCAGCTGGATCCACGGCTTCACCTGAAGTCTGACGTTTGTCTGCCAAGACCGGTGACTGGGACCCTCGCTTCTGTCATCGTCATTCAAACACAAAAAATGGAAATCTTGGTATTACCATGTCCGTACTACGGATATGAACAATGGCGCCACTCGCGCAACAAGGTTCAACTCAGATCTAAGGAAAAACCAAGGCTGCTTGAACCCTGAAGATCCTCCCAGAATGCGCCGTCTACCGAGCTCGCCGAGAGCTGGAACTCAACCGTATGCGTGACAGAAGATTCGAGGCACATGATTTGGAGATGCAGCCGCCTCCGGCAAGGCGAGGAATGCGGGAACTGCTTGCACATTCGTCGTCTCACAGGAGGGGGAGAGGCTACGGGGAGGCGATACGCCGATTGCTCGCTCACCGCTCCGTCGCGAAAATTCTCTCTTTCCTGCAGGCTCGCACACCTTTTTTTGTTTAATGCGAGAAAGACTGCAAAGAGTGGATTTCTCAAAGACGCACGACTAAAACAGGACTAGGTAGGGTGGTTAGGAAGACAAGTGGAGGAGGACCCGACGCTACTCCCAGTCCGTCCTAGGTATTGAGGCTGGGATTGCTCGAACCAGTTGGCTTCTCGACTGTCGACTTCTACCTTGAACTTCTACCCTAACTTACATGAGGGTCGTAATGGTCTGTGCCCGTGCTGTTGGCGGCTCGTGACGAGCAGTGCCACAGTGAAGCGTACACACCATCACGGTTTTCTGTATCTCTACCTATTCAGCTATCTCTGCGTGCAAAAAAAGGAGGGGCAGTCGGACCCCTGGAGCTGCCCCTCGATCTCGTGGGGAATTGACGATTGGCCGTTGGCTGCGGCCAGCCAACCAAACGCCATTCCCGCCTGCACCACGCAACCCGAGTACGCATCCTCATTCTTCCCACATTCTTTTGTCCGTGTACCGCAAATAGACGCCCTCAAGCGTCAGCTGCTTGGTTTGCCAGGCTTCCCGGTTCAACTTCCATCTGATCTTAAGGCGGCCAGCATGGAAGCGAACATGACAGAGCCCTTTGGGCCCTGTGGTTCGGGCCTACGTTGCCTCATGCAGACAATTGTCGGCGCATGTGCCGAGCAAGGTACGGGATACGCCCTCTTTAATAACCTTTACTCGGCTGAGGCACGATGGAGTTCTAGAGGTTCCGTTTCTCTGGTCTTTGCACTGCCGGCAGCACATCGCAGCGGATCCGTTCAAGATGCCACACATTCAGGTTTCTTATCGACCAAGTCCGCAGAGCTGACAACGCTAAGGTATCTATCGGAAGGCCACTCAGTGGCACTCTTCCTCCCCCCCCCCCACGCTAAGGTAAAGGTACACTCATCTCGGGACTCTGCACCACATAATTACACTGCGCTGTGAGTACCAGGTAGGCTCCTGTCAGACCCCGGACCTTGTCTCTTGCGCTACGCTCTGCTACGGCCTCCGCTCTCGCACGTCAACAACCAGGAGTCCAGGACCCAATTTGCTGCCGTGGTTTCTTGTTTCTTTTTTTGCGGGCATTTTGTATGAATTACCTTCGCACCATCATGAGCTGATTATCTGACGCCTCAACAACCATAGGCCATGACGGGCGTCATGCTGAGATGGAGGATCGCGGGGAGACATCGTCCATCGCCTCATGCTTGGCACATTTCCCACGCCTACCCGCAGACGGCGCCAGTCAACTTTGGGACATAACTGGTATTCGAACCTGGAGCAAAGACTCGGGGACCCCTACTTTCCTCTTGCAATTTCCCACACCGCAAATGCAATCCGCATCTGTTGTGCGACTTCAGTTTTGCCTCGAACTGTGGTGCAACCCACCCAACACACACACACTCTCTCTCTCTCTCTTTCTTTTTTTTTTCCTTTGAATAACGGATAGGATTCAGACGACCTGACCTCGTACCTCCTGTCCTCCAACGGGCAGACAGCACACACTACATGCAGTCGCCCAGAATCAGGCACTCGGCGGCCTTCATGCCGGCGTCCGGAGCCGCCATCTCGGCCGGTGGAGAATGCGATCGAGTCCTGCTGCACGTTCCCCCCTATTCACAACGGCCAGCCATTGCCCGAGCTCGGTATGCCACCGGTACAGACCCACTGCGCTGTGCGATGCGATGCGATACAGCGATACCAACATTCAAAATGACATGGGGCACAAGTTGTTCCACTCAGTTCAGTGGGGACTCGGAAACCCCATCGGCCAACATCACGCATTATCGCTCAACCCTGCCCACGGTTGGACGACCGACTTGAGGGACGATGACGGCATCGTTCAAACGAATGAAAGGCGGGGTGGGACGAAGGAGAAATTCTGAGCGTGAAGTGGCCGCCAGACCGAACCACCGTAGCCCACGACATACTCCTCTCCCTCAAACTGCGGAGGCGAGGTCGGTAACGGATGCTCGTTTGGCTCAACCAATCCTGTACGGTGAGAGACCGCTTACCATCACACCGCTCAGCAAGCGCCCGGCAGTGTGTCCTCCTGCCTCACCACTATGGAACCTCTCTCTACTGGTTCCTGGGAATGGCCTCGTCTGAGGTCCGAACCCCGCCTGCTGCAACTTCCCCTCTCTCTCGAAAGACGAGGCGATCGACAGGTCCCTTCTGGGACAGGACGAACGCTCAGCAGCTCGCCGGAGGAGAAACCGAGGGGCCTGCATTTCTTCAGTTGCCCCTCACTACGCCATTTGGAAAATGTCTGTTGATCAGCCGTTGAAGTTCGACGTGGCTTTTGGCAGGCAGGGATAGCCTCGTTTTGCCCCCGTAAACTCTGAGGCTGACTGACCGCCATGGATCGCCCGCCAGCCGATTTCTACATGATTCCACCTTGCTAAGTGGGACTTGGTGGCCGCCAGCTAAGCCAGCACCAGCCTTGCCAGCCAACTTTTTTCTGGAAGTTTTGTTTCCTTCGCCGGACTCTTTGAACCACTGGCCACTAACACGGAGAGCACTTACACAGGCTTCACCCCAACCACCACCGCCAAACAACCACGTTGTCGGCGGTTCGCGATTCGATACCGTAGGCGTTTCCTAGATCCGCAACTGCTATGGCATCCTGCTTTTTGACATGCACTAGCCGTTGGCTTTGTCCACGTATCCCGCCCCAAAGACCTCTCGTCGTCTTTCAACTTCCGAATTCCCACCAATGCCCTCCATATTCTAGGCTCAGGACCGTGTACATCAGGGAAAATGCCCGCCGCCATAGTTGGGTCGGAGTCGGCTCCGCGAGGTCGGGACGTCGATACACTGTGTGTACACACTACTTTCCCGTCTTCCGATGCACGCAATACAAGGACAAGGCGAGACACTCGGTTGACAAACATGGCATGGCGGTCGTCCTAGCATCCCCGATGATCAGGGACACCAGAGAGGCAGATCAGGGGCACTAGATCGATCTGTGCCCATGGCAATCTACCCCTCCCGTTCTGTACGTGTTGATTCCAGAAAGGGCATTTCTTCAAGTGAAGCGGTCGGTGCCTGAGACATGTAGAGGAGTAGCTACGTGAAGGGCGGTATGGTGGAAGACGTCGACCGGGCCCTCAGGAAGCACCATACGCCTCGCTGGAACCAAGGTAGTTGCATTTTTTGCTATGCCAGGCCCACGACTTGCGCTTGACCAAGATTCCCATTGTGGGTTCCGAGAAGGGGGGAACTCTATAGGGCTGCTATCATTCTGTCGGTCTGGGCCCGCTTGATAGGGCTATCGTGATGTGTGGAGGATCGACGGTGTTGGCATCGCTTTCCCCCTCCCTGCGCCATGGAGACGATGCTGTGGATGACTATGTTGCCCGGGATCGTAAACAACGGCGCCAACAGCGCGTCTTGGGGTTCATGTGATTTGCAGAGATCTTGATGGTCGGGTTGCTAGATTCGACTCTGTGAGCCAGGCTGGGGGGGAGGGGATTTTGTACCGCGCGGCTTTGAAACTTACAGTTTCGGGGCAGGTGCTTCTTCTCTTCGATTCTGGCTTGGCCTTGTTGGGCGATACTCTGCGTTGAGGGTAGTGTACGAAGAGGCTTGTGTGAAGTGTAGATCGTGTCACTACGAGATCGTAATTACGAACGTCTGTTTAAATTTCTGCCTTGAAGCCTTGAGATATCAGTCATGAGTCTTCTGCTCCCCTTCCCCCCTCCCTTTTTTGGTTTTCTTTTTTTGTATTAACTGTCGGGTCCTCGAGATATCCTTTCTGAATGTTTTATACAGGTTCCCCGCCTGTAATCTCGTCCATATTGGGATTCAAATCATGTTACACTATTGTATAATCACGCTCAAGGAGAGCAGCTACCCTCGTCATCAGGGTAAATCTCCCGTCCACAAGCCATCACACATCACGCTCCAATCTTGACCAGACGATCTAAAGCCCGCCCATCATCCAACGCCCACCCCGTAGCAACGTCCAGCTTGAGCTTGTTCTTGCCGACCTCCATCTTCATAAACCCTTCCTTGGTGACGGCCCTCCGGACGCCGTACCACGCCGCCTTGAACCCCTTGCTCGCGTGCCGGAACGGCGTCGTCATGAGGTGTCCCTTGTCGTACTCCCAGTCCGCCTTGGCCTGCACCTGCCGCTGCCGCGCGGCTGCCCTCTCCATGGCGGGTGTGGGCGCGATGAGGGGCGAGTAGATGCGCCCGGGTATCGAGACCTGCTCCGGCGCGACGAGGAGCTTTTTGGGTGTGCCGGGCATCATGCGCTTGCAGGTGATTTCCAGCACGATGGGATGCGTCTTTGCGCTGGTCACGCCCAACGGGAGAACGGCGGCGGCTGCTGCCTTGCCGTTCTTACCGGCGGCGGGCTTGAGGAGGGAGGCGGTGGGCACGGCGCGGATGAGCTTGACGATGTTGAGCGAGTTGTAGAGGAAATAGGAGCCGAAGCCGGCCATGGCGACGCAGATTACTGCGAAAGCGTGAGGGACCCAGAAGGCGATGTCCTCGGGCGGGTGGAGCAGGATTGTGTAGTAGTTTATGCCGGCGTAGGAGTAGAACATGAGGGTGGCAGACCAGGCGGAGAGCTTCATCCAGAAGTGGGAGACGGCTTCGTAGAGGACTGTTGGTTGGGTGCGCTGGGCGAGTTGAGTTGCGAGGGCGTAGGCGGAGCCGGCGCCGGCTGTCGCGGGGTTTGTCGTTGTCTTTGGAGCTGTTGACGGGAGGGGAGCTTTTGTCGTCGGCTTGGAGAGGGCGGCGTTGCGGGTTAGGTTGGTCGGAGCCGTCGTGCGCGAGTGTTTCGCGGCGTATCGGAGGGGACTCAGGGAGCTGAAGAGCCGGCGGGAGAGGAGGGGTTGTGTCGCGGAAAGGGGGCCGGGTCTGGGGCCGAGGAGGAGGAGGCGGAGGCTCAGGCCTCTCGAGGAGGCTGCCATGTTTGCGGATTCCTGATGGTGACGAACAAGACAACCTAAAGCTATGAAATACACGATACAGATAAAGACAGAGAAAGGGTTGTGGATGATTGCGCCGCAATGGCTGTGACTCAATTGGTCTCGTAGGAAATCGCTAAACAGTCAGAATATCGTACGTGGAATTGAAGCTATCCAGAAAAGTTTCTATGGGGCACCTTTGAACTCGGTCCCGACGACAGGGGTGGGGTTTCCACTATCGAAATGCGACGTCCAATCTGCAACAGGGGACCCTTTTTTTTTTTTTCCCCTTTGCTCTAGGTAGGTAGGCTGGGGACGGAGAGCGGCGCAGCGATAAGGCGCCATACCTTAAAACCGCTCAGAAGAGTTGGAGTCGAATACGTACTTTTCAGTTGTCATCCGATCTAACGGCGACCAAAGGGGCCAATGAGACCAACAAAATGCGGCCTTTACTTGGTCCGTGCTGCCAACGTCCGCCGCCAAAATTCGGCGATAAGCCACACCAACGAGGGTACCACCCCAACAGGTCCATGTCTGCTAGGCAAGGAGCTCACCCAACGGAGCTCGACAATTTTACCCTTGTAAAGAGGACAAGGCGGCGCCCGGGTTCGCTTTTTCGACCACCGACACCGACCACGCCCGAACGGACAAGCCTTCAACCCACCCTGGCGATTTCCTCTCTTTTTTCCCGCCATTTCACCCTCCTCCGAGATCGAACTGCCTCTGCATTCGCCTTGCCTCGTGGTCCGACAACGGGAAAAAAACAATTGAGGAAGTGATTTTTTTCTTCTTCTCCCTCAATTGAAACGATCCGAACCCGCTCGCTCCATACGCATCCCGAATAAAGCTCCGGCTTCGACGACGGTTCCCGTGAATTTCAAGATGGCTTACCTTGCGACAGCGGCTCGTCTTTCGGCGAGGGTTGCTGGCCGGAGAATACCCGCAGAGTCCACAGCTCGAGGTCCGTAGATTAATCCCCTCAGAGATGTTGTAGCTGTCAGCAAACTGCCCTTCTGCTGGACCTCTGCAACGACATGAAACCGAGAGAGACAAGCCGGAGCTGACCACTCTTACCCCCCCGAAACAGGCTTCCGGACCTCAGCACGATGCCTCGCGGCGCAGAACTTCTCCATGCCCGCCCTCTCTCCGACCATGACGGAGGGCAGCATCGCCAGCTGGAAAGTCAAGGAGGGCGAGTCCTTTTCCGCCGGCGACGTGCTCCTTGAGATCGAGACTGATAAGGCCACCATGGACGTCGAGGCCCAGGAGGACGGCATCATGTTCAAGATCACCACCGGCGACGGCGCCAAGGCCGTCCAGGTCGGCAGCCGTATCGCCGTCATCGCTGAGCCCGGCGACGACCTCTCCTCCCTCGAGGTCCCCGCCGAAGAGAGCAATACCTCCTCCAAGCCCGCCGCCACCCCCGAGAAGGAGGCTCCCAAGAACGCCTCGGCCGAACGCTCTACGGCGGCCCCCGCGCAGCAAAAGGGCGGCGCGGCCAAGACTTCCGGCTCCAAGGCCCGCGAGCAGCGATACCCCCTCCTCCCCTCCGTCCAGGCCCTCGTCAACGGCCACGGCCTCGACAAGGACGCCGTCAGCAAGATCGAGCCCACGGGCCCCAACGGCCGCCTGCTCAAGGGCGACGTCCTCGCCTACCTGGGCACCATCAACGCCGACACCCCCAGCAAGATCATGGACCGCGCCGTCAAGATGTCCCACCTCGACCTGAGCAACATCAAGGTCGCCCCCAAGAAGGAGGCAGCCGCACCCAAGAAGGCCGAAAAGGTCGAGGCCGCGCCCGCCGCCCCCATCGACTCCGAGGTCGCCCTCCCCGTCTCTCTCTCCAAGGTCCTCGAGGCGCAGAAGCGCATCCAGTCCACCCTCGGCGTCTTCATGCCCGTCTCCACCTTTGTCGCGCGCGCCGCCGAGGTCGCCAACGACGACCTGCCCCCCTCTGCGCGCAAGGCCACCGCCGACGAGCTCTTTAACCAGGTCCTCGGCCTCGACAAGCTGGCCCCCCGCGGCTCGCGCGGCTACTACCTGCCCCAGATCTCCGCCCTCCCCGAGTCTTCGCTCTTGGCTGCCCGGGCGCCTAGACGGTCCTCACCCGATATTATCGACTTCCTTGCCGCCCCGGCCAAGAAGACCGCCGCAGCCAAGCCGGCTGCTGCTGTTCACCACACCCCCGGCCTGTCGTCGGGAAGCAACCTGTTCACCGTGACGGTGCCGCAGGGCGATGAGAAGCGCGCCAAGGTGTTCTTGGAGAGGGTCAAGGTGATTTTGGAAGAGGAGCCCGGCAGACTTGTTCTGTGAGTTGGTGTGCGTGCGAGGAGAGGGAGAATCGAGCCGGAGAAATCCTACTGGGACGCGGGGATTTGATGAGGAGAAGGGAACGAAATAGCATCATTGCCAACGTGAGGAGATGGGAAATCTTTTTCTTCCCCCACCCCTCCCCCAGCCCCGATGCAGTGGGGAGAAAATGTACTTGTAGCGTGTGGTGGAATGGGATACAGTGAGAAAAAACGTCATATACATCTATCCACCTTTCCAAAAATCAGCTTTTTTTGGATCTTTCTAAACTTGCGAGTCGTCGAAAGCATGTTGACTTTGAATCGAACAAGCTATTCCTTGTGTCACTGTGACGATGAATGGCAAGTTATGAGTGAAGACGGTGATATGACACACATGAGAAGAATCAAGGGCTTTGCGGGTTGGTTTTCCGCTGAATCGACATGGAAATCGCGCGTGGCTCCAAGTGTCCGAGACCCCCCCTGTTTCTACTTCGTCAAACACGCGTCAGACGTTTGCGGTTCTGGTTGCCTCTCAGAGCAGAAAATCTTATATATAGCTTCGCTGAGATGAACTGAATTGGCACGGAATATGTCGGAGGTTTTTCTTAGTCAGTCGCGGGCTACCCGGCCCTTGAGGTATACAGCGGCCAGGTACTCGGGGGTTTGGAGATGGTCCATCACAGTGGGTAAGGTAGGTTTAGAATAAATAGGTAGGTAGAGATGCAGCTGAGCACCATCTATCTTCGTAGACGTAGTCCTTATTCTGGTCTTGTGATCTGCTCTGGTTTCCAAGTTCTTTGATAAGGCTGGGCAACCGACCAATTTGCACTGTCAATCGTGATATCAAAGTTGTCGATGTCACGCACGCTGCCTCCACGAGACTGTCGCCGACGAGGCCTCGCGCCTACACAAGGTTGGCCACACGCCTCAGCACGCGCTTGCCGTTGCGCCTGCCCCTTTTACTGCTGCCCCCTTCTAGTACCTTTGTGCTCTCCTGCCTTTGGGGCCTCATTGTCGTATGATGAACATTGACTGAGCTAATGGAAGAGGCCCATGATCTCAGCTCTTTGTGGGAGTTGTTCCCCTTGGTATCGTGGTCGATGGGACGCTTGGCAGATAGCGATGAGCTCGAAGAAGGGAGAGATTAAGGTCAGCCTATTACTCTGGCTTAGTACTGACAATACAGATTAATGACGTACTCACAACCGCTGCGTCTTATACAAGCTTCTCCTACCTTTGTATATCTAGTACGCGGGACCATTTCCTTGAGATGAAGACGATAATGGATGATGCCGATGGGAGCCCTAGCAAAGCCAACACCAATGAAGATGAGAATACCAACCCCGAAGGAATGAAATGGATCGATGTGTCCTCGTTCCGGATCATAAATTGCTCTAACTTGGCCGATATTCTTTGCTCTACGGTTTCAAGTTCATTTTGTGAAACGAAATGCCCTTAGGCCGTTGCGTATAGTGGAAGACGTATTTCCTCCTTATCGAGGGCTTCCTATAGAGAAGCAACTTTCCTTAGGGTTCACACTATATCATTGAGCGAAGCCGATGATCGTCGGTTTCTATAATAGAGGTGGTCTTCCTCGGGATATACTTGACGGCATGGAGTGGCTGTTCCTGTGAAGCCCTATCAAACGGCGAACGCCCGGCGAGAGTCGTAGGATGAGGGAGCGACGGCCAAGCTAATGAACTCTCAACTCTCCCACTAGCTTGAGATTTTCAATACTGACTAGCTATTTTAGCTGGGGAAGAAAACCACACAGGAAAGAGCAGCGAAGTATGGCCTTAGAAGCAGGAACCCCCGTGATCAATGCCTCCATTCGTCGTGTGTCCAGGGTCCATGAGCCATGAATCTAAGAGGAAAACTGTTTCCTGCAAATTTCATCAGTCGGTACTTTAGCCATGACTATCCGTTAACTCGTGGTATTCTTCGCGGAACTGGTGACGGTGAGGGCCTGCCACCACGCGAGACGGTCCTCGGCCTCTGCCATCCGTATGAGTCGGCACCGCCATTCCCATCATCGTCCTATCCGTATTGATCATTGGTCTTTCTTCTTGGTAGTGCTTCAACTTCTTCGTAATCTTCTTCATACTCGGTCACCATTACCTACGGGTCATAGTTGCAGTGTTTTCCTCATGCCTTCTCGAGGACCTATCAAGAACTCAGATTAAAGGCTCATCTACAAAGTAAGGACACATGGCCCGCGCGGATAAGACCATCATTTGCATTATAGGGCTTCGTTTGATTGGGATAATGAACCAAGGATGAAATTGCACCAAAGACTCGGACCGTTTGTGCCGTCGTTTCAATTTATATTCTTGGACCTGGCCTAGAAAGACTTGCCTCAATCTCTGGAGAAGTCGATTCTCTCGGCCAAATTTTAGCAGCCAAAATTTTCTCGCAATAATCTCAGATAAATTGATTATCGTGTACATGTAATTCCATGTATCTCCTTACACTGTACCGGGAAAAAGTGTCGGGCTTCTTTCACGTCCGATCCGAAGATTCACTCATGTTCTATGTAACCAACAACGCAGAAACAAGCCAAAAACGACACAGTCCCCCACCACTGGGCATTCCACTGGAATAGACAGATAACAGACGAATCTAACCACAGTCGGGCTCATTCAAAAGGTGTCCCGTCTGACAATCCAGCCCATAACGACGCTGACTGTCCCAAGGATTCGCTCTGCACATAATGCAAGGAGCAAGGACGTGGAAGTGGACAATGCGCCAAAATCAAGTGGAACAACTGCCGAAACCTTGTTCATTCGAATACTTGATTGATTGCTCTGAGCTGAAGTTCTGCCGGCAGTGTGGTGCTGAGGAAACTACGTATTGCTAGAAGACCTATCCCGGCAAGAGAATATGCTTAAATTGCCAGGGATATCGTTCCAGTGATCCCTAAACTAAGTGCTCTTACTACTGGAGTCCATATTACAAGGTATTTGAATGTTCCCTGAACAGGGATGCCACCCGTCATGGGAAACAATCCGTGTCCAGGTGAAAAAATTGCAACGAGCCAGGTCACAGGACCAGCGATTGTCATTCAGCGCATCAATGATAGAATTGAGGATAATGAAGCTGATAAAGCAAGACACGAGATGTACCTATAGAGGGGCTTTACCAATCGGGCTGGCCACCTAATCTGGCACTTTGTTCTAGACCCTCATATTTTACGAACCCAACCTTTCTACACACTACTTTAACGTTCCTACTTATCGATCCGCGTAGTTTTACTAACATGTCTGAGCGAGGCCACCACTATGGATTGATAGTCCTCAGCCTGCGTACATTCGCTGCGACTGGCTATATATTTCATCTGCTCCTCTCACCCGCAGCGTTGAATTGTAGACCCCACAGAAGATCCAACAACTTTTCTTGCCAACAGTATTGCGCGAAAGAAAGGAGTTGCGAGCAAGCGCACATTCCAAAGCTGAGAGCTTCCCGTAGCCTACGGAGCTGTGCTGGCGCTGTGCTAGCTTTGCGGGCCTCTTTAACTGCAGAAAGACGCTTACTCCCTTCCAGCATCATGCCCAGGACTCATGGCCGCAATCTCGTCTACAAGATTTCTCTTTTTTGATCAGCAAATTCTGACGTAAAGAAAGTCAGTGGAATGTAAAGTTGCAAACAATATCAATCTTAGGAGTTGCTGTTACTTAACGGCCGAATTTACTGCAGGTTTGTATGTCGGTGATTTAGTTCTTGATGGCATCATAGCATCGTCAAAAAAAGCCAAGGAGAAAGGAAAATATAATTAGCGTTGGCACAGTCAAATATGAGTATTGCGGCAAATCATTGTGGATTTTCCAAAAAAGAACTCCCGTTACTAAGTCGCATACAGTTTGCTGCGAAGTCATTAGCGTTGAGTGGTGTTGAGAAAGAGACCACCAGGGCGTTGTGGTAGCAAAGAACAGCCAAAACTGGGACGTAGACGTTGGCTACAGTCACCCCCTCCGATACAGCGCAGGATATTTGACCAGAACTGACATTGGGCATGATTGATGGTTTGGACAGCGTAAAGCCAACGTCGTGAATTCATCTGACAAGAGACCAGTAAGATGGCCAACCGACCTGGGGTTGGAACAATACAAAATGATCACAAGCGGACTTAGTGGGTACGCATGAGCACTGCCAGTCGCGACGAAGAGCATCAGGAGAAAACTCGCGCAGGAGTCAGGCACTGCAGCGATGGCACTTGAATACACAAGGAGAACCTGCGATTGCTTATAAGATATTTCATTATGCTCCCTAATTTAGCCACGTCACTGTTCCAAGCCAGTCAAGGCATCTTAAAAAGAGCGCTTGGTTAGGAATCGCCAACGCAGCAGTTGCCTCCAAGTCAAGACGCCGTCAATAAGGGCGTTCTCTGAACTCTGGAGATCCATTCTGTTGACTTCAATGACTCTATGAACCTGTTAAACAACGGCTGAGATGCTCGAAGACCGTGGGGGGAGGGGGGGGAGTCAATCGCGCGGCTCGCTCGTCTCATAGAAATGGTCGGGTTATCATCCCTCCTGACACACCCTGTTCAGTGGGCGATGTCTTCCCTGTCGTGATGCTGACGCCGGTTACGCGCAAGTAGATCAATATTCTTATGAGGGAATAATTCGTCACTGTGGTACCTCCCTTGCGTTGTTGAGCTCGAGCAGCCGAAGCCCAGGAGTTCTCTTCTATCAAAGATGCACCCCGTGAGCTTAGCCAACATATAAATCGCAGGGCCACCAGACAGTGTGAAGCGCCACAACACAATGGACGGGGAACTTGAGAGACTTGGTCGCAGTTGAGGATCATGGACGGGCTCTGCCAACTGGGCGAAGCGGGTCAAGCAGCTTGCCGAGGTCGTCAGTCAGCGAGGAACCCGACATGATGATTGACTCGCGCGAAAAGTCCTCAATAGCACCCTGAGCCCAGGCTCTCGTCACAACCGTTTTGAAAGGAAATATGTGCCCTCCTTCCGCTTCCTTTGCCCTTCCACGCCTCTGTCGCTTACCTACGCATAACAGCTTCAGCTTTGAGCGGCTCTTCTTTCGCCAGCGGTCTGGACTTGGAAAGCGATTGTGCTCATTCAGTGGATTGCCAAGTCGAGAGAGTAGAAGACAAACTTGTCAGCAAGTCGTCGTGATATCTCGTAGGGTGATGTCTGGTTGTCGCTGAGGTGCTTTCATTGTATCGCCTCGATCTGGAGTTGTTTCGCAGAAGGACTCCAAGATAGTTTCCCCGAAGAATAGCAAGTCACTTGAACGCGATTTTGAAGCGATGGATTGTTGAGTAAGTTATTTTACTGCCGATATGAAATTGATTATGCAAGGGCCTTCAAACATCAGGAAATTGCCGATGCTCTATGCCGAGAGTAATTATGAGAGGCTGAGACGGCTGGGTTGGGTCATCGCACGCTGGATTCATGAAGCATTCCGGATGTGGACTTCGAAAAAGATGGGCACACCTATAAGGGGTCCAGAGTTTGTCATTGAGAGACTACTGTCGATTGAGTCTTCGTCCCCGGATGTGACGTGTAAGTCTGGCTTGCAGCTCCTCAAGCGTCTAGTAAACTGGAGCGAGATCGTCAGCGCTTTTTCATTTTCATTTTGCGATTACTTGGATGCTCGGGCCGCCCTTTTCAATGACTAGCGACGGACTCAGGATCTGAGAGAGGCACACAGAGTGAGGTTGAGAATGTGCGAGTCAAACAGAAGATGCTCAGAAGACCAAATACAGTTGCAGCAGTCAGGAGAGCGAGAAAAAGCGGTGGGAGAGAATACGTGATTGCATGAAATAGCTTGTCCGCTCAAAAGGTAAGCGAGACCAGCGACACAAAAAACGAAAACGAAATGGCAATGGGGCAAAGATCTCGTTGGAGGGGTTCCACAGTTGCACACCGATGGAGAATATTCCCGCAGTCATGCCGGCCGCAAGCTTGACGAAGCAAGTGGTAGCAGTGCCCATGCACTCAAGACGCCAAGTCTGCGATTTGACTCGGTAGAGAAGTCACCTGTATGCAAATGCAGCGATACCCAAAGATCTAGACAGCAAGGCAGCGATATTGAATATGTGAGGCACGCCGACTGAATGGTGTCAAGGACACAGCCTTGCATCGCGGAGATTTGCGACAGGGTAGGATTGCGCGTATTTGACTCTTCCACGGATATGCAGACGAGGATCAAGCACGCGCCGCTCAGATAGGGTGTGATGTTGCGCAACCCAAGGAGTCATGCTGATCGTAGGTCATGTCATGGGTCGACCTCATGGATCTCGCGGAGGGCACAATTGACCGAGGCATAAATAAAAGCTAAGACTCCATGGCCTGGACTTGAAAGCCACTTGGATCCCGCGACATCAGTATGGCCGGGGCTTGGAAGCGCACTCTTGGTGTGAGGTAGAATCTTCCGTCGGTGATGGGGAAATCCAGGAAGGCCGCATATACAGCCCATGAGCCGAGTGCCAGGCAATGAATCGAACCAGCTTGCGAATCATCGGGGAGGAAGCGACACCCCAAGGTCGTGGGAAAAGCGTGAACAAATGAAAATTACGGCCAGAGGAACTCGAACAGAGCGAGGTAAGTGTGGGTAGGAATGGAAGGGGTCAGCCCTTAGACTTCACGAGCCGGGTTTCCCAAAGCGTGCCTAATTAGATCTTCGACCGCAAGATTTATAACAGACATTGGACCCTCAACACCAACTAAGCAAGCAGGGTGGCCATGTGGCGGTGGACCAGCGGTGGCCGATCGAGGAGGGGCGGCAAAGCACATTGGCCGCCTCGGGAAGGGTCCCGGAATTGTGGAGAGGCATCCGGGGTACCTAAAGGAGCGGTGACATCAATGCCGGTCGCAAGTCTAGCGGCCACAGATTCGTGAACGAGCCGCTGCGCTGAGATGCGCCACAGATCTAATTGGACAGGAGAGCAGGATTGCGCACAGGTTCAGTCAGATCTTGAGCTGGGGAAACTGCCCGATCTCAGCCATGGCGTGTTCTGCGAATTGCGCCAACGGGCTTTTTGGCACAGTCGATGAGCTCGTCCACAGGTTTGTAGCGATCTTCAATTGACTTTGGATTCGGCTCCTGGACGAGCACACAATGACTCGTTGCATCCGAACTTGTGGAGAGACACATATGTTTGGATGTCTTCCATTCGCCTCCATGTTCGTTGCGAAGACCCCGTGCAGAGGTTTCTGGTTTGGGTATCCGTGGACAACTAACAGACGGAATTTGGCACTTTACCAGAAGGCGCATGGATGCCGACGATGGGGAAGCGGTGGGATAGTCCTTGATGCGAACGAGCCAAAGACGAGATTGGGAACAGAGAGAGTGGCTACACTTCAATTGGCAAGGGATTGTGGCCCTGTACAGGACTTTCTAAATTCTCCATATGATCTGATAAAATAAAAAAAAAGCGGCCCAATCAACGGCAGCGGGTAAGGTGCTAGTGCAAAGGTGAATGCGGGTGCGGCTGCCCCTCAGGCCCCTTGTCCCTCCCCCGATGCCCCGAACCTGAAGCGAACCCCATCCAGCCCCCTGCCAGGTGTCTGCGGATGACTAATTGCGCGTTCCCCCTGCGGCTAACAATGGCATCCGGGTCCGTGCGTTTCAACTTCACGCGTTGTCTGTTTTTCGCACCCGTAACTCTGAGCCGCAAATTCGACGTCACCCCGTCTCCTGATGGTCTTTTCAACTCTTTCCCACTTCAGCATCACCTTCGCAAACGCACCGTAACCTTGTTGCGTGCCGGAGATACGTGCGCGGTACCGTTTCGCCAATGACCCGCCCCTTCCTCCAGCCGCACCACGACTCCGCGCACCACCTCCTCTTGACGCGGTGATTTCCGACACTCTCTCCCAACCCCCATCAGAAGAAGCCCGAATACGGGGACAATAATCACGAAACATGCCTTCTAAGCCTTCAACACCCCGGCGATCGTTTACCGGTCGAAAACGTGGGCGTCCTCCAGGCACATCCCATTCCACTCGCGTTGCGCGCGACCTCGGCGATTCCCCCGCACCACCTCCCTCCGGCCGATCTACGCGCGACCACGCTACACCTTCAGCAGTTCCTCATACCGAACCGCCGCCAAAGAGAAGGAGATATATTCCTGGAGGTGCTGGCGGTGGTGGGCGCTTCATTGATGATGATGGAACTGAGACGCCTATCGCAGCAGTGCGCAGACAGCCAAGGGAGCCGCGCAGTGTGTCTGCGATAGTCCCGAGACGAGAACGAAGCGCAAGATTACGAACCGCCGCCGACCGGGACGAAATGGAATTCAGCTCGGCTGCGGCTGTTGCAGCGGCCGTTGCAGAAAACGAAGGGTACAAGCCCAGAGAGGAACGGGGCTGGGAGGAGTTCCACCCCAAGCTCGATATTGATGCTACGTTTATGATCTTCCGCTCCGAAGAAGTCGACGGTATTCCTCTCCCTATCGTTAAATCGCCTCCGAGGACTCCAGCAGGAATACGGCCATCCACGCCTATGAATGGCTCCAACACACCCTTGAGGGAAATGAACCCGGCTTCGACAGGCAATACACCAGCACCCGCCACAAACTCATACTTCACCCTTCCCGTTGCTGGAAGTGAAACACCGCAGAAACGTCGCACAAGACCACCGCGTGAATCTGTATCCTTCCTCGGTCGAGATCTGGCTCCGGCGGCGATACCGAGACTACCCCAGGTTCTGCCTATCCGGAATCAAACCCCAAAGGAGCGTCTGGATCTCAAAGCGCCGTCTTATCGCAGATCTGATCAGGTCGAGCAATTCGAAAGCAAGAGTTTCGGTCAAGCGCGATACGTAGACAAGTCGATGATGAATGTAGGATATCAGGAGACTGATCGTTACATGCGCCCCGAGGGCAGACTTATCAAAGCGGCGGAACCAAATCTGGAGGACGACCTCGAACAATCGACAGCCAAGGTAGATGGCGAAGCACCGCCGACATCTGGCACCAATGTTGGACGTGTCGAATATGACATGGACGAGCAGGATGATAAGTGGCTGGAGGTGTATAATAAGGAGCAGAGGAAGGGCAACGAGCTGGAACCGATAACCCGCGAAGTCTTTGAGATTGCCATCACGAAGATCGAAAAGGAATGGCATGCGTTGGAAAAGCGGATACCAAAGCCCAACCCCAAACCACCTCAGACCCATCGGCCGCGGTCTAGTTCGGCAGCGGCCGTCAATGGCGAACCGCAAGTCGGGGAGGAGCAAGACAGCAAATGCGCGATTTGTGATGACGGCGACTGCGAAAACACCAACGCCATTGTTTTTTGCGACGGATGCGACCTCGCAGTCCATCAGGAGTGCTATGGTGTGCCCTTCATTCCCGAAGGCCAGTGGCTTTGTAGAAAGTGTCAACTCATCGGCCGAGGCGTACCGGTAAGATTCCACCTCGCGCCCTGCTGGACTGCAGACAGCATTGCTAAACTAGTTTACAGACTTGCATTTTCTGCCCCAACACAGACGGCGCTTTCAAGCAGACCAACTCCTCCAAGTGGGCACACCTTCTCTGCGCCATGTGGATTCCAGAGGTGTCACTGGGGAATGCCACTTTCATGGAACCTGTCATGGACGTGGAGAAGGTACCCAAGACGCGCTGGAAGTTGAATTGCTACATCTGCAATCAGAAGATGGGAGCCTGCATACAATGCAGCAACAAATCTTGCTATCAGGCTTTCCATGTAACATGCGCGCGACGATCAAGACTCTTTCTCAAGATGAAGAACAGCCACGGGGCACTAGCAGTTCTTGATAACAGCATGATCCTGAAGGCCTTCTGCGACAAGCACTGTCCTCCCGACTACTCCAAAGATAATGGCGTGGCTCAAGCAGCGCGGGAAGCTAAGAGGTTCTACAAGCGGGCAATGAAGGGACGAATCTGGGCGGACAGCCAGGCAACAGCTCATGCGCTGGCTGCCAATCACCGTAATGCTCTCACGGAGCACCCAGCCGACGAAAGTCAAATGACGGGAGCCAAATTCGCATCCTACGTTGGCGGGGACAAGAAGAAAGGGCAACCTGGGAAGCAGATCTGGAAGCTGCCTTCGGGCGCGCCCATCATTCCCCAAGCTGTCTTTGAGATCGTCGAACAGGCGCTTTCTCGATTTCCGTTCCGCAAACGCAAGGATTTCGTCAGCGAAGCATGCCGCTATTGGACACTGAAGCGCGAGGCCCGTCGTGGAGCGGCGCTTCTCAAGCGACTGCAGTTGCAGATGGAGACCTTCTCGTCGATGGAACTCACGAGGCGGAACTTTGCGCAGATGGGCCCATCTGGGAAAACCCGCCTTTCACGGCGCGTCGAATTTGCAGAGGCATTACTCAAAGACCTCTGGGAATTGAAGCTTCTCTCCGAAAGTGTCGTCGAGAGAGAGCAAGAAAAACTCGACGCCGCAGAGCTCGAGCAGGAGTTTGTGGACACTTGCTATTTCCCGATTGCCAAGCTATTGGTGCCGGTCGTTGAGAAGGCGATATTGTGAGTTAAACCACCCACCTCATTGAATAGCCTTGCTAACCAGACTCCCTAGCCTCGACAAGAATATCTTCAAAGAAGGCCTCTTGGAGCTCCAGGAGAAACTCGAGTGCCGATTTTATACCAACATCCTCGTCTTCACTCATGATCTATGTGAAGTCATCCATGTTGGCATTAATACAGAGCCTACGCACCTTGAGAGCGCGTCTCAAGGCGGCACACTCTCACCTGTCAAGCAGAACTTCCACGACCCGAGGCAAAGGAAGGCGCTCGGCAAACGAATATTGAAGGCCGTTCAGCCGCAACTTGAGACGGCTCTGAAGACAGAATCCGAAATCACGCACAAGCCGTATGAGACTCTGGCTCAGGAGTTCGAGGGCATGCTGGAAGCCAGCATCGAGTTCCGTCAGCCGTCCATCACCGTCTCCCGCACAGAAGAGAGCACCGAACCCAGCCAGGACACCATCATGGTGGATGCTGCCACTGAGCAGATCACCGTCGCAAACGACGAGAGCGTAAGGGTTGCAGGGGCAACAGCCGATGCTGCAGCAGACGAAATGGACGTCGATGCCGAAGGAGAAGATGATGACGAGGGCAACATTGAAGTCAATACTTCAACCTTGAACAAGTCAAGCGATGTCCACTCATCAAATTCATCGGTGGCGGGGCACGAGGGTAACGGCAAGGCTGCTATCAAGACTGAGGGGTCACTGGTCTCGACCATGCAGCCTGCAGACACCCCGCCCGAGACCAATGGCTATGTATCTGCCAGCAGACCGACGCAGCCAGCTCCTCCGACGCCTCCGCAGTCCAATGGAAGCCTGGGCAACGAGTCCACGGATCCATTATCCGAGGGCGGCGTGCCTTGGTACTTTTCCGATTTCAAGCCCAAGGGAACGACCATTGTGGAGGAGCAGTGGACCGGCCGCGAGGCGCTACGCAGTCTTAGCGAGGACCTCACCGACATGGACGAGCAGGAGCTTGAGGGCCTGGCCTTTGACGTCGAGGACAGCACCATTACGGCGTCGCCCACCGTCAACGACGAGGTGGCGGACACGATTGTCAGCAAGGCCAAGTCCAACAACAGCAAAGTGCGCAAGCGCACGAGCGCCCGGGCATCTGCCAGGAGGAGATGAAATGTGCTTTCGCCTCTTTGGCTTGCTCATCAACGATTCCCTTTCCTCATGGACGGGGTTTAACTCCCCATAGAGAGGGCTTCACGGCGTGTGTGACGAATTCTTCTTTTTTTTGTTTTTTTTTTAACGAAATTGTATTTGTACAAGAGAAAAGCCCCGACGACATGTCCCAACTGTTTCCCCTTCCCTGGCTTTTCATTCTCACAGCAACCAACCCCTTCCTGCGTCACGATTCCCCCCATTTTACACAGTATCCTTTAACTACACCTCCTGCGCCGCGTCAACTATAGCAAAGCCGCGGGCTTACTACAACTATCACCACCACCACCCGTTACTTCTTCTTCTTCTTGTTTCTTCTTTGAATCTTTTCAGTGGGTTTGATTACAAGGCGTTCAAGACCTCGGGAAGGGGGGACCACCACCTCCACCCCCACGATTTTTACAACCGTCAAATCATGGGCTTGACTTCAAGGGCGTTTTCGGGTTAAGGGACGTTTTATTCGGTAGCCAAGATGGGGATGGGGGAGGTTCACGCTATACCGCCCACGCGAGATGGGGGAATTTTTCTTTAGCTTAGCTAGTACTGAGAGATACTCCTTTTTTTTCTTCTTCTTTACGTCATGGGAACGAATGATTGAGAGAGAGAGGCAGTGAGGCTAGGTGTAAGAGGGCCGTGCTTGTGTGAGGAAGAAGAAAAAGGGAGAGAAGGAGAGATGTTTCGCTCCTGTTTTCCGTTTCTTCTCTGCTTGTTTGTGTTTTCCCTTCTTCCGTCTAGGGTAGAGCGACGGAGGTGTGGAAGTTGCCCCACCTTCTTCTTGGAGGGCATCCCGAGACCTGTACGGAGTGAATGGTATGAGATGATGCCAAACGAGAGCTCCGAGTGTGCAACATGAGCGCGCGCGCTTTCAAAAGAATATACTAGTCGTCCCCGTCTGCATGTTTTGAAAGTCCACCCCCCATTCGTGCTATTTGCCAACATTTTCCCACTCAGTACCTTGCATATAGAAAATGGGATGTCGTGTTAAGTAAGTGTTGTGAGGGAACTCTGGACAGTAGTAGTATCCACGAGACGGCGGAATCCTGCCCAAAGACGAGGGCAACTCGGTCACACGCAGTCTGTAAGAGGTCACGAAGGACGGTAAGAAATACTATTCTGCTTATTGTTGCCTAGAGAACGAGTTGACTCCTGAGACGAGACGCAATGGAGCCTCAGTAGCGGCGAACTAGACATTGGGAGCCTCAAAAGTTGAGTTGACGCAAAGTCGAACTTCAAGCATCAGCTGAGTACGTCAAGATACAACAGCAACCACACAGTGATGACAAGGCTGTGAGGAAATGGGAGTCTGGTCTGCCTAGGCGCACGTCGTTGGATAGAAGGAGGGTGGGCACTAGGGATGCGTTGCCACGTCGCTCAGTCTGTGGTGGAGGGGGGTTTGAATCGGTGAGCACACCGCGACCAAACCACCACGGCAGGGAAATCCAGGGTTGAGAGAGGCACGCTGAAGGTGCCCCGAGATGGGGGGACGTCGCGGGGCAGTCATGTGATGCGTCTCCACCCCCAAAAAGTTGGGGGATGGACCAAAGGATGATGGACTGGGAAAAAGGGCTTGATCCGTATGGAAAAGCAAAATGCGTGGCCTGTATTCGTACAGCGTCTTGGCTGACAGGCTTTTCTCATTGGACACTGGGAAGTGCACAGGTCAGCCAGCGAGTGGGGGGAGGGGACATCGGTCTGGTTGGGGGCGCCGCCAATTGGATCCTACAAAGTACCTGACCTGATGTAATTGGGCCACTTTTTCCCGACTGCCCCTCCTCCTCTTCTCGCCGGCTGAGAGCGGCGGCCATGAGCTGCGGGATTAGAGTGGTATCCGTACGCAGATATAGATTCTTCGGTCCTGGCCGCCGCACGCGAGTCTGTCATTAGTCGGGGTCGACTGATGATCTTTCAAGCAGAGCAGTACCAAGGAAGTTGTGCTGCACGACAAGACCCTGACGCACTCTCCATACGCTCACATGCTGCGCGTCTTCCGTTGATGCATGCTGAATGACAGGCAGACAGACACATGACTGACGTAGTCGGCATAGTTCTGCTGCGGTCGACGTCGTTGCCGTTCGTTCCGCAACTTGCGTCTCCCCACATTCACTTTCTTGTCCCCTGAGTCGATCTTGACGTGACATGATGCCCCATTTCGTTCAACTGATTACCAGAGAGAAAATTGAACGGGCTATGCAGAGATTCATGGGCGATCGATTGAAGAATTTGTAATGCAACGAGGCTGGCCCTAACCTTTGACTGGCCGGATAGTTTTTTTTTTCTTCTTCTTCTTCATTTTGCAGGTGATATCCCTCCATCCAGTGGCCGTGTCAAAACTTCGCCTTGACCGCTTCGAGTCTCGGTCGTCAGAACCTAGAGCGCATTGGTGGGTGTGCTCAAAAGCCGCCGTCAGCCTCTGGTTAGCAACTAGGAGCTGGGTAAGGCTTTGGACGAGGGGACGAATAGGCATCGAGCCGGTCACAGAAATGGGGTCGGTTGGCCCATCTTAGCAGCCCCGTGGCGCGGTCTGACGAAGACCGTGCTTGGCTGGCTTCCGATGTAAGTTGAAAGAGAGCCCCATTGTCGTTGTAGGATACTTTATTGGATGGGCTTGCCTCTAGTCAAGCTGTTTCAGAGGAGCATCTTGCTTCTCCGGAAGACACGGTCGTATCCTCAATGGTAGCGATTGATCGATGTGATTCTAACACCGTTCAGTGCTTGCAATGGTGTCTGAGCTACACTTCTCGTCAGACTCGTGATGTGATCAACGCTAGATCAAGAGATCCTAATCTGAGTCACTGTTTGAAGAATGGGTCTGTTACCCCGCGGACTTTGTCTTGCGAATAATTCTTGAAATGTTCGGGCCCAATGCGAGACTTAGGAGAGCGTGAAGAATAGGAAAGTAATGTCTTGCATCGAGCTGGCTTGCACGTCTCTTCAGCTGATCTTCAAAGCGTTGGCGTTTTCTCTCCAATGGCCGTGCCACGCGGGGAAGCGTTCGAGCAGAGGCTCATCTTGGCATCTGCTGAGTAGTGAGATGGACAAGTCTTTGGTGGGTTGGGTTAGGAGTGTTGGTGTCTGAAAACGAACGCGCACCGAGAGCGTCGCTTATTGAACAAAACAAGCACAGGATTTTGATTGTCGCTGTCTCATGTTGTATTGGCATGGACCAGTACCTGCGGACAATTGGATGCTCGAGGAGTTCCGACGTACAGATAGCGACCGTCCCTGGACGTGGAAACATGGAGCACATGCATACGACTCGCTTTCGTCTGCAGCAGCATTGATAAAGTTCCGTGGTGAAAAACATACGACACGTACACACGATGAATAGTGGTAGGTTACGTCGAGCGCGAGTGGCTTCAGATGAATGCGGTGAATGGTGGTATTGGCGAGTGCCTTGACTTGAGCGGCCACCCAGCAGACCGTCTGACATGGCGTTCCTCAGGGGCCGATGCGGGGTCGGACCCTGATGATCATGGTGTTATGGTTGAGGAGTAACACTCAGAAACCAACTCGCAGACAGAGACGAGGAAGGGAGATGCCGAGGGAGGGCGGCATGGATGGGATTGCTTCCGAGACGCTGAGGAAGGGAGCGACACAAGCTGGGCGTCGGGGAAACTGTTGGCCCAAGAGGGGTCATCGCTGTACGTCGTCGGTCTCGTTCAGGCCTGTCGGCTCAGCGTTGCAGAGGTTGCAACATGTGGATTTTCGAATGTTGTTCGTAGAGTGCCTAGAGTCGAAGCGGGCGAGACAACTGATTTGTCTGGTAACTGTGTTTGTTGCTTTTCTTCCCTTGGATGTCTTGCAATCTAGAATTGCAGAGGCTAGACGGAAACGGTGGTAACAGACATTCTAGCTGCCAATGAGTTTCATAGGTCGGTGGCAGGTTCAGGGAAGGAAAAGATCTTACAAGGCGGATGCCAAGATGTATGAAGGCAAAGCTTATGGCTAGGAAGTCGACCCAGCGCCCGCGTAAGCCACGGATGGAAAGAAAGAGAAACAGTGACGTATGAAAGGCCTGAGGCGGCAGAAGTGCATGCCTTCTTCACCTTACTAAGGCAGTTATTCAGAGAGGCGCGCAATGAGTACACGTGTAGACTGGCATAGAAACAGGACAACCACAACAATAGACTTTGTGCATCCGTTAGGAAAGAAGTTGCAGCAGTGCCGGACCGAGGACTGACTAGGGTTGGGTAGACAATCTCCGTCCAAATGTTTGACTCGCATGGGCCGGACTGTAGTTTGCAGGCCGGATTACGGGTTGCAAGGGAGGGAAGGCAGTTGGGAAGTAGGAGAAACTTTGACTGTGTGGATGTAAACAAACCTGATGTGGGCACTGGGAACCAAGCAGCAGAGACATTTGGGCAGTGCCTTTTCGACCCTTGAGGTTATCAAGGGGGAGGCTGAGTCTGTCAGGCGGCGACGGGGGCGCTGATATTCGACGGGAAGCCGCCATGATACAAGTTTAGAACAGCTGCAGCTCCAGCTCCCGCGGCGGGTCCCGTCGATGACCTAAACTTGGGCCATGTTCAACATCCAGTCGGTCCGGCGGGTGGGGTTTTCATCTCTTCATGGGCCCCGGTGCGCGACTCCTCATCCACCACCACCTACATCCCCCAAGGGCCTCCCCTCTCACGGCCCACGGGCTTCCGTCTTCATGGAGTGCTCCCAACTGAGGAGCCCTACCTCTGGCAAGCTTTCAGGCTCGAAGCGGCCCCTGTGGCTGACCCTTGCCGCTGGGTCTTGGACTTGTTCTCAGTGTTCCACGGGTGGGCGTTGCCCCATACTGGCAATCTTCAGGGGACAATGCCGTGGTACATTTGCCATCATGCTGGGCTCTTTGGAAAGAAATGTTGCCGTCTCTGCTGTTGTCCATGTCATCCACGCACCTTCCCCTGACTTCTGTGAGAAACTAATAAGGTCCTGCCTGGTCTTGAGTTGAGGTACGGTTGATAAGATACCTAAGTATCCGACCCTAAGGTACCTACCTAACCTACTTTGCCTTGAGAAAGATCTTGATATCCAAGGCACCTTAGGTAATGTGCTTGGTCCAAGGTGAGGCAGGCACCAACCTCTGTAGGTAATAGGTACCGTGGCCGGTAAGACGGGTAAGGTAAGAGGCAAGGAAGGCACGATCAGAATCGAAGGGCAGGCAGGCACCCCTGCCGCAGCGACCTTACGCACGCCCGGGTCGCGCTTTCCCATTCCACTTAGCCGAGAGAAACGTGCCTGCCCAACCTGGAGGTTCCTGACTGGTTGACCGGCTGGCGACTGGCGTGCTGAGAAACGGGAAACGGGAGGCGCTTGCTGATGCAGCGATGCGGTGATGCACCCGATGTGCCAATCCAACTGGCGGCACACTCCAAAACAACACACCTTTACTTCCCCTGGTGTGCCTACCTTACCTACCTACCTAATGTAGGGAGGGCACCTCTAGCAGGCGGGAGGACGTGAAGCGGTGCGCGCAATCGGGGCAGCATCTATCTAGTTGGCAGGCGCAAGAAAAAAGAAACGTAGATACGGATTAGACAGGGGACTGAGGAAAAAAGGTCGAGACCATGGCAGTGACCCCAATTTTATCCCGTCCAGATCTCCCTCTCTTTACTTTTTTTTTTTTTTTTTTTTTCCCTCTCTTCGCCCTCCACCCTGCCTCATTCCTCGGCTTCGCTTTTTATTTTCATATTTTGAAGCTGCCCGTCCGTTCTTGAGAGAAACAGAGCAGGAGAAAACACAGTTACAGAAGAAAGAAAAGGATAGGATAAGCAGTCAAAACACGCTCAATCCCATTGCCTCTCTCTTGCACCCTTCATATGCGTACAAAGTGCAACTTCAGCCCAAAGGCAATTTAATTTCTCTGGCGCCTCTTGGTTTGGCATCTTTTTTTTTTTGCCCGTCCTGCCTCTTCTACGCTCCGAGAGCCCATAATATCTGCACCACCCACACCCATCAGCGATCACCTAGTGCCCATAGCACTATCCCTCTTTAGCCTTCCCCCCTGTAGTACGAGCGACCCCCCTCACGCTTCTCTCATCCAGACGCATACAGAGGAGGCCAATCCCTCCACCTCTCTCTCTTTTCTGCGCTCCTCCTGCCGTCTCCTGCCTTTCCGACCGAGCAGCCCGCCGCCGCCGCCCAACACAAAACACGAAAATCCTCCCCTCAAACCCACCCTCACCTCTCCCTCCCCCCAAAGCCTTCTTTTTTCCCCACGAGGCCACCTCTTGACCCAACGGCGACGATACGTCTATTCAAGACGACAACGCGAACTAGAGATTTTCATCTCTTCAATACAATCAAAACAACGACGATCAATCAAACAGACGACCTCCGCATCGCTGTTCACGGCAAGAGCGGTACCTGCTGAAAAAAAGGCGAAGCTATCAACAGACGGCCCTATCTCCAGCGGCGAATTCCACCCTATACAGGCGAACTCGATCCCGCACAGGGACGACGAAAATTTTCTCAACGACGACGCGAGACGCTACCACCCTCTCTGGTTTGCAAATAATCCATAACGTCGAGCATTTCTGTCGTCGCTTTCTCTTCCCCGGAAAGAAAGGCCTACAAGAGCTGAGATCACTTCGCCGTAAGTCTTTCGTGCTGTCCCGCTCGCGCTTCCCCTCTCCTGCCTGGTCACCTCCGCGCTGCCCTCACCTACCCGCTCGCTCCCTGAACCAACCTGCCGAACGAACATCTCACTGTCTTGCGACGTACTAATCACGCGTATTTTTTTTAAACAGAAACGAGAAGTGCATCATTCCCGTAAACTGGGCATCCTTTGTCTCTGGCCGCTGCAAAGTATACCCCCCCAGTGCTCTTGCTTGCCGCAGTCGCGAACCATCCCCTCGGTATCAGCGGGCCATCTTTCTGGCTGGTGAGGATTAAAGATGGCGGACCAACATGAGGTCGACCTTGACTCGATAATCGACCGCCTCCTCGAGGTTCGAGGAAGCCGTCCCGGCAAGCAGGTGCAGCTTCTCGAGGCCGAGATCCGCTACCTGTGCACCAAGGCTCGCGAGATCTTCATCTCCCAACCCATCCTGCTCGAGCTGGAGGCTCCCATCAAGGTATGCTCTGCCTTTTGGCCTGCTTAGGCCATCTTGCTTTCCTTCATGTTTGCGTTCCCTGAGTACCTGCTGACGCCGACCCCTCACTCAGATCTGCGGCGATATCCACGGACAATATTACGACCTGCTGCGTCTCTTTGAGTACGGTGGCTTCCCTCCCGAGGCCAACTACCTTTTCCTTGGTGACTATGTCGATCGTGGCAAGCAGTCCCTCGAGACCATCTGCTTGTTGCTCGCCTACAAGATCAAGTACCCCGAGAACTTCTTCATTCTCCGCGGTAACCACGAGTGCGCCTCCATTAACCGTATCTACGGTTTCTACGACGAGTGCAAGCGCCGCTACAACATCAAGCTATGGAAGACATTTACGGACTGCTTCAACTGCCTGCCTATCGCCGCTATCATCGACGAGAAGATCTTCACCATGCACGGCGGTCTTAGTCCTGATCTGAATTCTATGGAGCAGATTCGCCGCGTCATGCGACCCACTGACGTATGTTTACACCGATTCTGAGGCCGAGCTCTAGCCTGGTTTCGATTTGCTACTTGACTAACTTTTCAAACCACAGATTCCTGACTGCGGTCTTCTCTGCGATCTCTTGTGGTCCGACCCCGACAAAGACATCACGGGCTGGAGTGAAAACGACAGAGGTGTATCCTTCACCTTCGGCCCCGACGTTGTGTCTCGGTTCCTCCAGAAGCACGATATGGATCTGATCTGCCGTGCCCATCAAGTCGTGGAAGACGGTTACGAGTTCTTCTCCAAGCGCCAGCTTGTGACCTTGTTCAGTGCACCGAACTACTGCGGTGAATTCGACAATGCCGGAGCCATGATGAGTGTGGACGAGAGCTTGCTCTGCTCGTTCCAGGTGAGAAGACGGCCAGGGAAATTTGGCTATCTAGGTCAAGTAACTGACAAGTATTTTTCTACAGATTCTGAAACCTGCAGAGAAGAAACAAAAGTACGTTCCTGGTGGTCTCGGAGGCAACAGCCGACCAGTCATCTCTCCCCGGAAGTCCGCTTCCAAGTGATGTTAAGAGTTTATACGAACATGCACGTCTTTCTAGGTTCGGCCGTCGTTAATTGCCTCCCGCCCATCTCGACCGCATCACTTTTTCGTCCACCGACGCGGGTCTCATGCACCCCCCGGCACACCGTTCTCCCGCTTTCTCGGCCCTCTGGGTCACCCTCCGTCAACTCTTCGACTTGTCCGATTCTTCCCGAGCCCACCTCCCGACTAAAACCCGCGCAAACTGTTCACGATTACGGCTGTCTGGTAGCTGAAGATAAACACACAAAAACACTGGAATTTGCAATGGCTATCACAACGTCTCACGTGCCTCTGTGCGAATCCCCTCGGTGGACATGAACTCACTCGGGGTGTAATATAAGTGATTTGCACGCCAATAACGCACCAAAAGCAGCCACGATCTACTGTTACATCGCGGGAATGATTGTCCTCCTCAGCCGCCCCTGTTACAGAGGCTTGTCCAAGTGTCACTGTGCTTAGGCGCCAGTTGGCAACGTCCACCGTGGTGACGGGGATCAAATGAATATGAACGTCCACTCTTGTGCCCTCAAGCTTGCCTCGCGGCCGTAGGGGGTCATGTCTAAGCTCAATGTCGTGGTGGCACTTGTAAGACTAAAAATTACTCGGGAGAGGCAGAAGCAGGCCGCGGGGTCGGCATTCCGGTTTCTTAAAGGAGGCACTGCCCATTGGCCGGGCAACAGGGGCTAGTCAACATCTTTGGAAGGTATGAGTGTCGTTTTCCACTTCTCTTTTTTGCTTGTACTATTTACCATTGACTCTTACCTTTTTCGTCTTTTCTTGTAACGCTTGGGGGGAAGGGAGCGTCTGTTCGACAGATGTTTGCTATCGAGACATGAATTCAGGGGATCACCACACATCTTAGTGTGCGTGTGTGCGATCCTGGAATGAGGGGGTCTGACAACTAGGCCCGAGTCGACGGTCTCTGTAAACAATTGGCTCGAGGCATTCTCATGGGCTGACCCGGCGTGGTCAAGTCTACGCCGAGTGCTGCGCAAAGGATGATGCTGCGGCTAGTGATAGCAACGAAAAGCCTACTTCATACGTTTGATTGCTTGTGTTTCGATGAAGATGTGGCACAGCCAATGTTACAGGTTGAAGTTTGCTGCTTGACGACGATGACGCTACAATAACAAGGGGAAAAAGAAGAGGGGAGCTTGTGAACCACCCATGCATATTTGTGTCGTCTGTCTACCTTGGTTCAGAGGCTGGCATCCACCCAGGATGCCGCGTAGACGTTCCCGTCTGTGCCGATCCCCAGGTCCGCATCACTAGTGTCCCAGTTCACATTCCAGAGCCCTCCAAACCGCCCTCCTCACCAACTCGCACAATCACTAGACAACGGACGTTGCGAGACATGTTTATACCGGGGAGCAGTCGCGGCGAGCTTTGCGGACTTGCGGCCCCGTGACCTCGGTGTTACCTACGGCTAGTTCTGCACGCCTTGTCAGGCCTGGCTGGGTTGGGCAAGGCTTGGACTGGATGTACCGACCCGCAAGACTGGCTGCCGACGTGGCCCATGACGATGGTTGGCTTTAAGCACAGTCCTCGCACTTCTCCTTGTTGAACTTGGCCGGTGGATCGTCGTATTGTTGGCCGGGCCTCTGGCCCGCGGGCGAGATCTCGGTCTTGGCCTGTTGTCCCTTGTTCGCGCGGGCTGCGCCAATGGCGTCTCGGGCTGCGTCGCTGAGGGAAGAGCTCTGTTCGTTGCTCCCGGACGTGGCAGCTTCGTCGGCGGCGGCGGGGTTTTTGCTTGCGTTGGCTGGGTGTTTCTTGAGTTGGGAGACGAGGTCTGGAGCGGCGGCGGAGGAGGGCATCGTCATTGTCGGCGCCGTGGCAAGTGCGTCTGAGGCTGGGGTCGGGGGTTGCGCGGAGGATTCGGATGCGATGGCCGTTGTCGTCTTCGTCGTCGTTGACGGTGCTGCAGTGTCTGCTGCCGCCGTCGTGGGCTTGGAGTGTTTCCGGTCGACGTGGCCGAGATCTCTGTCGGGTTGGATGACGTCGCGGAGACGGCGCTTGAGCTCCTTGGTCTCGGGGAAGCCTCCTTCGGTCTTGCGGTCCCAGAGAATCGTGGTCGAGGTCGTTGTCGCGCCGGGGGGTTGGTGGGTTAGTGTCACAGTGAATGTGCCGCCTGTGGAGGGTTGGAGGGCAACCTCGCCGATAGAGGTTGAGAAAGTCGATAGGAGCTCTTGGGCGAACTGTGGTGGCGAGATAGGTATTTGTTTAGTACATACGCTGGCTTTGTGTAGTTATAAAGGACGACGGGTTGAATCACGGAACACAGAGAATCGGTTGGCCATGCATGAGCTAGGGGGAGGGGGAGGGGAAGGGGAAGTGAGGTTCAGATGCCAGGGGTATCGAAGAGAATGAGGTCATCGACGGTCACCTTCCGTCTAGAGGTAGAACTAGTGTCGCCTAACCTTACCTCAGAGCAGACAAAAGGCAGCAGAACAGATTGGGAAAGGCATGAAGTGAAGAGGGTAGGCAAAGAAATGGAGGTCCGACGGGTTCCTCTTGTCGTCTTGGGCTGGACTTACATATGCTGCTCGGAGCATCCACTTACACTGAGTGCAGAACTGGATTGCGACGCGGGGCAGCGGCGTTGAGGTAAATGCCGAAGCTGGCTGCGGCGTAGGAGTGGTCTCGGCCATTTCTAAATCTTTGCTGCCGGGAAGAATGGATATGAGTGTAGACTAGGTTGGCATTTGTTTCCTGGTCTGTAGCAGGTAATGAGGCTGGCTGCATGAGGGTGGTGGGATGGTGTGGGAAATGGCGCCAATTCTCGTGTTCATCCTGCGTCATTGGCGGCCAGCACTTTTTGGATTGGGGAAGAGGGGGGGGGGGGAGGGGGAAGGGGGGCGGCTGTCGTGCCATCCCAGCTTTCCTCTGATGATCAGGTAAGCGTGCAGGAAGCTGTGGCCATGCCGAAAAGCCACACTTGCTGGCTGACGAAACGAGAAAGGAGCCGGCGGAGGTTGACTAGAGACAATAGACGTCTCTGTTCGGACCCGAACTCACACTCGGAAGTAGGGATGATGACCTTAGCAGCTGGTAGGAGGTTGGCTCACAGTCGGCACCATCTGGGTGCTAAGACCTCTGCCCCATCATTAAGGATGGAGAGTAAAAAAAGAAGCCAAGTATCCGTAAAAAAAATCAGAGAATAACGGACCCACATGTGAACTCCGTCCCAGGCTCCCCCCTTCTCCCCGGCACGTCGGTGGCAGCGAGTGGCTCGAACGCCTTGCAGCAATTCAGGTACGGGTGGGCCACCGCGCCGGGGATGGGAGGGCAGGCCACACAGCCGACCGCGGGCTGACCAGGGATCAGGGCCGGCAGAGTCGTTGGCAAGCCGCAAAGCACCAGACGGGGAGTGAGTCGTGCGGAAACAGTACTGTTGTTTTGGGATGCGTTGCGCGCGACGGTAGGAAAAGCCGAGCGGTACATCCGTACGTTTGCATCAAAAAGCGCACTACGGACCGACAAGACTCAGGATGTTCCCATGAAAAGGGGGTCGGGAGCTTCCGGATTGTCCTGACTGCAAGGTAAGGTACAGGAGAGTACAGCACCTACGAGACCCAAATGATAATGCTGGCGGTCGATACTTTCTTTGCCTTGGTGTTTGTTGGGAGGTCAGTCACCCGCCACGGGTACAGCAGCAACCTCGGGGATGGGTGCCTCGCAGCAGGGGTGCTGGGGTACGAAAACCCCGTCCGGCAGCGAACACAATGGACAAGGAGAAATGAAACGAAAGAGTTGGAGAGTTGCAACGGCCAGAGAGAGGAAAGCAGGAGTACAAGTAGTGCTTCGTACTTCGTACGAGGAAAGCGAGAACATTTAGATTATTAACAGCGTTTATCAAGCGTCCGTTTCTAACGAGACTTCAGTTGGCAATAGTGGCTCGTCGGTGGTCCAAAGAATATCAACCCCCCGGTAACAAAAGAAATTGGATGAGTTGACAGACCCGATGCATCCTCGGGAAATGAGTGTCGTGCTCTTTTCGGCCTTGAACAGCGTCGGTAACCCCATCAAAGCCAAGCCAGGCACGGCGACTCCTCCACCCCTCTGCCCTCTGCCCAGGGGCCTGAATAAAACTGGCTAATTCACAGTGAGGAGACGCAGCGGGAGAGATGTGCCAACGCCAGTGAGGGCAAACAAAATGGATGCTGCATATGTCTCAGATTTCTGCTCTCACCTGTGACCTGAGCGACCCCAAAGTGGCACCGCGCCCCAGAAGGGCGAGGAGGGGGGGAAGGAAAACTGCCACACGAAAAAGCTTGTCCCCGTCCCATTTTCAATTCCTCATTGCTTTTTCCCCCCGAGGTCTCTTTCAATGGCCTGATGGGCTGTCTATCTTTGGTGGAGTGGCTCGAATGTCTCGTTTCCCTACTTCCAGATCTCTGGGTCCCCCTTTCACTCGGGAATGTGATGCGGAATCCGTCAGTATTCAGGCCACAGGTGTCAAGGTCACGTTCTCAACTTCCCAAAAATGGTTCGCTGCCCCGGGGTTCCGCCAATGCGGCCATTGGTTGGCAGAAATGACCTGATATGGGACCACCGCAGATGCGGATGATTTCGTGGCTCCACGGGGGCGCGACGCAGGCTTGACTTTGAGGAGGGTTTTGATGATCAGCCCTCCCGTGAAACCCCCCTTCAGCCTTCAGGTCTCCGTAGTTTTGTACACACTAATTGTTTGATCTCTATTCGATTTGTTTCGATAATGGCCACCGCCCCCCAGCGATAGATGAGCTGCATGACAGCGAGCATCCTTGACCTCAAATATGTGACCGTGATGCAAGAAATTGGGGGTTTCTCTTTTTTCGGGGAGACCAGGGAATTGATGGATTGAAGCTATTCACACACTCGGTGCGGGATATAGTGGAAAGGGGGAAGACCCGAGAGAAAAGAAAAGAGTACAGGACATCAAGAGAATTATTACATGCTGAAGAGCTGCCCACCAAAAAGCCCTGCCTCCCCGACGACAACCTCCCCATTGACAGCAGAAAAAGAACATAGAAGCATTATCGTAACGGGGTCCGTTGCCTCTTCACTCTCTAGCATTTCCCCTCGCTTCCTCTAACACCACCTCACTGAGCTTGCTCACTTCTCTCACGTATTACTAACCCGTGTCGCTGTCCGTGGCTGTTCGTTTTGATCCTTCAAAAGGAATTAAGGTATCCTGTCGTTTGGCTGGCAATGTAGAACCCCTTAACCCTTCCTAACCTGAGGGGACTTTTGTTTGCTTTTCCTCTTCGACTCCGCGCTAGTCCAGGGCTTTTGGATTCCGATGATTCCACGACCGTGTAAAAGGATAATCAGCAATGAGCCTCTTTCCTCTCGTCCTTCGAAAAGAGGGGGTCGCTCGCTTTTTCCGGAAGGGTGCTGCATTCCCGATGGCCCTCGGGGTCTTGGTATTCCACGCGTAAAATAGATAAATGACAATCCGATTGGAGCATATCGACTGTTCCGATACCAACATCGCTGACCCATGATGTACGTTGCTCTACATTACCACGCAGCATCCGCCGCTTTGTTGTGGTGCGTAGGGGTCTTCGCCGCGGGGGACAGCGCCCCAAACTGATGGAACCATGTAGTCCCTCGTGCTATTGCAGTAGGCAATGATGCTAAGATGAAAGCAATTAGTCGTTGATTCGCCCGCTCGCGATGGGTACAGTGCTTCGTTGGCCGCATTGATATACGTCGACGATGAGTGTTTGTAATTCATAAATCGAGACCTACCTCTTAGAAGCATTGCTGACCGGAATTCGTTCCCTTTCAAGATCCTCGCGCAGGCGGTTGTTAAGTTCCGTCAACCGTCTCAACTTGAGGTCGGCCATCGACTGCTTGTTCTTCTTGATCTGCGACGGGTCGCCAACATCGCGAGAGGTGTATTGAGGCATTGCTGTCGCGGATCGGGGGGCAGGAGACTTTGACGACGACGGTGTCGCGGAGGACGAGGCGACGGCGGCGACAGAGGCTTCAGCGGCTTCAGCGACGGCGGGTTGTCGTCGTGATTGTTTGTCGTCGGAACGAGGCTGTTGGACCTGATCCTGCCGCTGGCGAGGGGTGGGAGAAGAGGCTGTGGCGGCTGCAGCAGATGGTTCGGCGGCGGTAGGAGGTGTGGTGTTGTGAGATGGACGGTCCTGTTGAGAGAGCATGTCGTGTCAGTTTGATTAAAGTTTCCCTCCTTTGACTCCGCTTTGGCGGTGGTTGCCGCGTTTTCCCACCATCCCATGGCACGAGCTCAGCTCGAGGCGGGATGGGGAGGATTTAAATGGTCAGTAGGGGGGCAAAAAAACTCACAGCAGCGAGACCGCGGGGGAATTGAGAGAGTGATCAAGGCCGGTTTCGATCGAAGCGAATCGACAAAGGAAAGAGCGTCGGGGGGTGATTGGATTTGGGGGGGAAGATTACGGGTGTCGAGGAGATGAGTAGGTTGGTTGCTCGGATAATGGGTTTGGATTTGGGAAAGCAAAGGAGAGGACGGGACGGGCGACGGGCGACGGGGAAGGAGGAGGGAAGGGAAGAGTGCAGGTAGGCCGCAGGTCCAGTTGGGAATTGGGATTGAGGAGGGAAGTCACCTAGTGTCTGGGAGACGGGCTGGGAGTCTGGGACTAGGTGACTGGGATTGGAACTGGGTCTGGGATTGGGAGCAAGCTGGGATTGGATTGGATTGCGGAGCCCTGGGAAAGGTTCCCCTAACGTGAAAGGAAAGGCCAAAGGTCAATGGACGCAAGGTTACCTCTTGCGCTAGGGCCACCAGGTGCGCCATGGAAGCAACGACGGCCAGGGTACCGAGCCGCATTGCATCTGCTGCTGGACCGCGCGCGGATTATGAAGCATAAGGTAGCGAAGCGAGAGTGCTTGCCAGCTGCTGCCGGGTTGAGTGCGTGTTTGTGCATTTGTACAGGATGCAAGCTGCATTGCTGCTGCATTGCTGCAGTACTGCTGTGCTGCAGGTGTGTTTGTGTCGCTAATGGCCGCACCCTCCTCAGTGGAGTGGAGTGTGGTACCTTACCTTACCTGACAGTGTGTCCCGACACCCAAGCTGTCGATGGTACATCCACCAATGTGTCTTAGTCAGCACTCAAATGGCACAGGATTGGAGAGCGGACGGGCCGGCAAGGGTGGGTGAGCCGGCGGGGGTGTTCGCTGAGGTTCCAGTCGCCTCGCAAGACAGAGGGAAATTTTAAAGAAGCGAAGCTCCGCACGGACCCATCTGGTGTCGACAAGCATTGGCGGGATTGGTTGAAATTGGTCGGAGCGGGCAATCTCCCACATTTGGGTTTCCCCCTACTAACTTGACCCGCACCCCGATTGCGCCCATGGAACACGGATACAGTCATGACGACGAGCACGAAACGCGACACGGCGACGGCACCCAAGTCGCAGCATGTGGTGTTGATGACGATGAACGAGCTGCGGATGTTGGGCATCATGGGATGTGGCAAACCTAACGCCACCCTTCTTCCTTCCCATTCCCCTCCCCGTACACAACTTACATACCCCGTACCTAGACCCGGCATCTCGATCAGACTTTGACTCTGCACTGCCGACTCTGGCAGAAGTCTGCTATATATCATCCGGCACTCTGTATCCGGCTCGCCTCGCTGCCGAAGCCAATAGATGTCACGAAATATTCGCGAGGACTGTCGTATGTATGGCAAGGTGTCAACGAATTTTTGCTTTAGCATCGAGACGTGCTATCGAACTCTCACTCATGACGCTTTCGGCTGGGCTGACGACCACTCGCTCTCGGCTAGACAAAGGACAGAGAGCTGCCGAGGGGCTAGCTGAAAGAATATGCTCGTGAGGGATGGCTACGGCGTCATGCTCTATATTGGGAACATGCCTACGAGATGTGCCGATTTCACATCGGTCCTTTTCTAGTGTTATTCAACGCGAATTCTTTACCAGCTCACCCGAGTACCGGCACATTTACAAGTCATAAACATGTCCGGGAAAGTCGGAATACAATGTAGCCCTATCCGTGAAATGATGTACAACTTTGTACATGTCCCCTGTAGATTGGAGGTGAGGAGGAGATTCGGATCCAGATCGGTGATTCTCGATCTTCCCGCTCTACCGAAAAAAGTGTGTGAAGTCACCGTCTGCCTCGGTCTCGGTGGAGAACAACGGGAATATGCCCCCGACCATATCCGGATTTAAAGTAAGTTTGGGGAGGCTTTGGACTGGAAACCAACAAGGCTGGCAAGTCGATCTGACAGTCACGAATGGAGCCTATCAAGTGAAGTGAAGGGAGGAAGGTTTCAAGGAGATTTAGCGCAACGGCAAGCGCAATGTTCACTCGAATTGGACATCGTCTCGTCAGCATAATCGGCGACTTCGTTCCCCTCACTAAATCGGATCAATCATTTGACCTCAAATGCATTTTGCCCCCAACTGAGAATCTTGCGACACCTGCAATAAGGAAGGTGCAGACATTCGTAGGAATCCTTCAGATCAGTCAGCCTCGGCTGACATAATCTTATATCACGTGATGTTCGTCTCCCAGTTACGCACGGACGTCGGGAGCCCCTCAGGACTCGCATAGCGGCCACACACGAAATTGAAAAATTCGTCTTTGCTGTGTATAGCATCAACGCCAACGCACCGAGCGACAGCCAAGTCAATATCCCGCTCGCACGAAAAGGCTTGCGCTGCAACTTCTCACATCAGAGACCCTCTCGAGAATAGTATTTTCCCGCAGAGGAGGTTGCCCATCATGGTGAGTCCCTCCATTTGCTTTCCCACCCTCTGGCCCGCCTGCCCAAAAATTTCCCACTTGGCTTCAACGCTACCCCTCTCCGACCTTGCTGTCACGGGGCGTCATCTTGCTTGCTACCGTCGTCAAACATAGGTACTAACAATGAGCTATAGCCTCCTCCACCTCACCAAAAGCCTGAGAACGTCCTCAAGCGGGCCCACGAGCTCATCGGCGTCAACCAAGTTCCGGCCGCCCTCACCCTCCTCCACGAGCATATCACCTCGAAGAGAAGCCGAAATGTTCCCATCGCGTCGCTGGAGCCGGTGATGCTCCTGTTGGTCGAGCTTTCCGTCGAACAGAAGAAGGGGAAGCTGGCCAAGGATGCCCTGTACCAGTACAAGAACATTAGCCAGAACACCAACATCGGCACCATCGAGGTAGGCCGTCTCGTCGCCCTAGACACCGGTCAGGGCAACCGTTGCTAATAGGGATATACGCAGCTGGTTCTTAAGAAGTTCATCGAGCTCGCCGCCGACAAGGTCACCGTTGCCCAGGCCAAGGCCGACGAGGTCCAGTCCAGCATCGAGGCCAATACCTCCACCACTAACGTCGACGACCTGGAGGCTAGCGAAACACCCGAGTCCATCCTCCTTGCTACCGTCTCCGGCGAGCAGTCCCGCGACCGCACCGATCGTGCCATCGTCACCCCTTGGCTCAAGTTCCTCTGGGAGGCCTACCGCACCGTACTCGACATCCTCCGCAACAATGCCCGTCTTGAGATCCTTTACCAGAGCACTGCCATGCAGGCCTTCGACTTCTGCCTGAAGTACACCCGAAAGACCGAGTTCCGCAGACTCTGCGAGCTGCTCCGCAACCATGTCCAGACTGCCGCCAAGTACTCCGCGCAGATGCACGCCATCAACCTCAGCGACCCCGACACCCTGCAGCGCCACTTGGAGACCCGTTTTCAGCAGCTCAACGTCGCCGTCGAGTTGGAGCTCTGGCAGGAGGCCTTCCGCTCCGTCGAGGACATCCACACCCTTCTCAACCTCAGCAAGCGCCCTCCCAAGAACGTTATGATGGCCAACTACTACGAGAAGCTCACTCGTATCTTCCTTGTCGGCGAGAACTACCTTTTCCACGCCGCCGCTTGGTCCAGATACTACACCCTTCTCCGCCAGTCCGCCGCTGTCGTTGCCAGCGGACAGGGCAAGAAGGCCGACAACCCTCCAGCCACCGAGAACGACCTTCAGAAGGCCGCTTCCTTTGTGCTGTTGTCTGCTCTCGCCATCCCCGTCATCAGCACCACTCGCTCCCGCGGTGCCATGGTTGACTTCGATGAGTCTCGGAAGAACAAGAACGCCCGCCTCACTCACCTGCTCGGCATGGGTCAGGCCCCTACCCGTGCTGGCCTCTTCCGCGATGCTCTTGCCAAGCAGATGCTGAAGCGCGCTCGCCCGGAGATCCGCGATCTCTACAACATCCTTGAAGTCGACTTCCACCCCCTCTCCATTTGCCAGAAGATCTCCCCTATTCTTACCAAGATCGGAGACGATGCCGAGATGGAGAAGTACATCCTGCCCCTGCAGCAGGTCATTCTCACTAGACTCTTCCAGCAACTGTCCCAGGTGTACGAGACTGTTGATTTGGCCTTCGTTGAGAAGCTTGCTCAGTTCCCCGAACCCTTCCAGGTTACTCGCGGTACCATCGAGAAGTTCATCATGAACGGCAACAAGAAGGGTGACTTGGCCATCCGCATGGATCACGCCACCGGCGTCCTCAGCTTCGACAACGACGTCTTCTCTTCCGCCAAGGCTGCCCATGCTGGATCTTCTGCCGGCTCAGCTGAGGCTGACGGCAGCTCTGTCCAGCGTCTTCAGAGCACCCCTTCTGAGATTGTTCGCTCCCAACTTACCCGCCTCGTCAAGTCTCTCCACACTACCTGCTTCTACATTGACCCTACCTACAACCAGTCTCTCGTGGCCGCCAGAGAAGCCGCTCTGGAGCGTGCCCGTGCTGGTGCTGAACAGGAGCACTACGCCATCCTCGCAAGGAAGGAGGTCATTCACAAGCGCAAGGAGGAGGCTTCTGAGGCGCAGGCTCGTAAGGAGAGAGAGAATGCCCGCCAGAAGCGTCTTCGTGAGCAGCTGCTCCAGGAGGCGGAGGACAAGCGCCTCGCTGCTGAGCAGAAGGAGCGTGAGGAGAAGCGTATGAAGGCCGAGCGTGACCGCGTCCGCAAGGAGGAACTGAAGAAGCAGATCGCCGACCTCAAGATCGGTAACAAGACGATCGATATCGATATGGACAACTTGGAGAACCTTGACTCCAGTGCCATTCATGCTATCAAGCTCGAGCAGCTTAAACGTGAGAAGAACGATGTCACCGAGAAGCTCCGCATCGTCTGGAAGCGTATCGATCACTTGGAGCGTGCCTTCAGAAAGGAAGAGGCCAAGAAGCTGCCCGAGGACTACAAGAAGCAGACGGAACAGGACCGAGCGACCTACGAGGCCGTCAAGGCCCAGACACTGAAGGAGGCAGAGATCAAGCACAAGGAGAGCGTCGAGTTGAAGCACCGCCTCACCCGCCTGATGCCTGAGTACGAGTCCTTCCGCTCCAACCTCCACGAGCGCCGCCGCGACGAGTTCGAGAAGCGCCGCAGAGACGCAGAGCGGGAGCTGGAGAAGCAGATCGCCGCTCGCAAGAAGGAGTACCGCGACCGCAAGCTCCGCGAGAAGCGTGAGCGCGAGGAGCAAGAAAGAGTTCTGCGCGAGGCCGAGGAGCGTGCCGCCAGGGAGAAGGAGGAGCAGGAAAGACGTGCCGAGGCCAAGAGAGCCGAGATGCAGCGCCTCAAGGAGCAGCGCGAGCAGGAGCGCCAGGAGGGTCTGGAGAAGGCCGCCCTCCAGGCGAGACGCGAGGAGGAGGCCCTGGCCCGTCGCAAGGCCGAGAGAGAGTCTCAGCGAGCGGCACCGCCTTCCCGCGGTCCCGAGCGTGGCAGCGACACCGTTCCCGAGGGTCGTCGCCCGCTCAACCTGCCCGGCGCCGGCAAGTGGCGCGAGCGCGAGGCGGCGGCCAAGTCCACCTCCCCCGCCAATGCCGACTCTGCGCCCCCTGCCCGCGCTCCCCCGTCCCGTGGTCTGGAGCGTTCCGAGCGCCCCGAACGTTCTGAGCGCCCTGAGCGTTCTGAGCGTTACGAGCGTCCTTCTGAACGTTCAGACCCTGCCGACCGCCCCAGTGCCGGTGGCCCGCCTCGTCTCGCACTCGCCGGCAACAAGCCCAGCTGGCGTGAGCGTGAGGCCGCCAAGGCCGCCGGCGGTGGTGGTGCCTCATCCGATAGTGCGCCCCCGCCCCCCCGCGCTGGCGGCGGTGCTCCCCTCAACCGTGGAGGCTCTGGACGTGACGATCGTGAGAACGGCCGCCCCGACCGGACCGCTTCGCCTGCCACGCCGGCGGAGCCCCTCAAGGCTTCCGGTGCCCCTGGCAAGTGGGTTCCCCGTCACCTCCGCGACAAGGCCTAAACATCTCTTTGAAGACACCATGGCCAGGGTCTCTTTTGATGGACGGAAGACGAAAAATGTGGGGGAGAGGGGAGACGGAAGAAGTGGTTACTGCAAGTCTGCATCGGCGTTCTAGGTTAGGCAGGAAGTTGTTTTAAAAAGGATGTAACTCTAGAAGCCCCCCCAGAGGATGGTCTATCCCTCCTTACAGAGGGGGGACGCTAGAATGGAAGTAACAGATAGCCTTTAATCGTCGATCAGGACGGGGGTGAAATGTGAAATGACTTTTTTTGGCATAGCTCCTGGCTGGAATTCAATTATTTTTGCACTTTTACACATCGTCTGAATATGTGACACGGCATGATTCAGGTGGCAAGGTAAGGAGCTCTTTGATATGGTCATTGCCTGGTAAATATCTCGTAGATCTCTCTTACATGTCTCTTCTTAGCTTTCAATGAGCATTCAGCAGAATCCAGCTCTAATAAGACGGAACAAAATCCCGGCCTTTAGGGTTTGTGAATGTTTTGCTTGCTCGAAAAAAAAAGCTACGACACATGGGTGGAAAAATAATTTTATAAATAGGTCCTCGAAGGTCAGGCGGCAAAAGGTGTGACGGGATCAAGCAGGAAAAACAGGAAAATTTTCAAAGTTAGACGAGTGGATCGAGTCCAGAACTTGAGTTGGTCCACGGAAATCCAGGCCCCAAATCCGCTCGGGGTGGTAGGCGATAGGGCGATCCCGACGATCTACGATGAGCCTCCTCTCCTCCTCGTTAAGGGAAATCGATTGACCTTACCTTTTTGCTTAGGGACAGGCGAAGTATCTGTGCCGGACACCGCACCCACATCGAATAGATCTCGGAGGATTCTGGCAGGCAGATCCACAGAGCGGCCCCCTCGGGTTTCCCTGAGCTGAACCGTTCGGTCTCCCGTCGATACGAGGTTCAGCTTTGCCCCCAAGGTGGAGTTGAAGATCTCGCCGGTCAAAGCCTGTGGAGTAACTTGGTGAGAAGCCATAACAGGATTTAGACCAAGCCCGAAGACGATACCGAGAGCCGAAGTTTGGCCTTGGCATATACGGTGTGGCGCCGGCTACGACCAGAGTTGTCGAAGTCTCCAAGAAGAAGCCGTTTTGCTGGGCGTCGTCGGACCCGGATTTTTCACCGAGCAACCATTATCCTCAGTTGATGGGCGGTCGGGCTCCAGGAGACTAAACCTAGCTTTCTACCTTAGCTTCCCTTGGGAAAGGGGGAGTTTGTCAGCCCATGTTCTCAGGTGTGCATGGTCCAGTCGCATTGGCATTTGGGCCGGCGCCGTCGACGGGAGAATGGGGCGCAGCTCTACCCTCCCACTGTCCCACAATTTTGTTTTGCATGAGCTGCGAAGAGGGTTTTCAATAAGCTTATTGATTACAACAAGGAAGCCGTTCCCTCGGGAAAGCCCTGTATTGCGTTGCCAATCAGTCGCCCGCTTAAAAAGCCGGAACCGCAGCAATGGTCCGTCCGTTTTGAAAGGCCGAGCTGTTGGTTTAGACGATTTGTTACTTTTCTCGGCCGCTTGCACTAAAAAGTCCACATACTTTGGTTGTTTTTCGTGAAGTGTGAAGCTGAACGGTAACAATGAGCTTACACCCCATCTCTGCGCCGTAAAGATTCCTGGCCCTACAGCGGAGATCATGGCTGCTGAGCAGAGGGATGGGCAGGAACAGGAACAATAACATAGACCATACCGAATTCGAACACTATGGCCCAACAGTAAGTTGTTGACAGAAGGTAATGGTAGCATGCTACGGTCGTTGGGAAAACTGCTGATGTGATGCTTCCACTTTGGACTCGCTGCTATCTCGTATCCCATTGTGACTCTGCATTTGATGGTCCAGCTGTGCTCACCTGCAGTTGAGAGGTCTGTGTCTTGTTTATCGCGCGGATTAGGTTGACAGGCCTGACATCCTTGCTAGCGGTGGGCAAGTCGAGTAAGGTAGAGGAGGCAGCTGACCCCTGCTTGCTGGCGGGAGTGCCCTGGACCTGGGTCGGCGGTTCTCTAGCATCACCATATCGGTTCAAGACCACCCCGCACACGATCGACCGCTGAATTGTCCGCGATCCAGTCCGTTGTTCGTACCGACGCAGTAGACCCGAGACCTTGGAAGGGAGAAGAGATACGAAGGACGGAACATGAGGTTTGCGCTGGCGGACGCAAACGCACATCTCGGGGTCTTCGTCCGAGGTTCTGCTTTTCTCGTGTAGTAGCCGGAAACGTTGCATCGAGGTTCAATTTTTTTTGTCTGAGCAGGTGCATGTTGCGAGGCCCTGCAGCAATTGCCCTGTGCTCTGAGACCGCGCCAGTGGCTGAATTGTTATTAACGGCAGTAAGGGAAAAACGACGGAAAATCCTATCATGGCCCTAGTCGGTATCTCCAGTCCACCGGGGTAGACTCCAATATTGTAACCGCACTGCATTATGCATAGTTGAGAGGGGGCGCAACCGCCCAGCGAGCGACTGTGCGAATCCTGACAGGTCGACCGGTCTACTGTGAAGTTTGCGCTATTAAGAGGGTCCAGTCCACGACTCCACGGCCGTCAGTTGGAAATGAGGATGACGCTGGGGCACAGAGGCGAGAAGAGAAGGGGAGAGGTCCCGGCCCGAGTCAGTGCCCCTGCCAAGTATCTTTGTGGTGAGGACAAGAAGACCGGTCGACGATAGAGGCTGCTGGTCGTTAAGCTGGTCGTTCTTGGAAGCCATTGAATGACAAAAAGATATTCTTAGCAAAAGCTTTTTACCCCTGATTCATATTGTGTAAAAAGGTAAGCCATATCCTGAAGCCACGTTCTACTACGGTGGCTAACGTTTGTTTGGAGAAGTTGATTCCAAGGAGACTGAATCTGACAGCAAGCTAGACTGGGAAAGCTGGCCAGGTCACGCCTGTTTAGGGCACTGTTGGGAGGCGCCGGATGGAAAGGTGAAGGTGAAATGCTTGGGAGACGGAGAGACGGAGAGACAGCGACAGAAAGAGGGCGAGATGAGATTGGCAGTCGAGGAGAAAGTGGTCTAATGCAGGAACAGACTTTGAAGCCCCTGTTTGCCTGCTGCTGCAGTGCTGATGGACGGGATGGACTGGGGTCGACTGAGCTTAACCTCTGCTTCAACAAATGAGACTAAGCGCTTGCTCCGTGTGTGGGGCCGCCATCTTGCCCGATTCGGACGCACCCTGGTTCCTGCCTGGTCCGCCCGGCTTTTGTTTTGTTTCCTTCCTTGCAAGTCTTTTTACGGAGTAGTAGTCCTTGTGTGTTTTAGCCTGGAAACTGCAACCTCCCACCGTCATCCGACGACTCCCGCCGACCCAGATCATCCAAATGGGGCATGGCCTCTTCCTTCACTATCCAACTCTAATCCTCTCCTGGCATGCGTTACCTTTGCTCGGACTCCTGGACTTTGTCCTTTTGCACCTGTCCGGCCCCAACTGGGCGGGTAATCCAACGTGAGAGCTTCTCGGCCCTTGCCTCTTGCCCCAAAGAAGCATGGCATTCGCCGACTTGGATCCGCAAAGCTGACTACTGGCGCAGGTGAGGACACATCGACCGCCGCCCCCTAACGTTGCTGTTTAAACTTGTATCCATCTTCCCCTCGCGGCGGCGCCCAGCTCTGTCACCTTGCCTACTAGGTTCTAGCTCGTCAGGACCTGGCACCACTGGCTCGATGTGACCATCCCCTCACCGTGGCTTCCGTGAAAGACGTATCTGCGAACCAACAGTTCCATACAATGCCTGCCAAGAGACCGTCCGCGTTGGATATCTTCCATGCTTTCCTCTAGATATCACACTAACGCTCTAGTCATGGCGCTCTGCCCCGTTGGACCTGACACCACTCCATCGGCCGCTATTCGCATCACCCGTTGTTCCCCTGATTGTGACTCTGCTGGCCGGTCCGTCCATCGTGGACTCCCGATATGATCAAATTTCACTATATATGATGGGCCTCGATGCCTCTCATCCCGGTCTCTGCTCCTACTCATCACTCACAACCCAATCCGGGAAGGCATTCACTCGCTCTTGCACACTCGTTTCTGGCAAAGAGATACTACACTCATTTTAATAACTAATTCCCACCATCGTTTGCAATGGCTCCCATCATCCGAGCCGTGGCTGCTCTCGCAGCTGCTACCCTCTTTAACCAGGTCACCGCGACCACCACCGAGTTGCCGCCTTGCCTCGACGCCTTCCAGCCCTTCACCTACCAGGGATGTTTCGCTGAGAAGGGCACACAAGGCGAGAATGCCCTCGACTTCCGCTCTGCTCTCAACCAGCAGAACATGACCATTGAGACATGCGTGGACGCCTGCAAAGGTAAGTCATCCTGACCATGCTTAATCTTTGACTCAAAACCCCAACACGTCGACAGGTAATAGTTACCGCTACGCCGGTCTCACCTACTACGGTGTCTGCTACTGCAGCGCGACCATCAACAGCCCCGTCCTTGAAGAGACTACTTGCAACTACAAGTGCACTGGCAACAGCTCCGAGACCTGCGGCGGTCCCTCTGCTTTCTCCGTCTGGCAAGATCCCACGTTCCCCTCTGGTGGTGCCACCGTCGACGACTACCAATCCATTGGCTGCTACACCGACGATACCAACCATGGCCGCACCATCGCCGAGCGCCAGGACTCTGTTGACTCTGCCACCATGACTCCCTCCACCTGTCTCTCCGCTTGTGCCAGCGAGGGATACGCCTTTGCCGGCGTCGAGTACGGCGGCGAGTGCTACTGCGGTGTCGTGATGGGCAACTACACCACCGCCACCACCATGGACCAGTGCAACAAGCCTTGCAACGGAGACAGCACAAAGACCTGCGGTGGCTCCGCCGTCATGGAGATCTACGTCGCCAGCAAGCTCATGTCCCTCGAGCCCTGCGGCTATGTTCCTCCTGTGAACTCGGTCTCGTCTTCTTCCACCACTTTCTCCATCAGCACTTCGGCCAGCGTCCCTTCCATCAGCATCCCTCCGACCACCTCCACCAGCTCTACTCTGAGCACCTCCACCAGCTCTATTCTGAGCACCTCCACCAGCTCTACTTTGAGCACCTCAACCACCGTCTCTACTCAGGCTCCCGGTACCTCCACAGCCGTTTCTTCCCAGGCTCCTCCTTCCACTACCACCACCCCGCCTGCTACTACTTCTCGGCCTCCCGTCACCACTTCTAAGCCTCCCACAACCATCCCCACCACCACTGCTCCCGCTATCTGCACCACAACCATTGTGACTCCCGCCACTTGCGAGTACGGCTGCGGCAGCTGGTGCAATAAGAACCTCCCCGACTTTGACGACAATGATAGCTGTACCAAGGCTCACAACAGCTGCAAGCTCCAGGTCAGCGCCTGCCTGAAGAATGCTGGATGGCCCGGCTCCGCCAGCTGCATGGACTTCAAGGCCTGGTGTAGCGATGTCAGCAGCTACTGCTCCAGCTCCTGCAAGGGCAAGGGATCCTGCTCCAAGAAGGACTGCTTCGCTAAGAAGGCCCCCAAGGGTTACAAGCCCGGCACCACCTCCGTGTCTACCTTCCCTTGCCCGTCTAAGCCTACCACGACGTCTACTCCGGTTACCACAATTGTGCCTCCCCCTCCTACCGGCGTCTGCAAGCAGCCTTCCAGCTGGTGGTTCGGATATGGTCCCGGCAACCCCGTCGGTGGTATCGAGATCCCCATCGTCACCTGCAATGACATCGCCGCGGACTTTCAGGCCGGCAACCAGTTCAAGTTCTACCTTCAGGCCGACACCAAGCTCTGCAAGTCCTTTGGCCGCGGCAGCGTCCCCAGCGTTTGCCAGGATGCCTGCAAGGAGCAGTACAACGCGTGTCAGAACACCTACGCCCAGGGTTGCAAGACCTACAACAATCGCCGCGGTCGCCGTGACGACGCCGCCGTGTACGCTCGCGCTCCCGACTTTGCCAAGCGCTGGTTCTTCTCGGATAACTTCAGTGTCGCCATCAACAAGTGCACTGTCCAGTATACCGACTGCCTTTCCGAGAACCGCAACTCCTACGCGGCTAGTAAGTGCGGCTCTTTCGGCACCGGCTACTAGGGGTCTTAGTTTGCACGATCTCTTGAGGATGATGCACACGAGTAGATGTTTTAGATGGGGAGTTTGCATTTCGTAAAAAAAAAAAGGCATTGGCGGCGACTTTACACTCTTTAGACGGTTGAACCTATATCGGTATTTAATGGCTAGTTTTCTCAATTTAATCGGGCTTTGGCTCATTGTTCATACTCAAGTTTGTCCATGATGCTTTTGGCATTGGCGATTGAAATAAAAGTAACTCTGTAAGCAACTAGTCACAACCAAAGAAGTGGTTGTAGCATATTGTGCCGTGTAAGTCCGTTCAGAGGGGTGAGGATCATCCCCGTCAATCATTTCTTGACTAACATGACTGCTGGCTTAATTTATTTCCGGGAGATTGATTGGTGGGAAATTGAGATCATCTCTGGCTCCCCGTTGTCCTTAATAGATCAAGTGCAGAGCTAGGTCTTACTCTTAGAACAGAAGTCAGTCGGTAGTGTGATACCAGTAGATGGGTAACTGGACGACAGTAGGGACCCTGCAGTTTAAGTAGTCTCAAACTGAACATTGGATAACTAGCAGATTGGAAGGAATAAAGATAATGGAGTAAAGAGATTGGGAGTGTGCTGAAAAGCGGGAGGGATAGAAAGTCATTTTCATAACCACCGGGTCGTGCTATCGCAGCATGAACGCCGACGGGTATGGGCGAAGGTGTTGGCGCTCCATAGTGGCTCGTGCGGCTTCGCCGATGCATCGTATAGCCGCCAGCATGGCCAAGTGGTAAGGCATCGCACTTGTAATGCGGGGATCCTGTGTTCGATCCACAGTGTTGGCACTGCACACGAGTTGATTGCGCGTCAGCGCGTGTTCTTTTATCTCTTACGGCGATGAGTGTGGCCTTTTTTTTTTTTTTTTTTTCCCCTCACCTTTTGACGATTCCGGAAGGGCGTGGAGGAGGTACATATTTACTCCTGCTATTGCAGGAAATCGCGTTTCTGGATTATATGACATGGCGATGTAACCCATGTAGGGAGCAAAACGTCGATTGCTCGGCAGGGGAGTTTGGTTTGGGCACAACTAGAGTCAGTAGTGAGAAGATTCGTAACCACAAAGAGGACGGACAATGAAGCCTATATTGTTGACGTAGCGAAATGTTCCTTTCTAAAAATTATTGGTGGGGCACGATTGGATTCCGAGTCAGCCATACGAAAGGCGAATATCAACCGATATTGACACCGAGTAACGCAGTTGATACCGCATCCCGACACCGGAGAGAAGCTACCTTGAACCAATCAGTTGCCATGCATGACGGGGACATGAATGCGTTAATTGTAAGTTTCTATGTGCTCTCTCAGGTTGGCGATCAAGGCTCAGATGTGCGGTTGTAAGTGTGATTTATATCTTAGTCAACCCTATAATAACACCCTTTCTCGGGGTCTATATTGAGGTATTTCCACCAGAGACCGGAGAATTTACTTCAAGTTGCATCGGGAGCTTTGGTATAGTTGAACCACCACAACGGGAGTGATAGGTTGGGCGGCATCTTACACGACGAGTAACACAACTTGGAATTACTGCACGCCAAGCATACATCTATATTTCACAGAAATCATAGAAACATGGAGTCAGACAGGACAGAGATATATGCACAGAGAACAGTCGCACGAGAGAGACCTAGCATGGCAGCTGCAGGCTTGCGAGATGTTGCTCGAGTCGACCACATGTTCGATGGGGATTGAGTTCACAGTCTTCCCCAGCTTTGTGGAGCTTTACGCTCAGATGGCATTGACCGGCATCGGGTAGCCACCGAGGAGGCTTGGCTCGCATCTCGCGGCCGGGTGAGTCCGGTATGTGGTGCATCGACACCGACAGCTGGGTTTCAAGAGCTGGAGGTCAGGGCAGAGAGGGGCACCGAGCTCCCTCATCTTGACATCCCCCGCCCATGCTTCTCGAGAACCATTCATGTCGGTTGAACTGTTGGCGGCAGCGGCAGCGACAGCGACAGCGGCAGCGAATACGGACGAGAAAGTTCGGTGCTCGGTTTGGTTTCCGTTTTGGAGCCGGGGGCGCCGGCTGGCCACAAGATGAGAAACGGACGTGCGATGTGCCGAGGATCCCGCCCCTCATTCTTGTTCGTTTTCCTCGCACCAGTCCTCTGCTCTCTGCTCTACCTTAAGAATTGTGTTCTGCTGGGGCGAAGTTTGGCCGGGTCGGGTGATGCTGGAGACATTCGGGACCGGAAACCGGGACCTCAGATTGGCCGAGGCCGTCGAGACGGGAGCTAGCAAGGTAAACCAAGGTTCCGGCGGCGCGAATGGCAAAAAGTGAGGTAAGAGAGTAGACAGGTGAGGGGAAAAAAAGGCCGGCGCGTCTAGAACCCTAAACACGGCAGGTTGTGAACACTGAAATGGCAGGAACGGCACACAAAATTGGAGGTCGGAAGAATTGCTAAGCGAGCCGGGAACGCAGCGATGATCTCACAACAAAACAGCCCTCCGCCCTTGCTGAAAGGACGGTCTCCCTACAGCGCTCTCAGCGTTTGCAGTGCCCGTGCTGAGACCAGCCCCGGGCTACCATTGGGTGAAATGCGCCAGCGTGCCCTTGCTGGCCGACCTAATTTGCTCTGTGCCTTCCGTCGCTTCCCTCTTGCCAGTATGTGCAGTGTGTGTGTGTGTGTGGTGTGTGCCGCTGTGATTTGTCCCGCCCGGAACCCCAGTGGCCCCATCGTGCGCAGTTTCTTCACCTCAGGTCCCATCCGTAACATCACCACAGTCCCGGCACCAATTGGTCCCATTCCCCCCCATTGAGCATCACCACCACAGCCAGGTCATGGTGTTCTAACCTTGTCTCTTACCCCAATCATCATCCTAGACTAGGTCGCTATTGTACACCACAATCCAGGCGACAAGATGTCGGTCGCAAGCAAGGTAAGCTGAACCTCTGTCTCTGTCCTCGATGCTGCTTTCCGTTTTATTTCGTTGCTCGTCGCCTGTCGACTGAGTCGTTGCGTGTTTGTGCGTCGACCTCATCGACCTCGTCATCGCCCTTTCCGGTCTCCCTCCTTGTTGTTTTGCTTTATTTATTTATTTTGGCTTCGCTCCCGCCATCCCCATGGGCTTCAAAGACACGAAAACTAACAAGTCACCTACATAGAACCTGTTCGAGCTCCTCGGTATGAGTCCTCGAATGAACGAACCCACGAGTCGTCCCTCTGAGCCAATGCCCTAACCTCCCACAACAGGCAACGATGCCGAGGATGACACTCCTCAGGCGCCCGTGAAGACGGTTGAGAAGAACTCTCTGCGCTCTACCAAGCGCGGCGTCGAGCCCGAGGCCCCTGCCCGTACCCCCGCTGGCAATACCGGTGGTGCCCGTCGCAACAACGCCTCCGGCAACGAGGCTGGTGAGTCTGCTCCATCATCAATTGCAGACCTCGGGGATGCAGACCCCGCTTTGGACTATGGCCCGCTGACACGACATCTCGCCCACAGCCTTCCGTGACCGCGGTGCTGGCAGCGACCGCAACCGTGGCAAGACCACCGACGAGCCTGCTAGAGGCGGCCCTCGTGGCGGCTATGGTGCCCGCGCCCGTGGAGGTTCGTGACGTCCCGCCGTCCGCATGCTTCAACGTCGCATGCATGGAGAAGTTGGGCCTCATCGCGTACTAACAACACAACTAGGCCGCGGTGGACGCTTCCCCCGTGAGCGTGATGACCGCCAGTCTAAGGGTCTCGCCAGGTAATTTGAACCGATTCACCCATAGCACTCCCTTACTTACTCGTCGCAGCGGCTCCGAGAAGCAGGCTGCCCAGTCTTGGGGCGCCACCGAGGGTGAGGCTGAGCGTAAGGACGAGGTTGCCGGCGAGGCCATTGCCCAGGCTGAGGCTAAGGACGCTGAGGCTGAGGCCGCCGCTCCCATCGAGCCCGAGGAGCCCGAGGAGAAGCAGGTCTCCTACACCGAGTACCTCGCCCAGCTGGCCGAGAAGAAGCTCGCTATTGAGGGCAACACCAAGGTCCGCGAGGCCAACGAGGGCACCAAGCTCAAGAAGGAGTGGGCTTCCGCCAAGGAGGTCACCCGCGAAACCGATGACACTTTCATGATCGGCACCGGAGGCAAGACCAAGCGCGAGCGTGAGCGCAAGACCAAGCAGCTTCTGGATATCGATCAGCGCTACGTCGAGCCTGAGCGCTCTTCCCGCGGCGGTGCCGGTGGCCCCCGTGGTGGCCGTGGCGGTCCCCGTGGCGGTGCCCGCGGTGGTGACCGTGGTGACCGTGGCGGTCGCGGACGCGGCGACGGTGCCCGTGGCGGTGCTCCCCGCGGTGGTGCTCCCCGCGGCGGCCGCCCCCAGGGTGCGCAGATCAACACCAAGGACGAGTCTGCGTTCCCTAGCCTCGGCAAATAAATGCCCATACAGGCCGCCTATATTCGCCCACATATAGGCCGAGATGTGCTCCGACACATATGTCCGCTCTAGTCAATGATGGAGAACGGAAGGGAAGGACCAGTTTTCGGGGAAAATTTGCAGAAGGATTGGTTGCGTCAAGGTTTCCGAGGACTGGGCCGGCTGATTTCTAGTCGTTGCACGATAAATGAAAGGCTTTTTTTCATCTAGGTACTCATGGACGGTATCGTTCAAAAAAGTCAAAAAGGTCTCGTTTGCATTGGTTTTTTAAAAGAAGAGAGTAAAATGTTCCCCTTGTCATGTGCTACTGATGGTTGGTTTTGAGATGTTTTTGGTATGTGATGGTTTGGTATATGATGACGAGGCGTTGTTACTTGAGGAATTCCTTGCTATTATTCGTTACATATTTGTTGGCGGTCTCGTCCCTTGATCAACTGCTAGCATGTCCTAAGTTTCGAACGGCATCATCTCAGGGCGCGCGCTCATCCGCCCACCGTCAGTCCAGTAGCTTCCCTGCGACATTGACGGAACAGATGAAGAGAGAGGGCAACGACTTGAGCCTATGGGAAGCAGAGCCAGTGCTTCACTGGACACGGCGTGTAAGATCAAGTACGTATTAAAGTGTGGATGTCTCGAAGACCTTTGTTAGACTAGTCAAATCGACTGACGGGCATGAGAGCTCACTATCTCGATTACCAAAGGCTAGTCGACGGATTTATGTATGTGGATATAGATCATGGGTAAGCTTCTCATTTGGTCATACATGTGCAAAGATTGAGAAGACTTGGCCAGACGGAGGAGCGCCCTCCCAAATCGTGGAAGTGCTCCACGACATCACATTTCCACAGATGCCTCGTTCTGATGACGAGAGGCATATTGAAGTGTGGTCTGGACACTTGGGTCGGAGTTACTGCGAAAGGTCAAAGATGGACGTCCTGGATGGATGTGCCTTCATCTCTTGCGAGGGAGGTGACTACGTCTTTCTATATAAGTCTCGGTGCCGATACCATGGTAGACTAGTTCAACGCACCAACCTCGGTTTTGCGAGACTCCGTCTTCGCCTTGAACAAGGCTTACTTACGGCAGGATCTAAAGAACAGCTCAGCAGCGACGAGAACAACGCTCTTTTTAATACATAGCTCTTTACTCTTCTAAAACTTAGTGGCCGTATATTCTGTAAGGGATAAGCTCCGGATATAGACTAGCTATGTATGGAGTATAGAAATAGTACTTGAATGAAGTAAGGTGGGTAAAGAACTGCTAGTTGACTTTTCGAGGGGTCGAACAGTCTGTGCAAAATGCGCTGGGAGTATGCCGCTCGGTATAGTAAGGCAGCAAGCTCGTAGACATTGTAGATATTGCAGATTTTATAGATGTTGCAGATGTTATAGATATTACAGAACTTGTAGAAATTGTGATGTTGTATATATTGCAGATCGTAACAAGCAAACAATTTCAAACGCCAAGAGCATAAGAGCATCACGAGATTAGAGCACAAGGCTTTTACAAAGTCTACGTTAACTGGCGCTAAATTACACCCACTGCGTTCTTAAGTCTCTTCGGGTGGATGTAACAAAGGAAGCCTTTAGTTTATAATCCTCGGTGTAGCTTAAAACTTCCCACTCAGCCTTATTGTCAGAAACATTAGGCGCGATAACCAGGCCCAATTCATCAAGCTCGTCCTTTGCACTAAATCATCTACCGCTGGATTGGGTAACAAGAGCAAAGAAACAATCTTTGATAATAAACAGTGTCCAGTGTCCAACACTACATGGCCGTGTTGCATTCTATAATGAGAAAGCTACTAGAAAAGACAAGCTAAGGAGAGGAGAAGAGTTAGAGGATGTTGCGGACCAGGACTCGGATGCGATGAATTTGCTGGAGACACGATGGACTTTGGAGTTCCCAGTATCTGACCTGGGTACCTTACCAAGAGGGTCGCAGCCAAGAAAAGTAAGGCCGATCGATGGCTGCAATATGAAGACAGACCCAAAGACGCCCAAGACGAAAGTTTATATAGCGACCCAGTTGAGGTACTGCCAGGCAACGGGACCGCCTCGGAGGACGCGAGGAGCGTGCCATCACCGATATTCCTGTAATGTCCTCGAAGCTGACACTGACATCGTGATTCTCGCCGCCTCTCGCCGCCTTTACGTACAAACCCTGGCCCAGGAGCATGGCCTGGAATATATTGCCAAGCGATTCTCATTCAACCCCCGAAGGCGCCATATGGAACAATTTTCGGCTCCGATCCAAGTAAGTTTCCGGGCATTGACCACAATCATAATGTCTGCTGCCAACACAAAAACACAACCAGAACTGAATGGGTTTATGCATAGAGGAAAGTACTCATGTATCCGATGTTCCGACTCCTCGCGTGCCGTAAAAGCCACGCTCGGTGACGGACCCAAATTCCCAAAAAAACGGCTTGTCTTGACAACTTTGAATCCCTTGGGAACTACACTATCTTTCAAAGACATGAATTGCCGTCGGCGCGAAGTGGATTAAGGAACCGGACTCGGAATACCGGGTCCTTCTTTTTTTCGATGCGTGCGATTTGTTGTTGCGATTTCTGAACATTTATTCTGACTTTTTGGTCACCCTGAAGTTTATATCTTAACTATACCACGTGAGTTATGCCAACCCGGTGAAACCAAGTCGCGGGCTCTAGGCCTCTCCGCTCTATGCCCATTCCACTCGGAGCTGGGAGAGTTCATCACACTTGGGGAAGGTTGTCAGTGATGATGGGTTGAAGGGGTTTGGTGTTGACGATTCCCCAGCGAATCTCGAGTACTTGACCTTAATTTCCTGGACGTGACGACGATGAGATGCGTGATGCTCGTGGTTTCCGCTCTATCATATCGTGTTCTGTTGAGACTCGAGAAGGATGATGGCTGACAGGGAGCGTTGGCTCTATGATGTTGGTTCTCGTGGGAAGGGGGATGAATGCTGCTGCACCTGGCCTTAGTTGAAAACTTGTTGTAGACTTTCGCTGATACCGTTATGTAGACAAATTGAGACTTGAGGGCGCTGTTGAAGCGCTCCAAAGGTCTGCTTTGGTCGCAATGAAATGACGAAGTGACCAATTTCACCTGTGTGCGGGAGACGCCGTGTTGCTTGAGCTGTCGACAGTTCGGCACCGGATTATGGCGCATATCCATTTTAACCACGCTCTTCTGACGTTTGTTTACGAGCGCAAGAAGCAGGATACCAAAGGCAGCGACAGAAACTCAAGATTAAAGTTTAACCCAAGCCCACAGATGGAAGCGTCAAGTCAGCCACGTTCAAAAGCGTGGGTTGCCTAGGTAAGCCATGGTTATAGCACTGGCATCCGGGCCAACCCACAGCCAGACCCTAGGCCACCAAAGACAAGAAGCAATAGTGCTGCCGTATTCGCATTGGTTAAATCCAGCCGTCTTTTAAGTTATATGAAACCCACGGTACTCATCAGAATTGCAGTTGTTGCAAACCCTTCCACATCACGTAGGCCTGAGTATCAGTCGAGAGAATCCAGAAGCTACTGGCAATCTCGAACTCGGGCTCCATGATACATTGATCAATAAGTTTCTCGGGATACAAGTTCAACTGCGAACCTTTCACTACAAATATAGGTATTATTTGCTCCTCTCATAAACGACTGAACTCTAGACAGAACACACTATATTCTCTTTTATCATGGCGATTTTGACCTTGGGCCTGGCTTGTTCTTTATATATAGCCCGAGTGATGGATAAGGCTTGCTATTGAAGTACAAGAGGCACAGAACACCGCAGCGTGTTTCCATTAATCTATTCTTCAATCATGCAATATCTGTGGTTTATATTCCCCAAACATGGCACATGAGAGGAGGAAAGTGCTACCAAGTACATAATCCGCAACGCCACATGAGCAAGTCGTTACAGCAGAACAGCACTTCAACACAGGCCTTGATTCATTACTATAAACGATTTGGGTCTGTCGCAAGAAAGAGACTGCCCAACACAAATGCTTCAATGGACCCCGAGGCCCAAAACCGCGACTCTCGTGAGAGGCCTTAAGAACCACAATGAACCACCTGTTTCCTCGCACAAAGGACTTGAACTGACTGGCCCCCTCCGCGCTCTTTTCAAGAATAGAGAAGGACTGCATCGAATATTCAAGAATGCAAATGTTCTCACCGTCTTTGCTGAGCGTGTTACAGAAGACAATGCGATGACCGTGTGACCCTGGACCACAACACAGTCCGCAACTGGACATAAACCGCTGAGAAGCGACTTTAAGATCTGCAAGAGCCGCAGATACTATCAATGGCGAAGCGGTGTCATCCTTCTCGCACATACTCAACTCACTGACCGTCAGCACACCCACACACACACACTCACGTAGACTTCCCCCTGGTCAGCGAACCGCCCTCCCAAAACATGCCTCGCTACCTTCACAACTGCGATGAGGCCAAGGGTCCCTGGACCGTTAGGAAAAGATGCTCCATCTGCATCCCAGCTCGTAAGGAGACTGGCAAGAAGCCCGGTAAATCAGCCGCCGTCAAACATTGGGTATGCCGCGCGACTAACAAGATCAAACGCACCAAGCCGCCGCCGCCGCCGTTGCCTTCTGTGTGCTCAGATTGCGGCGTGGAGGGCCGCGTGATGGTGGTCCTTGCTGAACCGGATTGGAACCCAGAGCCAAAGCCAGAGCCAAAGTCAGAGTCAAAGTCAGGCTCACAATTAGAGTCGTCCGGTGTTACTGACTCTCAGAGGATAGGCGACGACGTGGGCCCGACGAACGAGACCGCGGCCGACTTCGTCTTCGGACCAACAGCGAGGGCCTTGAAGTGGGCGTCGGCGACGGCCCCGGGCGTCCCTGTGCACATCATGCGGCCCGACGAATGGTGCTGGAGCAGTTCTTCTTCCGGGGAGAGCTACGACACCAGATTCCGTCCACCACCCCTTGCCAAGAGAATACTGAAAGCGACAATGAATAGGGCACTTCCCTGTGTCGCCAGACTGACTGCGCCGAAGCCCCTGACTGAATCGGAGCGCCGCAAGAGATCTTCGGAGCGATGGAACAGAATTATGCGGGCCAAACGCCGCTCTCGTCCCTGGGTGAGGTTTCAGGCCTTGGCGCCCGGTGGCCTCGAGACTATCGTGGAGGAGCAAAAGACAGGACGCAATGCCGGCATAGCCCAAACGGAATTCACTGGCTCGAAGAACCCCGCCGCACAGTAGAACATCACGGGTTCGTCGAAACGTAAGAAAACAAACGAGGTTTGCAGTTTTCACGTAAGTAGAATGGGATAGGTCACTGCGCTGACGGGAAACAAGAGCATATCAAAAGTATTTTTCTTTAGATTAATAGACAATTCACGGACATAGTAATGATACATCAAGGTAATAATGCGTGTATTTCGTTGTAAGTCATACCGTCACTGCTTGTCCCTGTAGAAACGAACAGCGTCAATGCCCAGACTGGCAAAGAACAGGATGGCATTAAAGGAAGCCATCATGTAGAACGGCGCGCCGTTCGACACCGCGTCAAACAGGAAGCCACCTAGCTTGGTAAGAAGCAAGATGGCTGCTCCTCCAAACCAGGAGTACATGCCGGCGATGGAACCCTTGAGCCGCACTCGCGACACGGCATCAACGCTGGCGTTATGCTGGAGCAGAGGTGCAGACTCTGCGGAAGTCTCCATGGCCTCTGCTGAGTCTTCAACCGTGTCGATGACCTGCGATTTGGGGACATCTGCAGTCAGAACGCCGCGGCCGAGGAAACCGAGACTGCAGACAATAGCACCAATCTGGCTGATGCCGATTAGAATCACGATTAAGAAAACGGCGGGACTGCCGCCTCGGCCATCGACGTTTTTGTACTCTGGACTTTGCAACTGAGGCAGGGCAATATAGCCGACAATCCCGAAAGCGGTGGCGAGGAGGATGGGATAGTTGACACGGCCGCGTCTTTTGTTGAAATATCCGAACGCTGGCGCGGCGAAGAGGCCGAACAACTGAGCCACGCCAGTCAGGATGGACGAAAGGAGATAGGCAGCGCGACATTCCTTCTTCAGCTCTGGGGAGGGGTCATGCGGTGAACCTTGGCAGAAGCCGTTGCTGATGTAGTACGTGTTGATGTAAAGAGGGATGAAGAGCGAGATGGCAACAGTGGATGCGCGAGCCACAAAACCGCCCAAGTATCCGAGAGCAATCTGAGAATCCGTGAAACCGAGAGTCACGGAGTCGCGCAGGAGACGGAAGTATGGGAGGACCTTCTGTGGAACGTTAGTGGCTTCTACGGAGGGATTGACGAAGTAACGTACCGGCCGCGTCAGGTGGTCTGACGCAGTGTCATCAGACTCGTCTTCCGAGTCCGAGTTCGTCTTCAAACCCAGCAGTACACTCCAACCCTTGCCCTCCTCGCCCTTGAGGTTTCTCAACCCAAAAAAGACAAACACCGAGATCACAAACGCCACAATGCCCACCACATAGAAGCTGTCGGCGACGGCCGCGGCAGGCGTGATGCCATCGATCTCACCGAATCGTACGGGGAGCGGGAGAAACAAGGAAAGCGCAACCAGCGCGCCGCATCCAGTGAACAGCCCGACGTACCCCGCCAATGACGAAGGCCTTCCGGCTTTTGCCTCCTCTCTCTCGCTCGCCGTCGCCGTTTGTCCGTCTCCAGCGAAACCATGGAATCGCGCCGGGGTGATGGTCATGTCGGATTCGAGGGACATGGCTACGCTGTTTCGTGGGTTATGCGTCGGCTTGTTCGTAGCGTCGGCGGAGCTGTCGGACTTGTCGCCATCATCCGTCAGAGAAGGCAGGATGGCCGTTACCATGGTGGCACTGAAGAAACAAAATTAGCAAATCCTGCCCATTCTTGACCTTATTGGTTGTCACTTACGACGCTGTGGCGCCAACAGCGAAGAAGATGCGCGCCAAGAGTAGCTGCGGATAGACATTCTTCGCCTGGACGAAAAGAAGCAATGCTGCGCCGATGACGGCATACCCGATGACGGCCACCCATCTCACACCGAGCCGATCCGAGACCAGTCCCCAGATCGGACATGCGACGAGCGCAACGAGCTCGTCCACGAAGCCGAGAGTGCCGACAATGTCGCCAACGCCATCCTTGACGCCAATTAGGTCGGTAATAACGAAGGATATGCTGCTGTTGAGGAAGACGAGGAAGGAAATAGAAAAGAGGGAGATGCCGAGGAGGTATGTCACTGCTTGCAGCGTTGTAGTCGCCTCGGAGAAGGGCAGGTATCGGGAGAGAATCGCCATGGCGAGAAAGTCGAGCGCCGTGGTGTTTCGCCAAGCAAGTGAGGTGATTCTCGTTGTTTGCCGCAGACCACCGTTCAGTTCCAAGCTTACATCTCGCGGCGGGCGGAGGAGATGCTAGGAACGTCGGGCGGTTTTATTTGTTGATTGTTGTTGTTGACCACAAGGGAGAAACGTTAGTTAGAGTGGGTGGGTAGCTGCGGTAAGGTAAAGTAGTGAGTGCCGGTGCGGGACGCCGGGTAAGCATCATACATACACCTGAATTGACCTGAGCTCCCAGCTCCTAATTCCGGCCCAGCCGCCTTACATAAGCTCCTACTTGATAAGGTTGTCAACGACCATGCCATTAGGTACACGACCGGACATGACCGGACACCCACGACAGTGCGGGCTTCGGGCCGCCGACATTGATAATTCCGGTCAGGAAGCACGCATGTTTAGGTTTGAAGCTCACTCAGCTCGAAGATTCGGGATAGCCGAGTCATTGGCTCAGATTTGCCTTGCTTAGATACATTTCTCACAATACTCCAAAGTCAACTCCAGGAGGGAGTATTTCGTTCATATTTTGACGCCAAACGCCAGTGGCTGCTAGGCGTTCCCTTCGACTTTTGCCTCCATAAATGCCAGTTCCTGAGTGTCGTTGTTCATTTCCCAACTCCGTTGCTTTCTCGTAATCGCATCCTCCATTAAGAATGTTTTGCCGTCGATCCTCATCGTTCAGTCTACCATGACCAGAGCACCTTGTGGTGCAGCACGCGAGCACCGAGCCGTTCGAACTCGAAAGGCGTGACCCAAGAGTCGTTGGCCGGGAGTTTGGCAAAGACGCTGGCCCCCTTCCAAGTCACAACCTGCTCGTCCATATCCCTGGCACTTCGACTGACTAAAATGCGATCGAAAAGGTCAGGTCGCCGTGCCTTGAGTTTCTCCTCGAGCACGACAGTAAACTGGGGTGTCTTCGAACCGCCTCCAATGACCATGATACTGCCCAGGTAATCACGCAGCTTCTTGTCATCACCCTTTGCTGCGTTGTAAATGCTGGTCAGAATAGCAAGATCCAACGGCGCGGTCGGCAGAACACCGTCGCGTTCGATTGCGATGGCTTTGGCGCTGCGCGCAGAAGCGTCAACGAACATGCCCGGGGGAGGCTGTGGGGCGGTAGTGCCGTTCGGGCCCGGTGTACCGCCATTCCTCGCCGGGGGGGCTGGGCTTCCTCCGTTGATGCCCTCCTTGCTTCCGCCAAACACGAAAGGGGCAGCCACCGGCGTGCTGACACCCTCCGGCGCCGGTGAAGGAGCGTTAGATCCAGAGGGAGTGCCGTTGATGCCGTTCTCGCCCCGCTTCAGGAAGTCAAATGGCTGTAGCCTTTCCTTCACTGGCGTCGATACATCGTTCTGCGATTGGGTGAAGCCATTGGTAGGCGTTGAGTTTAATGATGGCTTGACGAGGGCCAGGATTCCAAACTGTGCTGCGGAGGTCGGATCATCTGGGATGTCCACGTCGTAGGCGTTGTAAGATCGGTCAAGCAACTTCCGCCGGCCTCTCAACTTGGCGCTATTGTCGAAGATGGCCGGATCATAGAAGCCCATGGGAGCTAGAATGACCTCGTCATAAGTCTTGAACTGGTACTTGTGCGTTGGTTGGTTTGGGGCTCGCAAATGGAATTGATACAACTGGACAGAGATGTCCGCTTGCGACATCGTGCAATGTTTCATCTTGAGCTCCTCCGCTAGTAGGAAGTCATGTCGCCTCATGAGATTGATGTCTTGATAGGGGAAGTTGTCGTAGAGCAGCATCTTGACGAAGGTCTCGGTCACGTCGAACCCACCGTACTTCAAGTTGATCCGAGAGTCTTCCACGCAGAGGCCGTCTTCAACGCAGGTGATGGATGTCTTTTGCGCCCCAACATCGACGACGCAGGCCTGAGTGTAGCCCGCACCGAACGTGGCAGCCATGCCTTCCTGAATAAAGCATACCCGATTGAACTCGAACCATGTCATGCAAGATCTGAGCACCTGCTCCACATACTTCTTGTCGTAGAGGTCGGGAATGACAAAAACGCAGCTGTACTGTCTCCATGTGCTGTTCTTGGTCAGACCAAGCTCCTGTCTGATAGCCTTGTCGAGTAGAGTCTCGAAATCGTCAAACAGGTGTTCAGCATTCAGGTACTCATCTTCGTTCAGGAGTCCATGCTGGATAGGCCACCAGAGCTTGAATTTTGGTTGAGAATCATCTGGAACTCTTTGCGCTTGATGCCCAATGAAACAAGATGCCGATGATTTAGGATCTTCCAGGTTGTTGGTGTCGGTCCAGTCGATTTGCAGGGGGTCGTTGTGTGTCTGGATGATCTCCGGTTCGGTCCTGCGGTTGTAGTTCAAGACTAGCTCCTTGGAATTGGGCAGAACCTTGCGCTTGTTTGCGCGCATCTCCAACTTGAGGTCGCTGCACATTTTGGTGTACTTCTTTGACCACTCCTCGCCATATTGTTGGTCTTGTGTCTTCGCTTCGAAATGTCGGCGGGGAAGTGCTTCATGCATCTCCGCCTCGGTCTGAGGAAACTTCGTTGCAAGTGTCATGGGAATCGATTTCGGGAGTGCGTCGCTAGCGAAGCCAATTCGAAGGTTCTGACTACCAGGATGAATGACAATGACCTTGGAGGGGTCGAGGCCGGCGGTCGCATCGGCAGGTGCTTCATCAGGTTGAAGTTCGGGTATGACAAGAGGGACTTCGGCGCGGCCACTTTGCGCAAGAGCACGATCTCTGTCCTTAGCAGCTTGAACAATTCTGTCGCGAGTGGCATCGCCTTGGAGTCGCAAAGCGAGAATTTGGTCATCGCGCTTCATGTAGTCCCTGCCGAATGGAGAGGTGTCAGCATCGCCGCATTGGAGGCAGCACCGAGGATTCTAATGGCAAAACGTACGTGTAGTAGTTCTTCTGATTAATCGGCGTGACATCCGGCCAGCTGGTCTGCTTCATGCCATTGTCGGTCCTCTCCAGGCCTGCGATTCGCGGTTAACGTGCTGCCCTGAAGGCTGAAAGGCTGCATATTCACTTACCCTCCCGAAGGAGAACCCTCTCACTGACTTTCCCTACCATATTGTCGGCTTGCTCCTCAGAATTGGAGCCAGAGAGCGAGCTGACGTGGTGTCATGGGTTTCCAACCAGAAAAGCAGATCTGAATCGACAGCCTCAGGGTTCGGATAGCTCTCAGCCTCCTACTAGCAGCCAACCATCGCCTTTGGCAGCCCGCTGGCCCGTGCAGTAAGAGGTGGCTGGTGACAGTCGGGTAAGGTACCTATCTCTGAGGACAGTTGTGGCTTGGCTCGGGAGCGAGGAAAGATGTTAATCCGATATCGGGTATTATGTAATATGTTACTGGTCCCGTCCTTTCGCTTTCAATGCCCGTCGCTATGGCTTCCTCGTGCAGTAAATGCAAATGCACAGAAGCTCAACACATTATCGACACGTCGCATGTCATGTCTCGACTCTACCCTACGACATAAACACTTTTCTTGGCACGCCACGAAGTGTGTCTGATGGAAGCAGCCCTATTTACCGCATCAGCACGGCGGCCACCAGGTGATCCTTGTGGGATCGCTGCATTGATTGCACAGGTGGGCACAGCTGAGGTCAAGTCAGGTCATCAACGACCTGATTCCGTTCCCTCATCCAAAGAAGCTTAGATTCGCAACTCAGGGCGATCCAAGCACCTCCCAGTAGCAGACCATCTTGCGGCTGCAGAAGCAGCAAACCATTGGTCATGAGCTGGGTTGCTCGGACTCGGCCTTGGATGTTTGGCTGCTTGATGCTTTGCAGCTCAACTGTTGCTTGTTTTGCATGAGCGATCACTGGGTGGATGAACTTGACACGACTTCCGCCGAATCAAAAGTCCAAACAACACGGTTCGATGCCAGCATCTCCCGGAAGATTTGGCGAGAGCCGTTCAACTGCAAGGTTTTCGGGTTGTAAATGCATTTCTGGCCAGGATGTGACTTGGTAAGCGATGCCATGACAGGTTCCAGGACTTCAATCTCAGCAATCACCAGCTGTCTCTCTTGACTTGAGCGTGTAGTGAGTGCCTAGGCAGTGGGCCAATGTTTACCTTTCTCTTTGTTCACCCACGATGATGACTCTTTCCCCTTCGAGGCGATGTGCACTTTTTCTTTCCAATACTAAATTGAGTCTAAGCAACCGGCACCGAACTCTCCAGTTCCAGCCATGGCTACCAAAGTGGTAGGCACTCCCTCACCTTAAGTCACCTGACACCGCCCCAACCACCAAGCAATGACGTCGTCACGTAAGGTTTCGCCTGCCAGAAGGGAAACCATACATTGTGCCACGTCTGCTTCATGCCTCCGAGCCGACTTCAGATACATCTCACCGAGAACGCTCGCAATCTCACCAAATTCAACTAAAGCCTCCTCCCAGCCTAGACATTTACCACTATCCACAGGCCCCAAACTCCCACAGTCCAGTCTCCCTCTCACATCTTAGCCGAGAGTATCATCGTCAGCCATGCCTGCTATTCCCATCTTCAAGGACACTCCGATCAACGCCTCCAAGGCGTTGGGAACCACTCCACAAACCGAGGAACCACAAGCCAAGGGTCACTCCAATAACGTCCCCGAGCTATCGCAAAGTCAAGTCGGCGCGCTCGCACCATCATCCACCCGCCAGCAGCCATATCCGCCGGCACAGCCTGGTGCCGCCCCATCTCTCCCTGTCCAGACAGCTTCCGCACAAGCATATCCTCCGCCGCGGCCAACTCCAACTCAGAAGACGGATGATGTCAGCCCTCCGCCGCCCCAGCCAGGTGCTACCCCCGTGCCGATAACAGGCACCTCCACTCTGCCTCCTCCGCCGAAGGCAGGCCAGACCTTCCAACCTCCAACCCCAACGCCCGCCACTCCGGCCACCGTTTCTTACCCTCCACAGATGGGTATCCCTCCTCCAACAATGTCACACGCGGCGTTGCGAGGGTCTTCCACGTCCACTACTAATGGGCCTCAGATGACTGGGCCGCGACCTGTCCCAGTAGGAAGCGATCCTCCACTTAGCCTTGAACACCCTCCAGGATATCAGCAAGACGTTAGTGCGTCTGAATTCAGTAGCCACCAAAGAGTCGCTCACCAAGCTGCGGTAGCATCCTCGGCAGAGAGGGGCTACCATGCTCAATCGGAAGAAGGGGTATGGGACACCGCGAAGAAATGGGCGCAAGCTGCTGGTGGCAGTCTGGCTGCGGCCGAGCAAGAAGTCTGGCGAAGAATCAACAAAGACTAGCATAGCCAGTCACGAGCTTTCCGTGTCAACGTATTAATCAACTCCACACTATCAAATAGCAAACCAATCATTTTGAGCTCCAGCTCGGATGGATATCGTTGTGGAGTTAAGGATGATCGAATCGAAGCCTTGCCATCGGCTGTGCTGTGCCATCTCGGCCGGCGATATGTTGTCATTCTCCAACTGTAGGCATCAAACGTCTACCTCGTTGTCCCAGGCCGATTGCCCCTTCTCGCATGTTTCCCAGGTTGACCCATTCCGACATCTCGCACCAATAGTTAGTGCAAGTTTTTTCGGCTTCGCGACTCAATATTTTTCCCGTTGGACCACCACTAGTGCCTCTGCCTAGATCGCTTTCTTCTTGAGAACGGAGACTTGCCCGGGTCACAATGTGGCAAAAGCGTGTTCAAGGCCGAAGGGCATTGCTGTCTATGTCACTCCCAACATTCTATTTCCGTCGTTACCGTTGTTATTGCTCAAGTTACACTAATCGAGGGCACCGGCAGCCGGAGGTCCTCCGTTGTCAAGCCCATCATTTCCTGGCCGTCCCGTGAGATAGCTGAACTAACTCTAGCTATGGTAAACATCAAACACATCGATAAGACTGCTATACCGCCGACTAGCATAGCGTACTGGAAAGAGTTCATCGCTACCCTGCTCGCCGCCCCTTTTCCCCTTGCGGCTGCAGATGGGATCTTGTCAGCCTCCCCCAATGATCCGCCTGATGTCTGGTGCCCAGTATCGAGACCAGTCGACAAGGAATCGATGGCGGGGTAACGTCGCGTCATCATTGGTCTATGATCTCCATAAGACCCCAGCTATTGACAGCGGCCACGGCTGGAGAGTTGGCGTAATTTCCCAAAACGTCCGAGGTTGTTATGCAAGCAAGACAGCCACTCCTTGTCGGCGGCCAGTCCGGAGGATCCACAGAACAACTCATCGAAGGCTCGGTAGAAGCTGGCCGGCGGATACTGAGGGTTCTGGGGGGCCACCGGCGCGAGACGTTGCATCTTCGCAATCTTCGCACAGACAAAATCGTCAGAGACGGCCTCGAATGTGAATACTCTCTGATTCTCACATCTGATCTTACAGGGAGTTTCGTTTGTCGAATTGCTCCGTGGCGTGCGGCGGCGGCGAGATGGGTGTCCGCGACCGTTGCCAAACTGAGGAAGACAACGCTAAGTTTCACTAACGCCGTACAACACACAGAGCCCTACGACAGAGTTTTTGACGGACAAGCGATGTGCGTCTTTAGCGCCACGTCAATCTTTACGGCGGACAGACTGTCACCAACGGATTCGCTTGACAAGCTTTAACAGCACACGGATTCTGTGCTGGCGACGAATGGTGGATGGCGGGGGCCACTTTACGCGTGTACAATCCGTGCCGGATGGCGGTCCCCGGGCGTCAAGTCGCGCCCGCAATCTGGAAAGCGATGGCGGGAGCTGGCGACCGTCTTAGACTCTTAGGCGACGGCATTATGGTTTATGTCAAGGACATCCATGGTTGCAAAAGCTATAGCGGATTTCCGTTATATGGATGAGCGACTCTCCACCACCTACACGAATAGAACATCATAGGCCGTCGGCATCAACGTGACACATGTTATTGTCGCCAAGTCGCCGGCAGGTTGCTGAATGATTGGTCTTCTGCTGAATGATATTTTTTCCCCAGGAACAAGAACTTCCTTTTCCAGTTAATATTGGTCGCCAGCCGGCTTTCAGCCCGACCCATAGCTACCAAACCTGAGTTTCTTTGGCCGCGATCCACATCAGCTCATAGTAGTATCATAGATACCCAGACGGGCAAGTATGTGTGCTCACCGGAGCAGACGGCGGAGCAAATCACAGGCTACGGGAGACGAGGTGGGCGCGGCTCGCAAGTGGGCGCGTCAATGAGCGACAGCGCGGGTTAACTGAGGAGGAACAACCAGTCGCGTAGCTAGACGTATTGGACCGCCAGCCCCGGTGAACCCTGTTGGCGCAGTAGCCAAACCGAAGTTCTCTCTACAGCAGACATTCAGCACGGGACAATAGTTTTGAGTTACGGCATCCAGAAGAAATTGTTGAGTAAGCGGAAAATTAACGACAGGCGGGATAAAGAGTCACGCTGGCTGGGCACGTTGGCTAGACCCGAGCTCCTCCCTGGTTTCGTCCCAAAATGACCAGTTCTGGACAATTCTCGCGTCTCATACAAGAGCCCAAACGCCATCATCTGTGCGACGTATTTGTATTCAAGTCAATCTGGATTTGATTTCCGTCAAAGCCAAAGCATTGGGAATGTCTCAAAAGAGGACAGGTCTCAAGAAAAGGACAGAATATGGGGACGAACCTCGTGGACAGCGACGCACACATCTGATTTGGGACCAGGCATGGCATACCAGAGCTGAGTGACGGCGCGTCGCAAAAGAAGCAAAATGTGCAAACAAAAGCGAGAGGGGTGAAATAGAGCCTGAAAACAGTCGAGGGCAGCTGTTGTTGGCGTGGCAGACGCAAGGCCAGTCGGCTATGTGCGGAAGAAGATGGGACTCCCCTCGCCTCTTCACCCCATCTACTTCCTGTTCAACATCTGGATGCCTGCCTCGTCCCAACTCTAAGCCACCACATCTGGGAGTAGTAGTGGTTTGGTGAAGCTGAGTGACGTGGGGGATGTTACTGCACCAACATGCAGGGTATCATCATCATGGCCTCAAAAGTAGCAGACATGCCACTAGGACCCTGCGAGGGACATGCCGACAATATCTTTTTTCCCCTTTTTTCCCCCTCTTCCTGTGCAGCTCTACAGCACGATCAATTGCCTCTGGCTGTTGGAAGAGCACGAGGCTAGGAAGAAACGCCTGGCGAGCAAGAGCAATACGACACAGGCGGAGAAAGAAAAAGATACGAAAGCCTGGCCCTCCCGGCGGGGATGAGAGCGACAGTGACAGAGTCGCAAGCCATCGAGACTCGCAAAGAGGGACCGCAGCCAACGGTCAACCCAGTCGAGGGGCTGAAGCGAGACAAGGGTGTGTAGTTCTGCGACAGATCTGAGACAGCTTCTGCCCCTGCTCAACCCCTGGCACAGCCCCCGCGTCCCCGGTGGACTTGCAGTAGACCAGACCCAAATTCAGCGAGTCACGACCACGAGTCAGTGGCTAGTGTGCGCAGTGGGATTTCGTGATACTGTTCATAGTACAGGAGGAAATGTCCCACTGTCAGAAGCCGGATAGGACTTCCGTACCGTGGCTCTCATTCCACCACGTTGTGTCACTGTCAACGCCTGGACATGGCCAGTGACTTGTGGGATGGAAAGGAGGCTACGGGGTGAGAACAAGGCGAGAGTCAGACGAGATCAAAGACATGGCAACAACTGGCCAGAAGATTAGGAGAAGGTCCAGAGGGAGCATATCGGAGGACGAGACGGGATCGAGACCGGAGAACGTTGAGAAGATTCGGCACCGAACAGGATTGAGAGTTTGGGCAGTCGATAGGTGAGATTAATCGCATGAGAGAACGAAGGGCTCCCTTCGTGATCATCAGCATCATCCATCCGTTCGTGACTTCCAGACTCAAAAAAAGTATGGATGGCTGGATGGGTAGGCACGTACGAGGAGCAAAGGATGAACAAGTTTTGTAGGCCGACGTGCCAACACTGCAGTCTGCAAGGCACCACACAGCACTTGGCGCATCCATCATCGAGTCTGACGAGGCACGATGGAATGGAAAGAGAAGGACGGGTCCCTCAGTACGTACCCTCCAAAGGAAGGAACGGAACAACGGGACACCAATAACCAAGGCCAGGACTAACCCACACACCCGCAGCCCCTTAGCCCCACCCCCTGCAGATGCTTACCTCAGCGACAAATCATGTTGCGCCGCTGGGCAGCTCAAAGTCAACTTCAAACGTGCTTGCTCCGTGCCACCACCAGCAACGGCAGCAGCAGCAGCACCACCATCATTACCACCACCACCACCACCACCACCACCACCACGTCTGCCGACCAACAATGTCGACGATGTCGACGACGTCCCAGCTCCATCATGGCGTCCTCATATACCCTCCTTGATCGTCGATTACGTACACGCCTGTGATCTCTTCCCCCTTTTTGAGATACGGCTCTCTGGTCTGGTAATTGCGTGGTCTGGTTTCTCTTTTGCGTCCCTGGCATAGGAAAGTTTCTGTGCGGCATCTCGTCGCCCTTTTTTGGAGACGCGATGCCTGTCGCGTGGACATTCTCCATGTTTGGCTCATGCTGCTGCTCAGCGATTGACTCCTCTCGCTCGACCATGTCCAAAACATTCGAATCCACCCGCTATCCTAGGCAGACAGTCCGACGATTCCATTTCTTCGACGGATCGCCTCAGGATAGCAAATGGACTGGCCTGGAAACTGCAACTGGAACTGGAACTGGAGCTGCGACTGGAACTTCTTCGTCTGACCCCCTCATCCACATGGTCCCGAGGCTCCCTCCTCTCGGCAACCCTCCGCTCCTGAATCCCCTGCAGCCCTCCCGGAACGCAGGCAGACAGACGACATACATAGGTAGTATGGAGAGACGAACAAACTGTCATCCACTCGCAGCAACCTTTCACGCATTTTCTCCGATCTCCAGCCGTGTGTGCTCTGCATACTGCACCAAGCCAAGCTAGCTTAGCTCAAGCTCAGCTAGCTAAATCAAGCTGCGACTGAAGGCAATCTCTCGTCTCCGCAGCCGAGCCATCAGCCTATCTGAAAAATGACATTTCTGTACGCATCGACCCAGGCGCACATGCCTGCATCTGTGCTGGTTTATGCCTGCCGCTCCTGTTCTCGCCATTGGCACAACGGCCGAGCAAGAAAAAAGAAGCCCGAGAGCGGATCTGCTGGAAAGGATAGGATGCCAGGTTCATCATGTGGGGAACCAGGGATGTGACAAAACAGGAACAGGTGTGATCCCTGCACCGCACTCGCTGCCAAAACAAGAGCCCGACGTCAGGATTCTCTTGCTTCTCTTGCCAAACACTCTCGTTCAAGATCTTCATACCCGAGCCTGATTGGCCCCAGGTAGCCATGGGTAAAGTCTCGGGTTTCCACACCAGTCGTTCTGCAGTCTCTGCCCGAGGCCCCTCCCCATGGCCCCCATGCCCCATTGACCTGGGACGGGATTAGGACTGGGCCTTGTACCACGGCGGATTTACATTGCAGACGTGCCGTACTCGGCCTACTGACACTCCAGACAAGTCGTATCATATCATTCCGATACTTGAATGAGGTTCGTCCGTGAACCCTGCTGTTTCCTTGGTTTCCGCTGCGAAAGGTTGGAACGCAACGCAAAACCTGTCCGCCAAAAGAGACGAGGGAAGAAAGGGCAGAGTCACGGACAAGGGGTGGAAAAATTACCGTAGGCAAAGAAACCAACAACGACGACTGTGAGGCCCGCTCCAGACCAGGCCCAGACCAGGTGGTTTCGGCTCCGCGCCCACTCCTCACTAATCATACCTTCAGCAAGTTCAACTTACCGGCCGCCGGCTGCAAGCCACCAGCTGTGATCCATTCCGCTGCCTCACTTTCTTCCTCCCCGATGCGCCCCTCTGCCCTCGGCCCCTGGGGCCATGTCGCCAGATATGGGTGTATGCCAGTATGGGATGAGACAAGCCACCTCCTCGGGAACTATTTCCTTCGGATCGCTAGGGTCCTCGCCAATTCTCAGCCCTGAATAACTGAAGGCCCTAGTCGGAAACCACCGAAAGGTCCCTCTAGCTCATACGTCAAGTGCGGTTATCGTCGATACAGGGCGATCAAGTGGGTGACCATTGGTCCAAGTGTAGTCCTGTATTTCGCCACGACGAATTTCTCTGCTACAAACCCACAGCTGCACCGCCGCCGAGGGCTGCACAACACTATGTATGGCGAGTGGACGGGGAGGTGAGAGGGGCTAAAAGGTCTAGAAGGGGGAGGGGGTCTTGACAGGGCCTTGCAGGTGTATCCGTATGGAAATGGAGGGTTGGATGGATAACCAGGCCAGAGTTGGTGAGAAAGTCTCCCACGGCCCATGGTAGGTGCAAGTGAACCTCCTTACGTTCAGGCAATTCTCTCTCTTACCGTCTGCCCTCTTTCTTAACATCCCATCGCTACCTTCTTCCTGACTGGCTACTTGTGCTATGTTCATGGGCTATTCCTTACACTTTTGCTCCCACTCTCCTTCATACCCATCCCCCCCCCCCTTCTCTCTTTTGGTCTGTCTTTTTGCTCCCCCACCCCCCTCCGACTCTCAGTCCCCCCGAACTCTCCACACCACCATTGGCCCTCTTCCCTCTCAGTCCTTCATAGTGTCTATCCGGACCTCTCTCTGCCTCTTCCTCAACTGTATTTTTCTTCGCGCTCTCTTCGCGGACCCGAGTTCGTGCCATGTACATAGTTTATGAACATCCATCCGTCATCTGGGTACAGCCCTGTCGTCGTGTTTGATCCTTGTCCTCGTCTTCTAAAAGCAGTCGGGAGTAGGCCGCTCCCTGGTTCATCGGCATCTCACTCCCACACATCCACATCGACGAACAGATGTTACCTTGTCCACCACCCAAAGACACCCCTGCAACTCATACACTCTTGCTGAGCCAGGCCAAGCACATTCTCGCACACCTGCCTCTGGCCCCAAGTTCACAGACAGGAAGACGTTTGTATCAGGGAAATCCGGCTTAGCTCCAACCGACGTTCCGAACCTGACCGTGCTGACCTATTGGCCTGTTCATGGATGATGCTTCTTTTTCCACACTACTTCTTTTATACCTCCAGGATCCGTCTGCACCGCCCCTCAACCTGTCTTCTTTTTGCTCTCCTTTCGCGTCCCACCACTCACCAAGGCCTCACTGCCCTTGATTCCCATTACTAGTCACTCCTTTTTTTTCGAGCCTTGTAACCTATAATACTTTTTTCCTTTTTCGAAGGGGCTGCCTCTTCGCATCTATAATACCTACTCTCCGGGAGCTGGCTCTCTTCATCCCGCCAGGAACCAGGACGGCCAGTTGCGTGCTCCATCCCACACACACACACACACACACACACACACACACACTCACACATACTCACACATACTCTCACACACACACACCTTCACCATCAAAGCATCAAACGAGGTTGCTGATTATTGCAATCTCACCACGCTCCTTTACTGCCTTTGAAAATCGCTCGCATACATACATATATAAACACAGAGTGCCCAACACACACTCTTATTACACAAGATCCTCGACCACGCTGTCTGGCTGAGGACCGGCATCCCTACCGCCTCCTACCATCTCCTCCTAACACCACCACTAGCCTCATCGCGAGGACCCGCTGTCCTTAACGCTCAACATTGTACACCCGCCCGCGAGGGAAGAGACCGGAAAGGGGATCAAGACGCAGAAAGAGAGAGGAACCGGGAAAGGAAAGGAAAAACCTACGCGTTCCCTGACCCCAACGAACATAATCACTCACGTAGCCCGTCCATTACTCGCCCGGTCCGGAGATTATTTGTCTCTCTCCACTCAGGTTGGCCACTGCGCCAGATTCTTCCAAGTAAGTTCCTGGAAACCTCCTCTGTCGGCCTGCCGGATCGCACTCGTCGATACGTGGGCCGTGTGGATCCCCATCCCTCCCCCCCCCGACTGCCGTCAGATACAACTGCCACCCTTGATGTTCCTCGTCCGAGGATCAATGCTAACAACCCACCGTCCCCGTTCAGCATCAACCCGATAATTGATTAACCGCACGCTCCCTTGTTCCTATCTAAGCACCATGGACTCTGGTCAGGCACAACTGTAGGCCCCGTCCCGTCCCTGCAGCCTCCGGCATACATGACTTACAAGTACACTTTAGCCGGCAACAAATACACATACCTTCCTTCACCTTCAACCCCAACAACAAGTTCAGAAGAGACGTCCCGCCTCGTACAACGCCCATCATCAACATGAACGGTAATGATATGCCCATCAAACAAGAGGGCGTGGGAGCACCCGCTGGTGTATGGACAACCCCGACGTCTCAAGGCATGAGGCCCCGACCCGCGACCATCCACGAGGGCTTCTCGTACAGCATGGGCGATGACTACGGCACCCTCCCATCATGGGATTCTTCGCCCCTGCCGATGCAGCAGACCCCCAACGATGCCATGTCCCGACCGGTATCAGTTCATCAACAAGACTTTTATCCCGTGACCACCATGGAGAACAGTGAGTCAACCTCTTTAGAGGTAAACTTGCATACTAATAATGTTCATCAGACTGGCAACAAAAGCCATGCGAAGACACTTTTGAATTCCATGGATTGGACACGGAGATGATTGGCCAGGCTTACACCACCGATGAGGCCATTCCCGTGCTTGATTTGAGGTACCAGCAACAGGACAACGAACCGTTCAACTTTGATTGTGGCCCCAACCCGCGACGCATGTCGGGCTCCTCATTCACCATGTCCACGTCCGGTGCTCTCTCGGATATGCCATCCTACGAAGACTTCTCAGCTGCTCTGTCAGAAGCGCCATCGTTCAGTTCAGACTACCCTCCGCCGTCTAACCGCAACTCATTGATGTCGTCGACCCAGTTGTCGCCGGTTGCGTCTCCCCGGATGACACCCCAGAGTCGATCTGAACTCGTCAGGACTCAGAGCCGCGGTCGGGCTTCTCCTTCGCCTCGCCCGGGCATGCGATCTGCCCCCTACAGCGTCGAGCGTGGAACGACGAAGAGATGGTCGACGGGATCGTACGGAACTCAACAGAACAGACGTCAGACACCGTTCGTGTTTCACCAGGGGCACGATGCCTTCGGCGCCCACCAGCGCCTGTCTTCGAGACATTCATCGCCCACGATCCAGCACCAGCAGGTCCCATTGAACTTCACCAATCTCCAGGCCGCCCAGCAGCATCCGTTCATGATGGCCGCGCCGCCGCAATACCAAAGAAACAGCATGAACAGCATGCTCTTGCCCTCGCAACTGCCGTCCAATGGCTTCCACCCCGATGCTCATCACTTCGAGGCACCGCCGCCGCTCCTGTCCCATGGACTTTTCCGCATGCTTCAGAGCAACGCCGATCCCCATTCGCTTCACAGCCACTATACGGATCTGTCAGACCCGCCCGATTTGTACGCTTCACTGCACGAGGAGCAGATCCCACCTCCTCCTGAGGACATGAACCCATCCGACCCCGATCTTGTACCTCACGAGCAAGAATTGCGGTTCGAGGGTGACTTGTACACACCCAGATGGGTTAGAGGTCACGGGAACAAGCGGGAGGGATGGTGTGGAATCTGTAAGCCCGGCCGTTGGTTGGTGCTCAAGAACTCGGCTTTCTGGTACGACAAGTCGTTCACCCACGGCATCAGCGCCGCGACGGGCAATCCGTTCCAAGAGCCTCAAGAGACGCGTCGAATGGATGGAAACCCGGACGTTTGGGAAGGCTTGTGCGGTAGCTGTAATGATTGGATTGCACTGGTCAGCAGCAAGAAGAAGGGTACCACGTGGTTCAGACACGCCTACAAGGTATGTGACACGGCATCGATCGTGACAGGTCACCTCTCGTTTCACAACAGGCTAACAATTATGTAGTGTCACACACACCCCAAGATCAAGGATGCGCCAAAGCGTCGACGTGAAAGTAACCACAACCGCAACCTGGCGGCATCTCAGATGGCCAAGCCAAAGGTTGAGCCTCAACAGCCACAGCAAGCGCCGCCAATGCCGCAGCAGGCCCCAATCACACCCCAGATGACCCCGTCTTCGGCCTCCGTGACAAGCACGCCTACGCCTGCGCAGATGCAACAGCAGCACCAGCATCAACAGCACCAGCACCAGCACCAGGTTCAACAACACCAACACCTTCAACAGGTGCCGCCACCCATGCCTCAGATGAACCACGGGCAGATGGGGCAGAACCCAGGTCAACAGGGAAATGTCATCAACCCTCTAGAAGGCATGCCAGGCATGATTTGATGCGGTTACTTGATCTTGAAATGGCAGAGAAACACCAAACACGACTGATACCACTTTTTCCTGTTTTTTTTTTTTCCTTTTGTCACGCAACTTACCCCCGCCGCAGCGCGTGCCTGTGGTACATTACCGAAACGTCGTAACGAAAAACAACGAACATTTCCTGACCTACCTTGACCTACCTTTATAGACTGGGGCACAATGGGATACCTTTGGAGGGATGGGACAAAATTTTGGAAGGGTGCTAAGGGTATTGGACTTTTTGGACGGGAGAAAAAGCAACAACAAGAAAAGCTCCGAAACTACCTCCCCCGGATGACAGAGAAGAGGGAGAGTGTCAAAATGTGTCATGACGATTTCCAAAAAAAAATCTACTACCTTACCTTATCACCATCACAATATCCACCAGCACCACCATCCACAACTGATTTTTCCATCTCCTTTTCCTTCCTGTCTCGAGTTCGTTTCCTGACCGACGTTTTGCTATTTCGACCACGAACACCCATGTTTGACGCCCCGGAAGAGGAGGATACCAAATGTTTGTTTCGCGCGTGGCTTTTCCACTACGTTCAAAACATGACAAACCCCAGAGTGCAGGAATTCTTTTTGAGATAATGGTCCAGTTTCGTCATTTCATCAACACCCACGGAAGAGAATGGGGGAAAATGGGGGGCCTAGTTTTGTTCCGTTTAGTTTGTATCTTTGTTCGTTTTCTTTTCTTCTTTTTTTTTTGATCCTTGTTCAGTCCCTTCTGATTTTATCTTTTTCTTCTAGTTCTGATCGCCCCACCCCCCTTTTCCCTTACTTGCTCTTCCACAACTTAATCGTAGATAGCTAAATAGTGAGACCCCAACGACTGCAACGCAGTCACAGTTTTGATTTTTCTTTGAGGAGGACATACCAATGATATCAAGGGGAGGAAAAGGTGGAATGGGCCTGGAAACACAATGGCGACATGGACTGGATCAGAGAGGGGAAAAGGGGCCTGGGACATTTTTGTGCAGAGCAAGTCTTCAAAGTCACAGAGGAGGAGGATGGGGAAGGACGCTGTGACGGACGGTCTTGACTGGCCGTTTTGAAGGCGGAGGGGGCTGAAAATGGGAAAATTCGTTGTTATTGTTGGGGGAAAACCTAGGGGCAAAGCAGTACTAGTTAGATTTTTTTTATTTACCCGCGCAGAATGAGGAACACACGGTCATTTCAGAATGAGGCACTTTTTGATGTTGGGCTTGATAATGTGAGGCTCACTGGCACACTTTGGAAGCGACGACTAGGCCTTGGAAGAGGCTGGTTGTAGGATATCCGAAGGTGGTACCGTACCAGATATCACGAATACTACTCACTACTACTGCCCCCCACCCCCGAGACGGACGGAGAGGATTACAGACAAGTGGACGGCGACATTGGGGGGGATCCTGCTCTGTCCGTCAAGACTTGGGATTCAAGAGCGCGTCGGAGTCCA